CTCGATGTTTACTTTTTATCAATGAGGCAAAGACTCAACTAAACGCACGAGCGATTTTTAACAGATCACTCCCTTACCACAAATTTGTAAAATGTGAATTTGTCACTAGCTCAAGGCCATAAAATCCCCCTATCCGGTCCCTCTCCGGTCCCTCCCCCTTTAAAAAAAAACAAAAACAAAACGAGTTGAGAAATGTCGGTGAAAGGGGCCAAGCATGGATCTAGAAAATTAGTCTGCTTCACATGTTACAAAACCGACACGGTTCGATAAACTGCAATTAAAGCAAAACTGGTCAGAGAATTTTGGATTTCCTGTTGCCCCACTTTTGAATACTTTCTCCGCTATGAAGAGTATCAAATTAAATCCCAATATAACTAATGCGAAAACTTATGAAAGCCGACATTAACAATTGTGCATCATACGTAAATACGGACCGTGGTTCTTCATATGAACACGTACAGGTTGATGGCTGAATGGTATTAACATTTTCCACAAGTGATTCACAAGTTTTATGAAGTTAAGAAAAAATACAGTTTCTAAGCTGACTCGTTCGTTATAGTATTATAGTCTTTAACCTTCATCTTTGTGACCCTTATTTTTTTCTTTAAAAGAACTTGCTTACTTCCTGAAACTTTCTAACGTTTGTTAAAATCTGGCAATTGTTAAGAGTCCTTCTATAAATGGGAATATTCGATTGTCTCCTTAATTAGTTGCACTTTTAGTAAGTTTATTGTCAATACTAACCACAATCTGACGTAAATCCACATTATAATTTGCTGAATAACGCCATGAAATTTTCAGTAATAAAAGAATAAAATCATTATTAAGTAGTTTACTCCTGAAGAAGGCCTCAGAAAATGTTTTCTCGGGTTAGTAAATATTCACAAAACTGAAGTAGAGCTCTAATAGCCAATGTCTATATTTTTGTACTTCTTAAGAGAATTAAATTATAAGTCCCCTACATAGCCTTTGTCTCTTTGGAGCTAATTTATACTTTCTCTGCTTCCTGTGGGCAGTATAAAGGTTTGACTTGCCGGTTAAAAGCTTTTCAACTCCGGAATGATGATTTAAATATTCTAGTTCCACAAGACCAAACAAGGCCTTGACCGTACCTCCTCACAGATACCTCCACTTAGACGGGTTCTTTCAGATGCTGCATAATTAGATTACTATATTCTTGCTAATGAAATATTTGTTTTCGAAAAGTCCCTTCTTGTACAATACTCGCCCGTAAAAGCATATATTAGCTCTCCTTCATAATGCTCTGACGTGTATTATCACATCCGAGGTGGTTTTCGGTTCATTTTAAAGTGGTGCGGCGGTGAAAGCTCACCCTGCCAACTAAAAGAAGAACTGTTCTGGAAAAGGGCTTTATATACCATGGGATTTGTTTTGGATATGATGAACACTGCGTTGTGGTGCCTTGTAGGCCCAGAGTAATCGAAGAATTATGGATAAAATTACACCCAAAATGAGACTGAAGACTTTCCACCGTAAGTATGCATCGGATATTTTAAGAAATCCTCGTTTTTATCGCTCTCTGCCGGTCGGCGTCGTCTGACAGAGGCTTTAGGGATTTCTGAAGGTGGAATATGACATCAGGTTTAGATTATAAACTAGTATAGCTGTAAAAAGGGAATTTATCATGGAAAAAAATCTTGTTGTGGATGTTGTTTGACCCTAATGAGCACATATCATGGCGAAACTAAAAAAAGATGACTCGATCTATTTCTGAAACCATGAGGAAATTAGTAGAGTTTAAGCCTGACAGCTCGACTTATTTTTTTAAATGCTATATTTCTTTAATGTCTTTCAATGTGTCTTTAGATTCGAGGGTCACGAACTTCGCTAATCACTGGACGAAAAAAAGTATTGTATCAACAGTTCCTAGTGGAAAGACCAAAGTTCTCCCACAATGGGGTAGGTAGCTAATTTCGTAAAAGGTATGAATAAATTTGCCCCTTCAACCTTGAAACCGCCACTGAAAGATAATATTAAACAATGTTTTAGAAAGGAAATTTTCATCAAGTTAGCAGTTTTCCTTCGAAATGTTTGAAAGTAAGTAAATCCGTGGGGTCATGGAATATGTTGAGTTTCGTGTAACCAGTTTTCGCGAAACTAAACAACTCTATCGCTCACTCTGCAGTCTCGTTGACTTCCTATTGGTTTATAACAGAGCGCCTATTTTTTCAATGGAGAAGGTAAAACAGTCTGTGAACGACGCAGACTTAAATTAAAACTGACATACAGAAAAACTTTTTGCTCCGATAAAATTAAAGACAATTAAATGCTGACTAAGTAATTGATACTGAATTAAATAAAACGTGACTTTTTTCTGTTATTCTCTTACACATTTTGGTCAAGCTTAAAACTCACTATATTGGAATGTTCTTACCCGAACAAAATAATAATTAGATTCTGGTGTAAATAGTTGATATCGACAATATCGCGTTTCATTCACGCCAAGGTGGCGACAAACTAAAACATAGATAACACGATAACGAAAAATAAGTATTACTTCCATGTAGGCAATCCTCTATTTTCTGCGGTTTCATATATATCGAATCTCTGCCAGATCACATGACAATGTACAGAAATCTCCTGTGTAACTATAGGGATTTAGGTCGACACATATATTGTTCGTTTACATCAGTTAAGTCTAGTATTTACGTTTTGGTCATCTCTCAAAATGCGCGCTGTTTTCCCCTAAAGTTTGCATAAACCTTAATAGAGAGGAGAAGTGTGACGTCACGTTACCACGGTCGCAAAATGTTTGGATGACAAACGTGACAACGACGATGGCGACGGCAACGAGAATGGTTAAAAAGCAATAGGTTTGGACAGAAGCATGTATGCTTCTGGTTTAAATTAGCAAAACAACAACTTTGCACGTGCATCACGCTTTTTTGTATATTTCTTAGCCGTCGTTGCACGACTTCGACATGAAACTTCCTAAGTGAAAACTTAACGCGCCTGTTTTATGGAGTAGGTGAACACAACACAAAAATTTTCTTTTCCTTTTTGTAATCTTGGATACCGTCCTTTCAGATTCAACCCCAGAAATTTCGCCAACATTGGACAAATTAAATGAAAATGAATAAAATCGAAGAAGTTTGAAACAGTGCGAATTCACTTTTCAAGTGACGTTTTCGGTTGCTACCATGGCAACGTGAAGTAACGACTTCTCCTCTCTATGTTTTTTGCCCCTTGAAATACCACGTGACATTGCTTTTATCCCATGATCCTAAAGCGCGTGCAAAGTGATGGCGGGTATCGTGAATAAGGTCTGTTTCCCTCAAGTATTTTAGCCATCCCAAGAATAAAAGGGTGCTTATCCAAAATTTTGGCAAATGTGCAAATGTGTGTCGGATGATTCTAAAAGATATTTCAAAATGATCACGAGTTTCGGATCATTTTTTTCCTCTGGCCTGCCTAGTTTAATCCAGCCGTAGTGCTACTGCTGTGCCCACTCAGTCCAGAAACTATGAATACTTTAGAATACATTTTGAGAGATGGCTACGCCGCTCTTGGGAAACAGATATTTTATCTATTCGACAGAATTAAGACGTCTAAAGCCAAGTTGTGCTACGGTTAATTGAGTCAGCTTAGCACGGCGTTAGAAGTGAGCCATTAGATTAGTTATAAGATTAGTTAGAATTTGTCCACCCATGATTAGGGCGTGTTAGATTGACTGTATTCCGGTATACATCAGAGGTAAGAATAAACGGAATACTAAACTCTAGAAATCAGTTCTTTTGGCATTCACTGCATTAAAAAATCTAGGAATCCGCCTTAAATAAGATTCCCGGTGTATCATGTAGAGTTTAAATGGTCCAACACGGTAGAAGAGATTTGTACCAAAACGTTTGTGAATTCATATTTCGGAATACGGTCAATGGAACCCACCCTTCGTAGGTTTCCGGCTCTGAAGGTGATCAGTATTTGGTTATTGCTTCATGTTATGCATGCTTCATTCACTGAAGGGAAGCCTTAAGTAGTTTGAAGGCTAATTTAAGTTTTAAATGCTACTTGTTAACCCAATCACTTCATAAGGATTAACGAAACTTAAGAGTGGTCATTTTGAGCGTAGAGAAAGCGAGGGTAATTGAAGCTCTCTCGAAGGAATAATTAGATACGCAATGAATAAAGGAGCGTGCCTTCAATTACTGAATTAAAAATAGCGGAATTAACTCTAGTAATCATTGATTTAGAGATTTTTAGTCGGTGCTGCTACACCTACAATCTTGTCTAACATAATATTCCCATGTTAGTGGAAAGTGACACTCTCTTTTGAGGCTGCAGAACTGGTATTCAAACGGAAGAAAATGGCAAATTTGACTTAGGAAATCTTGATTCCATTTCCCGGCAATACAACAGACAAAACAGGAAATGCGTGAACGAATTTATCGGCACACTAATATATGCGTGTATTTTTTCGATACAAAAGATTTCTTGTGACAAGTCCAAAGTGACAAAACCTTTTTTTTATTGCGTGTTTTTTACGGAAATCAGAAAATCTGGATCGAAAATGCTCATTACATTCACCTTTAATTATAAATGAGACTATCCGAATGAACTTTTAACACCTCTAAAAGAAAGAGCAAGTGATTAAGTTATTTTCTTCACTGAATGTTCGTTTTTTTCGGTGCATCGTCGTCGAAAATAGATATATTATGCCTGAGGAGAAGGTTGAATAGAATGACGTTATGTGAACTCATTATTCATTAATCTACGTAAAGTTTTTCTTCCTGGTGCCGGTCAAAAGTCACTCGGAAATTATTGTTTGGACCAAACAAGCTCCATTACAATATTGCAGAGTAATTTTTAACCACAAAATTTCTGCTCACTTGGACTGAAAGGGAAGCAGTTTTACTAAGCCCACTAGGTCGCATGTTTCCTGAGTTAAGCGCCATATTTCTTTGTCAGCTGGTCCTCACTGTTGAATTGTAGATGTTTTTCGTGATTAACTGTTTAAATCTCAATTTTTTTATGATCGTATCATGCCAAGATTGTGTTTTACCCGTTATTTCTCACCAGCGTTCATTCTTATAGCTGTGGGTGGAGGAGTAATTCTTGGTGTTGTTTTCATCGTGCTCATTTATCGAATGTGTTCGCGGTACAAACAGGAAAGGGAGAAAGAAAGCAGAGTGGCTCGAGTTTCATTCAAACTGCCGCCAACCAGACCGGACGAAATTACCATTAAAACACAGACGAAGTACCCGCAACAGGAGTACGACGATAATGAAAATTGTCCCTTGGATCCTGAGTTTTACAGGTAAAAGTGAATGATACAAGTCTCAGTCAGAATAAGTATAGAAAAGTTGATACATCACAAACAGCTTTAGTCCTTTGCTTAAAGTTGTTCTTTTTTGTTGTCTTCAAGAGGAAACGAATGTTAACGCCTTATGCCTACGATTAGGGTGGATTTACATGCGTACACGGGTAAAATTTACGTGCACAAATAAAATAGAGGCAGTGACGTTTAAGGTCCCGTGTAAACATTGAAGTTGAACCTCGCTCAACTTTCCCGTGTATGCGCGACACTTCATACATTACTTCTATTTCATTTACGCGCGTACGCAAGTAAAAATTACCCGACAGTGAAAATCATCCTTATGGTCTCAGGCAACTTCCTCATAAATGTGGCAAAATTTTACCTTTCTTGCGACCGGCAATATTTGGTCTTTTTCACTCTTTTCTCTCAAATTAAACTACGTGGGGTTGAACAACGGACAGGATCTTGATATTCTTAAACATAAACAGGAAAGCTCTTCAGTTTGCTATCAGCAACTTTCAATGGTCCTGGTAGACAAAGTTTATTTTGCAAAGAAAACTCGACTTTAAATAGATTGTGAGAAGTTGAACCATTTGACCAGAGAAAGCCCAAACACCATTTTCAGTTCTCAGTCCCTATTGCTCATAGAAGTCGGGGTTAAAAGGCCAAAAACTGGAGGGGGAGAAAGAGAAGAGAAAAAGCAAACGGTTGGACATTGTTTGCATTCCTAAGTTTATTTCGTTTTGGTTTCCAGAGAAGAAGATACAGAGGAAGGGTCGCCATTTATGGGCACAGCGAAGCTCTGCTTTTCTCTAAATTACGATCAAGCAAACGAAGAACTACTTGTGTGTCTCCTGCGAGCTACACGCCTCACTCCAGTCGGCGAAAACGTTACTGTCACACCCTACGTCAAAATATTCCTCCTACCAGACAAGAAACGCAAAGTCCAGTCCAGGGTTCTACGAAGGACGTCAAATCCCCAGTTTTTTGAAGATTTTGTATTCGCAGTATCACCCGAGGACTTGCCAAACAGAACACTGGAATTCACAGTTTGTGAATTTGACCGCTTTTCCCGCCAACAGGTTATCGGTCACGTGGTGTATCCTCTTAAAGAGGTGAATGTAATGGGGTCACCTGAAGGAACCGGGGAGATCTGGGTCAACATAACTAACCAAGATTTTCAGGTTCGTATATTTTAAGACTTTTAGTGTTTTACCTTGACAACTTTTTTTTTTATACACTAAATACATTATTAACCTCATCCCTAACTACACATTTCCAAAATAAGCTAAATAACCTCAAAAAGAAAAAATGAATTAGTATTTCCTTCCGACACTAGGATACTACACGTGGGATTCAAAGCGGGACGATTCGACGTTTTTACTTTCACAAGAACTGAGCGATTTATGGTCGAGAACCTGGTCGATGACATTATAGACCATAGAAATGACGTGATGGGTGCGCAATTCTTATTTCTTTCTCTTGGGCGCTTTTCTCCGTGAAGGACAGTAAAAAAACTGGAAAATGAAAGTAATTGTAACTAGACGATGTGAGAACGTATACTTGGGCGTCGTTGCATTACGCGAATGGCAAGTTTTTAATGTGTGTCAGGGATGTGTGAGTAGTGCAATAGTGTTATTTGTTGTCAAGAGTTGGTTGAGATGTGTGACGTAGAAGACGTGGAGTCATATTTGACGTCGTTTCTCTTTGGTATGATTATGTGCTGAATATCAAGGCACCGAACGTTGCTTCAAAGAGAAGACTCAAGCTTTTCCCCGGAATTCCTGATATAAACTGACTCACCGAATAACGAATACGGACGAATACTAAGAAATTTTATAGCCCGCGAGCAAGCTCTCTATTTCGAAGTGGTAAGCTAAACCTAGCCGCAAAGAATACGCGAGCGCCACCCCCTTTCTCGCGTCTCCTTTCGCGTGTCTCTCGCGCGTGACTTCTCTCAACATCCCTAAAATGGAGAGTTTGCTCACAGGCTGGAAATGTTTCAATTTTGATCATTGTGGGAGATGGTATCATCATCACGATAATCCCCAAGAGATTTTCACGTCTGATTCTAAACAGCCTTTAATTCTGTAGAGTTAATTCATCGAGTGCTTAAAGCTTTTCCCTCTTTCTACAAATCGAGAGCCTTTTCTAAAGGCGCTGGCTATACAACAAATTAGTTCTTTCGACTATGAAGTTGCTAAGTCTTCATGAGATGTACCGTCAGGCAGTTTGAAAGTTGGAGCTAGTCCCTTTCGTGGTACATGCTTGAGATAACTCGACATATTTATCCCAAAGTTTTAAAATTAGTAAACAGGGTTTTAAAAATAACTTTCAAGCATGCAGTTTGCAAGTGACGATGTTGGACTTCGCCCCTTTTACGGTTCGTGCGCAAAAAGAATACGACTTGTTTACGAGATTAATTTTAGTATTGAGATTGTATCCTAACCTCAATTAGTTGCAATAAAATTACCAAACTGCCGAGATACTTTGTATGTGGCCACTCATCTCATGCCATTCCACTCGAAGAAACACTCTCTTTATTCACCTTTCTTGCATCGGCTGCAAACAGATCGCCGAATTTTGCGTTACATCTCCTTTGGCTTTCGACCAACCTGAGACCGAAACGTGCTCGCTCAAACTCTTGGCTATAGCCAAACCCGTCAATTCCAATTATTACTGAAACAGCGATTTATCTCCAAGTGCTTTGTGTATTCTTGTGTGGCTTTAACCTATTCCTCATTTTTAATTTAAATCCTCATAATTCCGTTTAGTTCGTCGCCGCAGCGTCTAACGCTGATTTACAATGTGCGAGCCAGACGTTCGAGGCATCTGAAAACACTCCAGGCACAAACAATTCGTTGGCACAAAAGCCTATGACGGGCCTGCACAACTCCTGTAGTTCACAAACTATTCTCTTCTGACCGTCATAGCTTCGTTCTTGCTAAAAGGTTCACAAGGGATTTTCTGCACATTTCAACAGAAAAATCCCCCGTGAAATTTTCAGCTAACCTTCCTTTGTGTAGTATAGTTAGCAAAAGTATTTTATCTATTAAATGTTATTAAATTGCAGAAGGGCGTGGATAAGGGGGAGTTGTTGTTTTCGCTCCAGTTTCTTCCAACTTCATGTAGACTTACAGTAGCTGTCCTCAAGGCAAGAGGTCTGGGACTACAAGGAGAGGACAATGATTTGGGTGAGGAAATAAAAGGCAGATGAAATCATTAGAAAAACGACAGGAAAATGTTTATCAAAGAAAAGTAACAACAATATCAACCTGAAATTTAGAAGGATCGTCCGGCATAAAAAAATCCTACTAGTAATTCACGTTTTTTTCTTTTTCAAATCCTTTAGTCTAGTGTTGTTAAAGGAGAGATCTTTTTTTTTTTTTGGGGGGGGGGGGGGGGGGTTCAATATTTTTTGAAAACATCACCTACGCAATACTAATCATGATTGTCATTGTTTTACGTTTTTTGTAAACTCCTAAAGAACAAATAGTACCACGTGAAGGTAGTGCCAAAGAAGTTTCAGTTGAATGGACATTCTGCAAGATTTTTCCTCTGACTCAAAAGTTATAGAACTACGTTATAATGCAAGATTCCATTTTGAACTCTAGGATTGGCAGGGTTCATAAGATTTTTCATGTCACTTGTGGGGGAATCCCATGTAAAAAAAAAGGGGATGCTTGTCGGAATTAAAATTAAACCCCTAAGCGAGACCAAGGCCGGGTGTGGCTCAAGCTTAAACTGACCCCTAAAAGAGATTTGTGTGTGGTCTTCGTCACAGCATTTTTTGTAAATTTTGTTTATACACAGCCCTAAGGGATACCTGAATGGGAAAATATAAGTAACTTTCCGCTCTAAACACCCTAAGAGAGATCAAAATCTGCAATTTACACCCCTAAGTGAGAGGACGGGCATCCCTATCACTTTTATACGAGAGTTCCCCTTCGGTGGTATCCCGGTTTAAGGTTTTGATTTTATCCCTCTTTTATATGCAAGAAAACGATCTCTGCAAGGTAGGGAGATAGATACTCCCTACTGAGGTATTGACTCAAGGGAAATATAAGTGTTCGTCTGTATTGACGATGGCGGAGTTAAAAAACAAAACTGATTGACTTCAGCCTTTTCTTAAGGTACATAACTGAAATCTTCTTAAATGTATACCGTATATATTTTTTTCATTTTTCAGATCCGTATGTCAAAGTTTCAATGATTATGGGAGGAAAAACCTTGAAAAAGAGAAAAACAGTGGCAAACAAAAAGACCGCAAACCCAGTTTACAATGAAGCGTTCGTCTTCACTCTTCTTCCGTCCTACCTCGATCGCGTGAGCTTCATGCTATCCGTGTTCACCGTAACGAGGCTGGGAGGATCAAAAAAGCTGATTGGTCGAGCGGTTGTGGGACCATATATGTATTCAACAGATCAGGGACTCTCACACTGGAATGACATGATCAATTCACCCCGTAATCCAGTAGCACAATGGCATACACTTATTTGAAAAAAGCGCTTTCATAAAATCGAGGCCAAAGAAATTTATTTCAGAAACACTAACAAGGGCAGAACCACAGTTACAGACCAGTGAGCTGAGTGAGGACAGCAGGATCTTGAGTCAGTCTGGATCAGTAAAAATCTCTATAATGCCAAGTAAAATAACAGAAAAAAACCTGACCCTTATGGCCAGAGGAGTGAAAGAGACAAAAATATGAAGAAAAATCAAATGTTAAAAGTTTATTTGCACGATTTTTCGGTTTGCAACACAAACCGAAATATCGGGCAATACCGAAATATTTATATTATATTAAGCTTGGTTTTCACTTACAGGGCAGCCACAAACGCAAGCGTAAAAATCCATATTTCACAGTGAAAACGGCATGCAAACATAAGAACAAGCTCAAGAATTGCATAAGGTTATTCCTTTTAATTTCCTGTGCTTGTCCTTCCGTGAGATCTCATTTTTTACTTGACGCAAGACTCTTTTTCGATTCGCGCTAGAGTTCTTGCGTTATGCACTACGTCGCTAGTGAAAGGCAAGGGTATTGCTTCGTTTCGCCCAAAGGTCGTGATTTTCACGACGGCAGTTCGCGCAAGCGCAAGTCGATACGCCTTATATGTATTTGACGTTGTTTGCATTCAGCCTGAAAATTGAATAAGCCAAACATAAAACGACGATGACTGTACATGTGTGGAATCTAAGCTTAGCTAAATTTAATATCTCTGATAGTTATGTTCACCGTTTTGCAGAGTGTTGCATGTCATCGGGTGAATCCACTTTCTGGCGAAACGACCGCAGTTCAAAGGAAGCAGGCGTTTGGATAGCCTCCCACGCAGAGGTTTTTACGAGCTCCCCTCAGAACGTCTGCGTGGGAGGCAAGCGTTTGGAAGGCAGGGAGAAATTTAGTCGCGTGAGGACGCAAAGGGCGTCACCAACTCCCTTGCGCAGCATCGCGTTTTCGTGCCTCTGATTTCTCCGGCCCGTCCTTTATTATGATTGGCACGCATGCTATTGCATAATAAATTGAGACAAAAGTAAAACGACAAGGAGTTCTAGTAATTATTTCATGGGTACGAAACTCACACAATATAGTGTTAAACCTCCTATGGCGACCATCTCTGGTGTCTAATCCATTTTTAACCTGAATTTCTCCCAAACATAGAAACAGAGAATTGAGAAAAGCCAAATGAGAATAAAAACAGCCGGAACAAACATTTAAAACAAAAATTATAGAAAAGCGATATGTTCCACGTAGCCGGGTAGGGCAATTGATAGCAAATAGAAAAAGGAAACTAAAGCTTCTCTACGCAACTCCAGGAGAACTCCCTCCTGAAAATGACGGGGCCCCTGGCTCATCAGTTGATTTTTCAATAAATTAGAGGAAGCAAAAAATTAATTCGTTGGGGAAAAAGTAGTTCCCATCACATTTCATTTTGGATTTTAGCGCCTTAAGTGGTACCAATAATCCACAACGTTTATCTTCTAAAGGCACAAAAAGCAGAAAAGTCACTATTATGGTGGACTACACCTCCAGCTAGGATGATGCACTGCTGAAAGCCATAAAATGGTTGAGTCAGGGTTAATTAATTCCTATTTGACTTTTTTATTTGGTCTTTCTTCCATCAATACTCTTCACTAAATTCTAGTACGTCAATTGATTTGCGTAAAAGAAAATATATTTCATTGACATTATGGAGGGTCGCTTGTGAATGGTTTAACTTTATTTAAATGAATGAACCAATATGCTGATACATATCATAATACTGATGTTACAGTGAAGTAATATATGTTACAGGTAAAAATTGATTTCAGAGGAAAATGTCGCTTTTAACCTTGTAAATAGCATTTCATAGCAAGAGGATCAATTAACAAGACTTGCCCTGTGTGTTGTTCTCTACCTCACAGCTGTATTTGTCTGACAAAAACTCACAAAAATAATGATAATTAAATAGCAAACTACAGAAGGAGCTACTCCTGTTTGTTTGTTCAGTTCGGAGTTATTAATAGAGTGTATATAAAGTAGAAACTTCGTAGGGTGGGATAATGTAAACTTAGTGTTGACACAGTATGATAGGCATCAAATGAACAGGCCATAAGGGATGCTTTAAAAGAAGCTGGTGCAACTTTAGTCAAATGCTTTGTTTTAAAAGATTTTACCTGCATTCCTGTGAACAAAGGCACCAACTTGAGCCTTAAGCTTGGATAGACATAATAAGGTGACTACTATAAAATTGTCTAACCAAGTCCTGATCCTGTTCCATTATATGTGCTTGTAAGAGTGAAATGTGGGAGAGGTCTATCATATGAGTGAAGGAAAATTTTGCCAGCTGTGGAGACCTCCATGGGTTACCTTACCTATATATTAGGTTCATTCACTCCCTTCATTACCATTGTGCTTGACCATACAAGTAACCCACCCGACTGATGACTATAGGGGACTAACAGCAGTCAATTTCAAATTGATGGTAAAGATTTCCAACTCGGCTAATTGTAGAAAGACCCCTTTGTTCTATATAATAATAAAAGATGTTTCATCCTATTCTGAGTGCAAAGAAATGCATTGTTTTTACCATAACATTTTGAGATACAGTGATTCCATGAGCATTTTTCTAAAGGTTTTTCATTCATATTCTTTATTACATTGTACAGAAACATTAGAGTTGATTAACTGAAAAACAACCTAACAAGTAAAGACTTTGAAAGACTAAAAATCGTTTCACCAAAGAAGAGACAGACTTCACATTTTACTATTTCAGTAAAGAAATTCTCTTCTGCACTCATTGTCAAAGCAATATTATTTGATTAACGATTTCACACTAACCATGAATAATAATATTATCCATTCTTAGAGAGTTTCTTTGGAGTAACTCAATGAGGTTATAACAATAAATATTATTATTCTACTTCAAATTGTTTCCATTTTGCAAGTTAACCTGTCTGCCTACATGGTACAATAATATTGGTCACCTCAGATTAGTACATCAGGGGGTACAGGTTAGTTGGGGTTCGAGTTAGCAAATATACATGAAATACGCCAACCTGATTCTTCTGTTACCTCTTGTACTAAAAAAAACCGCTTTTCACAACACAATTGCAAAGTTATTACGATTTCCACCTTTCCTTAAGACTTCCTTAGGAAACAGTTTAGCCTGACATTTTCTTGTCTTCTTGAACATAAAGAAGCTCAACTTCTTACTGTTATGAGTGACACACACCTCGAACCCTAAACTATCCATCATGGATATAAGATGACCTTTGTTTAGGTAACGTGAATTTTTCAGACAAGGAAGTGGTAGTACAATGAATAAATAACCTTGATCATTGATTAGCTTTTCACATTTCCGCAGCATATCTCCTCGTTTACGAACGTCCCCCCAAAGTTTATTACCAAACTCATCACAATAACATCATACTTTTCCTTGTCGTTTAAAGTTAAAAAATCAGCTTTTTTAACGTTACCACTTTGGGGATTTAGGTCAACAGCTGCACATTCAATCCATTTTACGTGTCTCTGATAGTTGTTATCAAGAGCTCCAACGTCAAGAAGTCGTAATTTATCACTTGTACCTTCTTCTTGAGCGAGACGAAGGTTTAAGACTTTCAGTTGCTTTACTACCCACTTTGCCGAGTTGAAACTTCCGTGGTGAGCTTCTCCAAGTCTTGAAGCCTGTTGATAAGCATTTATCCCTCCAAGTTTATCCTTTTTTGCCTCCAATGCTGCGATCTTAGAAGCTTTATCTTCCCTAGAAATCGATGGATTCTTTCGCATAGCGTCAATTTTTTTGTTTAAAGTGTGATATTCATTTATAACCTTCCGATCTTTCCTTACATTGATTTCGACGACAGGCTTTTTAGCTTTCTGCCTGTTCTTCTTTTGTTTAACTTTTTTATCCTGTTTTCTCGTTTCACCAAGGTTTGTTCGGATATTTTGCTCATAGGCTCCGGCTACCATCACTTTCTCCGCCATTTTGAAAGTGAAGGCTTGGCTACTAAGCTCGCTCGAAGCCTCGCTTCCGTTCTCTTTAATGTCTGCCTGAGCCAAAATGGTGAGTGTTCAGTAAATGTGAATAGTAATCCGAAGAATTCTCTTGCATCCAGCTCTCTTTTATGCTATTTATAAAACCAGATGAAAAGTATATGAGTATTAAAAGGGTTTAATAGCCTTTTGTTTCCCTCCAGCCGAAAATACTGGTAGAATAACTTGTTGATGTACTCTAGTAACATGGAACATTTATGGTTGTCGTACCAATTTGTTCCTGAGCTACGAAATTCTAAATATTGTTATCCTTCTTTGGAAAACACACCATATTGCTTTCTCCCTTTAATTTTTATGAGTAATTTGCTCTAAAATTGTAATTAAAGGGTTATTGATGTTGGTGGTCCGTGTTTTCTGCGTTTTATGTTACAGAGCGACGGGACAGCAACGATTAGAACAAGAAAGTTCTTAACGAACCGCCTGCTTCAGAGGAAGCAAATGGTAATGTTCACAACTTAAGGATTTTTCAAAATTTAGTGAATGAATGTATTTTGGCCATGACGTGTGTTTGTTTGTGTGTGTTTTTTGAAATGAAATGTTAAGTCGTTCCTGCCACATAACTAGATGCACAAGTGATTTAAGGTGCTGCAATCTATTCACGGTCGTTTCGTCCATACGAGCCATGAGGCCGTCTGAGGGGGGGTTACGTATATCCCTAGTCTGAATTTCAAAACCTGTTGTTTTGTGTATTAAGGGGGAGCCATGTTTTGTCTATCGCTGTCGCAGTTTTAACCCATCTTTGTGTCATTTGTCACCATTTCTGCTGTCCTATCACGCTGTTTCAAGGTCACATCGCTTTTTTGGAATTTTACCCTAGCAGTGCCTCGGTCATTGTGTTAACATTTAATTTACCGATTTCTTACAATGTAAGTGACTTGGTAAGATTTCTGTACAGCCCCAAACGTTTCCTGTTTGCCCATGTTTCAACATGATTTGTGTGAATAGTATGAAGTTGGTGCATGCATAATAAGCGTATTGGGCTGTGTGGAAATCTTACCCTGAGAGAGCAAAATATTTGGCTGTTCAGTTCTTTCTTCACATTTTTAAGGTGATAAATAGACAAACAGGTACCCTTTATGTGTTGGGGTTCAATTTTTTCGCTTTTGTTTTGGTTACTGTATTATGTGTGATACTGAGTTTGAATCAAAGGAAAATACAATTTGAGTCTAGGAAAAACTAAAATCACAACATAGACAGTATATGGCAGCGTTCCAACCAGTTAATTTTAGTGTGTTTTAAACATAATAATGCTTTTGCTGTTACACTGCAGTGTGGAATTTGGAGACCATTCTTTCTCCATTGTTTGAACATGAAAAGAAATGTTTCAAGTCTTGGCTCTAATCTTCCTTTTACTATTAAACTGTTATGTTGGTAGGTAGTAGATGTCCTTCACCCTGGACGACCCAATGTTTCTAAGGCTGATATCCGGGAGAAGCTGGCTAAGGTCTACAAAACCACTGCTGATGTAATTATTTGCTATGGATTCAAAACTGCTTATGGTGGTGGAAGAAGTACTGGCTTTGCACTGATATATGACTCCCTGGATTTTGCGAAAAAATTTGAACCAAAATACCGCTTACAAAGAGTGAGTACAGCTTTCAGTTAAGGAAGTTTTTGGGACTTGTATTGGTGAAATGTACTTCCCTCAGGGCAGTTTATTAGTTCACATCCATGAGTAATGTTTAGAGATCTCATCACATTCTCACTAAATATAGTTCTAAAATGATCACCTCGTAAAGTTAAATTTTTAATAGTATGGAATTTGTCAGGATATTTTGAAAGAACAACATCTAAAAGGCCTACTTGCCGAAAACTAGCGTTTGGGGGAAAACTGTCTTTGAGATATTTTCCCACTTATGCGCGGATGACTCCATACAAATCCTTGTAAATTTGTCTTTATTCATGACGTTATGGACAGTTTAACTGGGCTAAAATCTCAAAGACAATTTGCCCTCTTGGAACTTGCAGAGAATAAAAAAAATTCATTCCTAACAAAAAAAAAATAGTGTCAGGCTATTGGCAAATTAGATTACATTTATCAGAGGGTTGCATTATGCCGCAGAAAAGGTCTCTTCTGCAGCAAATTAAGGCATTTTTTTTGGGAAAAATTCATTAGTATGTGCTGATGTCAATAAAGTATAAAGGCAATATTAAAATTTCAGTGCCTCCACATGATTTGTCCAAAGCTAAGTTGCCTTGAGAAAACATTGTGGAGATTTTGCATTTTTTAATCATAAGATTTATGGATGGTACCATCAGATGTGATTTGAGATCAATGGACCCTGCAGACTTGCACAGTTGCATGATATCAGAAGCCTTGATGACTGCGTTATCCTAACTCTTTTTTCTTTGTGACTTCACTAGCACGGTCTTTATGAAAAGCCCAAGTCTTCACGGAAACAGAGAAAGGAAAAGAAGAACCGTATGAAGAAAGTCCGGGGCACCAAGAAGTCTAAAGTGGGAGCAGGAAAGAAGGTCTGTGTCAATGCTTAGTTATTTGACGGGTTTCCAGATGTATAGATATTGCTCTTTATGTCATACATGTATACCCAGAGTTTTATGACAACACACAACTGGGCCCAGTTGTTCGAAGGCTGATGAGCACTAACCCAGGGTTAAATTTCAACCCGGGTTTCCTTTTCTTTTGTTTAAAAACATTTTCTGGATAATTTTCTCCCTTTTTTTTAGAGCATCAAATCATCAAATTGTAGACAAAAAGATTAAAACTGAATTTGCCTTCCAAACTTTCATATCCGAATTGAAATTTTTCACTAACCCTGGGTTATCTTAACCCTGCTTTGAACAACCTGGTTCCGGGCAGTAGTAACCCTTAAACCACATTTTTCCTCATTTTAATGGCTTTGTTGAAGCAAGTTCAGTGCACTATTAGGACAAACGTGAAGTGCCTGACAGTATAAGAATTCACAAGAGTTCCAATATTCAGTTCACTGAACTGTGGGGACACTCGTGGTGAAATGAACCCCTTACTAGGCTTTCTGTGACTTGTGTCCGTCATAATGCTAGGCTCAGTTGCAAGTGTCTAGTGCGACTAGTGCATTTAAAAATAATGAAAGATTAACTTGCTTCATAAAGTGCACCCTGGTAGCAGGGCCTTTATTTTACTTGCTTGATTGTGGTGTACTGGAAGAAAGACCGCGTATTTGTTGCTTCTTGCTGGGATACAGTTTTAAACCCAGGCCTAATAGTAATGGTACAGTGGGCTCAGTGGTGACAATCAGTATTTGAATAAATGGATGCTTGCACTCATAAAACCAGATTGACGATGGTGCAAAAACATCAGTGGGCAGTGACAGAAATTCCATACTGAGTGGTGATTGTTTTAGCTGTTGTTTATGAATGACAGACAAAAGACAAAATCAAAGGTCAAATGTAAACGCAAAGTATTTCAAAACAATCAAAATGGATGCCTGCTTTACCTCAAAATTAAACAAATTTATATTTGGAAAACCAGATGCGTCATCAGTATGGAATTTCTGCCACTGAGTCGCAGACGTTCCTCCCCGCAAAATGTCCCCAGCGACGAAGAGCGAGGAGAAACGGATGTTTTCGCAGGCTAAGAAATTTGGGCTTTGGTGACTTCAAAGGCCTGACGTGATTCAAGCAGAACCTCTTTTTCTCCTCCTCACGCGAGAAGACAAAAGAAGAGTCTGCTGCTTGTGGTCAGTGGTCAGCAGTCAGCAAAGATGGCAGACGTGTTTTGCTTACTGCGTGTGATATGTGTTCCGTTTACTGCTTAATGCAGATTCTTACAGTTTTTTTCTTTATTTCTTGGTGTCTCTGTGTGTCCGTTTATGTCTCTATTAATCTTTACTGACATTTTGATGCTTTGTATTTATTTATTTTGTTTAGTTCTGTATAGTTTTACTTTTGTACCAAGTTTATAATGTTTATGTGTAGCGATGTATATGTTGTGCCTCTTTCCTGACTTTCACATTTTCAATTATCATAATCACGGTCACCCAATTAGTTTAGCTTTTTAGTTATTTTGGGTGTCCCACTACTGTATGTACTGTTTATGTATAATTAAATTCTTGTAAATTCTTTTAGTTGTCCGTCTACAGTAGTAGAAATAAACTGTTGTTGTTGTTTGTTTTGTGGGGTGCAAAAAATGGTAGGTGGAAAAGATTCCTGATTCCTTTCTCCCTTAAAAACTCAAAAGCACAATGTGTTCAGTCATGGTGTAATCATCGCTTCGTGCGGCATTAACACGTTTCTTGTGCTTACCAACATCTTGTGTGCATCCATAAACTCAACAGTACAAGTTGAGCTGATGTCCATTATAAAATATAATCAAAATGGAAAACCATTTATATTTGCTCATAGTTAGTAGCACATACGCTAACCTAGTTGATGTCTGTTCTAATTTTCTTTTTCATTTCTGTTTCTTTTCAGTGATGGACAGCTGTCATTCAGTATAAAGTGCTCAATCTTTGTATCATTAAAATTATAAAGTGATCACAATAGTGTCTTTCTTGTTGTCCTTGCTTAAATCAGCAATGATTCATGGATACTGAAAATACAAACAGTTCAGGCAGCATTTTCAGATGTCAAAGATGGTATTTTAACCATTCAAGCCCCCTTTAAGCCAGGCTTTAACCCTTGAAACCCTAAGATCAAAATTTGAATTCTCGTTTGTTGCCCCTATTCATTTCCTACAGAAGTAGTGGAGAGAAGTTGATAAGATATCAAGGAAATTCATCTTGTGTGATCATGTCTGTAATTCTCATAACCACTCTGTTTTACAAAGCATTGATATCACAAGGAGAAATTTGATGCTGATCACTCTCGGGGCTTAAAGGGTTAAGCCCCAATATCCACATGAAAATTCTCCTCCAGATCCATCTCCATGTATTTCCTTTAAGAATCAGTTCAGAGAATTTTATAAAATATCAAAGCATTTCCACTTTGATGATCAATTTCTTCATTCTCCTAACCCTTTCTCTTGATGATGGGAGAAAACTGATGTTGGTAGATACGGGGAGGCTTCGCCCCGAGGTGCAACGCCTTATCCTTTAATTTACGATTTTTGACAGGAAAAGTACCGGTTCTGTATACCTTGTATTTTACCCCTTTCATATACCTACAGTAGTTTAGAACGTTGCATCCCTTTTAGCTGCTGAAAATTCACTGTCTTTAAAATATGAAAAAAATTCCAAAATTAGGAAATTTTCTCGAAATTTTCTCAATGAATTATTCTATTAGCCCTTTTAGATCTTGTTACAGATGGAAAGACAGATTTTCCTACCCTTTCAGAATACTTCAATTAGTGAAATCCCTACCACTTCATATACCTAAGGCTCGAATAAGGTACCCCTTTCGGGCGGAGCCTCCCCGTATGGGGTGTACTGTTATAATAGGGAGTACCAGGTGGCCGGTACCCAATCGTAATATGAGAGTAAATGAACTAAAACAGGAAAAGTTGTTAGCGAAGTATAAATACTGTTACCTGGAGTCGTTGTCTTTCTTTCTACGGAGGTTTTAGCGCAAATTTCGTCCCTAGGGAGCTTTTCCCTGGCTTTGAGCACTATAACATTATCTGACCTTTGAGTGTGTGAGTCGTAATTGATAGCTTTTACTCGTTTTAGTTCTTCATTTACTCAGTGTTGCGATAGAAACTCTATATATCCCTTATAAACTCCCATATTTCGCTTGGCGTACCTGTGGTATGGTGAGTTCTTGGTCTTCAGGCAGCCCAGGTCAGCAGCAGTTATCGGACTAAAAAATTACTGACACGCAATTAAAAATTCCCTCCACCCAAAATTATGATTTAGAAACCTACTGATTCAGTTACAAATGTGGTAGAATTTTTATGGCTTTCCAACAGATTGAAACGCTATTTAGTTTTTAATTAAATAGGTACCTTTTTCGCGCTTTTGAGAACATCTCTTTCGGCCGCGAAAAACTTTTTTGCGCTTTTGATAGGAACGTTCCTAAACGAAAAAAGGTGCCTTTTTCGCGCTTTAAAGCTTTGTTTGGCAAAGTAAGAGATGCATGAAAAGCGGACAATATTTACGTCAAAATGTTTTTTTTTTCTCCGAAAAATGTCTAAATACTCGCCTTTTTTTCAAAAAAGTTACCGGTTTTTCCTGAACTTTTCACCAGCTCGACTAGTCTAACACAAAAAGGAACAATTTTGCATTTTGTTCTATAGAAAATCAATGCAGAGTAATTTTCCTGGTTTTTTTTTCTTCAACAAGCAGATCAAAGTTGACCTTTTGTAGAAAAAAAGTAGGATTGCCAGAGCCTCGAGTTGGTGCCTTTGTTTACAGAAATGCGGCCATGTTTCTATAGTGATTTATTAGTAAGCCTAATTTATTCCTATGTTTAAATAAAAGCATTTTCCTAAGGCAACGTTATTGCAGTTGGGCGTATACAGCTATTTCAAGAAAGTTGTCGCAAAAAATGTGCACGCGACAATTCCGATAGGTAATATCTACTTTTTTTGTTGCTTTCCTTTAGCACTCACAAAAATATTTCCATGGCCTTTCGTGCCATTCTTTCAAATTTCTTTGAAGAACAGCAGTGAACTCAAAACCACCCACAATATCTTTCGGGATTGTCGCGATTAATCGGCGATGTCACCATTCATATGGAAATTAGCTGAAATTACGCTAAATTTGTTGTTGCTGGATGAATTTACGATTAAGGGCGAGGTCACGCAAACCGTAGTAATTTCAGTACTTCCAAACTGGTCCAAATATTGCAGAAGTATCAAAATATTTACTTAAAACTGAAGGAAAACACACAAAACAAATACAGAGCCAAGCTGGGAATTAATGCTGGTTGCGTTCTGGCAAACTTAAGACTGCGGTTCAACGTACTGATATTGAAATTTGTACCCTGCAATGCAGGCGTATTTTGATGTGCGATCGATTTGGATTTTCGACTGACCCGAGATAGTGTTGAGGGAAGTCAAAACAAATGGTTTCAAGGGAGAGGCTGACGCGTCTTTAGGTCGCGCTTAAAGAAAAAAAAACGCTTATGAAATTCATAACACCGTTGACTCCGGAATTACTTGTGTTTGTTATTTGGTCGTGACTTTGTCAATTGAAGATCTTCTGTTGTGTCAGTTGAAAGTTAGAGCTCGTAATTAACGAAAACAAGGTACTATCATGCTGAAATTACTGTGACCGAGGCCGGCCCTTGAATGTTTTTATCAAAAGTATCAGTGAGAGTGTGAGGTTGGCTCTTGTTCAGACCAGTTCCCTAGCTTCATGCAAGGATGGAATCTTAAAGGGGCTCAAAGGACGCTTTTCACTGTGGAAGGTGTTCACACTTCGCGTCGCATGCGGCAAAACATGACAAATGACTGAAACCACTGAGGAAGATATATAAATATGCAGTGCCAGGTGACTGAAGATCTGTCTTTGTTGTAAGGGGTATAATGTTGTATTGGGGACATTCATTAAACTGGGGTCTTAACTATAACGGTTTTAGTGTTGGCTGTTCAATCAACACCAAATGAAATATTTTAGTACAAAATGCAATATCTGTCTATATACCTAAAAACACTCTGTTCTTTATTCTCACTGGTTTTATTTTCAAGCACAAAATCATGCCACAATAAGTAAATTTTAACAGCCTGTCCCAAGTGTTCAGATCCTCACTATCTGAATGCCTTGAATTCTTTCTGAACCCAACCCCTTGCCTATTTTTCCCTGCTCACTTTTAAGGCTTTGTGTAGTCTCCACTAACGCCTGGAACAGGCTTATGTGTTCAAAGAGAAACCTTGAATGCGCACAAGAAGATGGAGAGGAGAAGTCATCATATCATGTTGCTATGGTAGCAAAATTTTTGGATCTCAACAAACCGTGGTATGGCAAATATGGCCAAAAAAAAAAAAAAGAAAAATTGACATATCGTAGACTTTCCTCTGCAAGATTGCACTCACCTACAAATCGGTAGTACATACTTTTCTTTCATTGTTCAACAATGCAAATTTGTATTATTGTCATCAAAGGTTAATGAAATCCAAATATTTTGCTACCATGGTAATGTGATGTCATACTTTAACAGTGATTTGACCGATATTAGATGGTACTGATGTGAAGATTCAGTGTAGCAAAACACTGTCATAGTTATCATATAGTATAATATTATTACACTATATCATAATAATACTATTGAATCACTGAAGATTCTGAATCACTGCATTTTTTTGGTTGAATTTAAAAAAAAAAACCTAAAGATGACTGCTGAGGGTTTGACTGTTTGACTTTTGAAGATTTTTACTGAAAAATTCCAAAATTTTCCTCCAAGAATCCTCCTGAGCCCTGGAATGGTCCTTTGAATTTCCTCCCCAGGCAAAGTTTATCTTAAATGTCTTGTGATATGATGCATAACAGTGAGGTGAAAAGGGAGGCTCAATCAGATGTCCTGTGCCAGGATAACTCACAATAGAACACAAATCACCCTTGCTATGGAGATTCATACGAGAAAGGATTTCTTGTGCCATTCCAGAAGCTGACGCACTTTCATCATCCTCTCCACAAACAAGTAGCATTGGGCAGTTAATTTCTTCAACTGGGATTACGACTGGTGGATTAACTTTTTCAAGGCCACGTACAGGAATGCAGTATTTGAAAATACATGCACCATCTTCATTCACCATGACTTGACTAGTATCATAGTAACTGCCTGACAACTTGCCCTTATGTTTGAAAGGCACAGCTGAGATGATGTAGGAACTTGAGATGGGGACTATAGCTTTAATGATATCCTTGCAGTGAATGGCCATCATTAATGTTATTTCTGCCCCCTTTGACACACCCATTACACCAATACCACTGGGTATAACAGCAGGGTGTTTAACAAGCCAGTCTGCAGCCTCTTCAAAATACTCCATCTCACAGTAAGGTAACATCTTTGGCAAGTCATCAAATCCAAAATAAGCCAGTGAGAGAACTGTAAATCCATGTGATGCAAGTAGAGAAGCTTTGAATTCATTTAAACCCCCTGCTGTTCCAAATAAGTCAATCACACCTGAAGGACAAGAGTAATTTAACAGTAAAATCTTCTTGTAATCATTCATTAAAATTCTTGATGTAAATTAATTTTTTAAGATACTCGGCCCCTATGGAGACCAGCCTTAGAGCTGCATGGGCTACCCTGTGTAAATAAAGTTTTACTTTACTTTACTAACTTCTTAAACGCTTCTCTTGTATTATAATTTGCTCTATAATTAATGCTAAAAACAACAATACTTTAGTCTAACAAAAAGATAAAACTTTTTGTTATTGCTCACCTCCTGAAAAGAGCAGTTGGATTAACATTTGGGAACTAAAAGACCTTCTTGGTTCATACAAACCAAAGCCACACTGTAACAGCGAAATATTGAATTTCAGTTCAGGGGCCTGTTTCTTGAAAGTTCCAGCAACTTTACAGACCCCAAATCAAATATTCAAATCAAAATCAAATTAAGAAAAGCATGAGACCAAGCTATGCTAACAAACCAGTGCATTTGATAAATGTTAAAAAACCTCTAAATTGTAACTTGCAAATAAACAACAACAGCTTCTTGAGCTGGTTGATCATCATCAAGACTTTTGAGAAACGGGTGCCTGGTCTGAAATAGGGCAAGAAAATCATGTAAGTGTTTCATTTTTGAATGAGCAAAGGCAATAAAGAAACATGCCACACATCACTACAACATGGCATTAGTCATATTCTCTTCCAAAACTCCTTGTGGTCAAACGTGAACCTAAACTGGGACTAACATAATATATAAACTTAAACATACAGTCAGCTAATATCATGGTTAATTTCTGCTCATTTGCAAGCAACATGACTTGTTGAATGACACTAATCTCTTTACTAAAAGCTTTACAAAGTTAAATATCAAATACAGTAGAACCCCGGTAACTCAAACTCTGAAGGAAAATGAAAAACAGTTCCAGTTAGTGGGGAATTCAAGTTATTGGGATAAATTTCGGTGAAATTTTGATTAAGGGAGAGGAAATTTAGTTCGAGTTAGTGGCGAATTTGGGTTACCCGTGTTCAAGAATTTTGAATCAAGGTTCTACTGTATTATAAAAAATAACCTAATTGGTAATAATAAGTTACCTGGAAAAGGTCCATTTCCTGGGGGTATAAACAAAGTTCCACGCACTCTCCCCTCTCTGACTTCGACTCTTTTTACCCTTTCACTCATATACCATTTTTGCATTGTTGTACTTGTCAGTGGTTTCAAACTGTTTTTTGTTAAACTGTTAACAAATCCTTCGTCTGGTGCTAGATGCCCATCAAAGCAATTCAGTTGAATGGTGTACGGCTTGGTGACATCTTTCTTCATAAGCCGCAATCCTTTCCTCTGACCTGGTGCTTGTATCATACTCCACAGGAAGCCCATCTGTTCAATGCCAGTGTATGAACCACCATGAGAAGTGTCACAAGAATTGTCAACATTTCCTTTACAAATATAATGAAAAAACATGATAGTAAGAAACACTGTCATACAAGCGAGTAAGATATCTACAGGTAAGCTGTTGAATGTGAGAGGAGAGACGAGAAAAGAGAAATGGCGAGCCGTTGCCTTCCTCCTCCCACACTGTTAGATGGGTCCAATTCCAGGCTTCTTATTGGACTATCCAATTTTTATCTCTTTGCAGAATTGCATTCCCTCAAACAAATTGAGATTACAGCTTCTGTACTTAAGAGTAAATAAATGGCTTCTACATCCTGTTGGCCAGAACCTCTTCGGAACCTCTATTTTGATAGCTTCTTGTTGGCCCTAAGCTCTATTGTTTCAGAGTTGGGGTTCATTGTTAGTTTTGTTAGGATTAGGGCTATCTATTGTTTTCTAAACCAATCCTGTGAGCCGTTCTTACAGATTTCGGCCCACCCTCTACATCATCTAACAGGAAATCTTTGATTGCTCCAAATTACTATCTCTCTGAAAAGGCACAAGTTTTCTTAGTTTGTATATACAAAACTTGTTTTATCTGTTGTTTATAGTTGACCCTAAAAGAGAAGTTTTAGTAATAAAGTGTTTGATAGTCATATCTAAATACACCAAGCTTAAGATGAGCATGATGATGATTGCTTACAAAAAACAATAATAAATTACAAAAACATTTGTTTTCCTTTTTTTCATATCACAGATTTTTGTCACAAATCAGTGCTCACTGCTGAATTGATTGTTTTTTATTTGTTAAACTGTCATAAAATATAATACATTGAACTTTTTTACATCACAGAATTATTTTCAGTATCAAATTTAAAGCCTCATGATTTAAGTACAAAAGGCTTGGACATATTTGTGTTCTTATTTCATGACTACCCATGTAAATCAAGCTAGCAATGAAAATGACCTATTGAATTAAAGCTTGAGGAGCCAGCCATACAATAGTGGTATACAAGATTACTGGTAATGGTAATCTATGTTTTTAACAATTTATGCAATTACAGGAGCCGATTGGGCAATTAATAATTATAATAATCATAATAACAATCAAGGCTTTACTTTATAAGTTCACCTTGTTCATTGGCAACATAATGGGCACTGGATTCAAATACTTCATTGGCATCACCAACCACAGAAGAATGTAAAGTAACTTGTTGCCCAGCTTGAAGTCCTGATACGCATATCTTTACCAGGCGATCCATAAGTGAGGACCGAGGACTGACACAGATTTTAACAGCCATGTCTAAAATTCAATGACAAAATGTCTTATTAATGCAAATCCCTCTGAGAACATGAGGCTATGTCCCATTCATAAGGGTTTATATAAGCTTTTCTCCTTTCCATCCCTAGTAATGGGTATTAAAATCGCTCTTCTCACCCAATAAAGGGCTTTAGTTTGCTTCACTTAAGATTACATCTGTGTACCTACCAACTCTCATGCATTATGCATGAGTCTCACACCTGCAGACTTAAGATATTGATCTAACGCATCAAGGACAATTTCTCACGCCTGACTCACACATCTGGACAAATTGTTCTTTAACACATGATAAATAATGAAAATTTAATCCAAAAAGGCAGATGACTTTGTGCCCTAACGAAATCAATGCACCCTAAAATTGTTGTCTTTTAAGTAGCTTCGGAAGTGCTCAAACTTTTGTGGAACATCTGAGGACATTATTTTATTGCAACGTTCAGAAGTCTTCTGAAAGTCATCCAATATATTTGGAAGTCACTGGGACATTTCTGGCAATTCCAGTCATGACAAGGTGAAGGCTCACACATTTGACTCAGAAAAAGTCAGCAGGTATACATCTGGAACAGCGTCTAGTTTTCCAGATTCCTGAGAGCTTTTGGACGTTTATGGAAAAAGTGCTATCTGAGTGGAGACGATCATTATTAAGCTAAGCATTATTACTTTTTTCCTGGATTCCTGCTTTTAGGCAAACCCTGTCGCCCCAGGTATCACCCAAGGGCAAAATACCAAAATGAGGACTAGCTATAGGTTGCATTCTGGTACTGTTAGGTAAGGAAAATATTCAAGAGTATCCACATCATCGCACTGGCCTTTATACCCAGAGGTCTTCCTTGTAAATTTTCTCCGTGTGAGAGAGAGCGAGCCGCTTCACGACATCTCCTCTCATTTTCACTGTTTCACTGCTGACTCTCTCTGACACAGAGCAAAATTCAAGAATAACCTCTGCGACAAAGGTACACTGGCCTCAACCACATACCCAACAGTGTCACAGTGCGGCTATGGCGGAGTGCGGTTTACGACAAACGCAGACTGCAGACTTGCAGACTGGCTGGTAAACGAGGTAAACTTTAACAGATTCCCTATCCCTAAACTTTAAATCATTTAAAAGTCTAGTTTAGAGAAAGGGGAATCTGTTAGAGCATTTGACAACAATGCTCACCTCGTTTACCTGCCAGTTTGCAGTCTGCCTTTGTCGCACACCGGCCCAGCAAAGAATACAATGCTAACAATGACGAAACAAAGCTTCTGCTCAGCTTCATATTCACAGTATGCTTAACATTGGAGAATAGTAATCAGAAAGTATTGCATGCATAGAGCCGTACCAAATTCTTATACAAGGTGATACCCTGCAAAACAACGCCGTCAAGAATTCTTTCCAACCTACCTTTCCAAACAATTACCGTCAACTTCAACGCACCCCGCGGAACAACTACCGAGCTTGGTAACCACGTCTAAGTCTGGGACTGGAAGAGTATTTTCGGGATCAGGGGCCCGTTTCTCGAAAGTCCCGGTAACTTTTCGGGCAAGAAATAATGATTCAAATCGAAATTTTAAGAACAAGAGCAGAGTAGAGCGCGGGTCCTGGCAAGCAATGTACTCCATTTTGTTTCAATAACTGATAGTAATGTCCCCTTCTTCAATATATGTAGCAGTCATTCCTCTAATTGGGCGAAGTTGTCATCTTTGCTATTCTGGCATGCAGTAGAGGTGTTACGAAAACTAAGACTCTCGAAAACTAACACCTAAGACCTAGAACTCGTCTTAGTTTTCGAGATTATGAAAACTAAGACCCCGTAAAATCGAATCCGTCGAAATATGAAGTTAAATTGTAACCGAAATAGGTCTAATCTGTCAAATTATCTTCTGTCCGATTCTTTCCAACAAGTTTTAGGTCGACTTTAACGGTAAATTTAGGGTCTTAGTTTTCGTAATTTCGAAAACAAGGACCCCTCTTAGACCCCCACAAAATCAATCCGTAAAATAAATATGAAGTTGAATTACGACCGTTCAGAAAGACTATAATCTGTAAAACAACCAAAAACTATCATCCGAGTTCTCAGCAGATGATCCGCTTCTTCTAAAAATTTGCAGAAAAAAGAGGATGACAGTCATTACCTGTGTATAATTGTACACTGAAAATATGCCTTACCCCACCGATTGGTCTATAATTTTAGTTGTTTATCCTTAAAAATCGTAAAACCGGCATTCCGCTGGAGATGGATTTTTGCCTGCCGGCTGCCATGTCGCTGCGACCTTATGGCGTTACCTCAATTATATCTTAATCGCTTCCAATCGTTAAGTGGTCAACGGCGTTATCGGTTAAGCATCACACAAAAATACGGGTTTTTTTCCTTTTCTGGCCAGTCAAAACAATCAAAACAAAATACCCCTTGGGTGATTTTTAGTTAACGCAATCACGGTCGCAGAGACACCAAGGCAAAAATCCATCTCCAGCTGTGGAAAGCCAATTTTACTATTTCAGTAAGGAAAAACAATTAAAATTATAGTCAGAACAATCGGCGGGGTAAGGCATATTTTCAGTGTACAATTATACACGTGCTCCTTGGTAAAAATAGTGCATTTTCAAGTTTGTTTAAACATTCTGGCATTTATTGACAAAATGTCTTTTTATCGGTTAGAATGAAACCCCTGCATGAATCACAATGGCTGGTGTTAAGACTGGACTATCAGAGTCACCCATTCCCCCTGGGGATTCCATATTTGGGGAAGATACAATTGCACGTCTCCCATAACACACCACGTTTGCTACCTGGTGTAAGAAGTGTCAGGCAAAATACATGCGAGAGCTTTCTTTTTACCGTTCTCAAGTTCGACTTGCAGGTACTTGGGCAATGTACAGAAAAAAACTGGGCGTGCATAATCTAAAGATGACCTAATAAACGCACAGTAGTATGCTACGAGATCAGCAGAAGGGACCTGCGACAAGTTTGAGTTGAACGCTACATTTGAATTTCAAATCTTATTTTTCTATGCGGCATAAATCGTATTAGTGTATACTAAAACAGTGGATAGTGTTTTTCGCGCGCTCTGATTGGCTACTCAATCAGTGAATATCCTGCACTATTCACTGATTCACCTCCAGTTCCTCCGAGCGAGAGACGCCAAACTCGCGTAGTGCGAGCAAAATGCTTTCGCGGTTTGCTGCCGTAAAAAACTAAGAAATTTCACAACTAATCAAGCAAGCTATTTCGGAAATAAATGAAGAAGGTGACAAAGTTCGGTTTGGAAGTTTTAACAGGTAAAGCTTTGTCTTTTTTACTTGAATAGTTATAGCTTAGTTATCGATAAAACCGGTGAAAAAGTTTTTTGTTTACAAATGCAAATTAAGCTTAAGTCTTGCGTTACTTTATTTAGTTGACTTGTTCATAAATAAGCTTAAAACTAAATTTAATAATCTTTTTTACAGAATTATTTTAAATACAAACAGAATTCACAACTCCTTTTGAAGAAACTTCCCCGCAAGAGCTAAACAAACGCCTTCAAAAGTTTTATTTGTCGCTAAGAAAAAGCGACGACCGCGGCAGTTCGGTCATCGCGCGCCAAAATTGTAATCGTTGGCAACAGCAAATGAGTTAAAAATCATCATTTTGTGCTCAATTATCTCACTGTTTTAGTACATACTAAAACAATTATTCACCTCAGTGTCGGTGGCTAGTATTGGATATTTACCTCGCCGCTTCGCGGCCTCGGTAAATATCCAATACTAGCCACCTCCACTTCGGTGAATAATTGTTATCTATTCATGTTCCATCTGAATCGTAAATATTAACCTGGGGATTAATGATATGCAAATGAGTATACATATAATAGGAAACACTGGGCGCTTTCCATTTAGTCAAAATTTCCGGAATTTCCGGTTTGGCGGTAAATGGAACACGTTTCGTCGGTTCGTCCCACTGGAAAATTCCCAGAAAAAGTGGAAAATCTAAAAAGGTGGTCCCGTTTTCCCGGTTGGAATTTCCGAACGGAATGTCGTGTTCCATTGACGTTTCTTGTAGTTTGTACCAGTTCCAGGTCCACGGTCGGGCACCCGGCCACGTACCGGGGTTTACGACCAAATGGAACAACTTTTTACCGATAGGAAATTCCACTTTTGCTACCACCGAAATTTCCGGGTTTTTTTTGTAAATGGAAAGCGCCCACTAGCACGCATTGTCCCATTCACTTTACTTTGTCCGACAAGAAGGCGATTGGCGACCCACCCGCCCTCCCTAGCGAGTAAGTCGGGTTCCAGATAACCTATACATGTATTCAAGTCAGTCTGTCTTGGGCCTGTCCCAGGTCAGATTGACTCCCCATACCTTATTATAATTTCATGAATAACAATACCCAGGGATGAATATTATACTGATGATGCACAATAAAATCTGATTTCATTTTTTGAATCTGCTTGGCTGAGAGCAATGCAGTTTTTAGTAAGCGCAATGCAAAAACGGAAAAATTTTTTAATAAAAATGAAAACATCTCAGAGAATGGAGCACTGTGATGATGAATAACAGCACTGTAAAATATAGTATGCGATATGTTCTTGTACTTAAAAGAATAAAGAAATATGAAAATCTTACATTTGATAGTAATGTGCCAGCGGCGGTTAATTAATACTAAATTTATCTGCGGCGAGTGCATGACATTTCACTGAATACTTTCCGCGCGCTGTTTCCTCAATTTCATTAATTTGTGTTTTTTCTTTTTCACTAATCCAAATCTATGTTAAGAGATCTGTCCACTAAACTTATTGGTTGACAGTCGCGGTTTTGTCCTTTTCACCAACAGAAGGCACTGCAATCTACAAACGACTGCTATAACTTGCAAATGCTAACTTTGTAGAGAAGAAGTTTAGAATATGCTTCCAGGAATCTTCTTGAGCCATTGCATGTTGCCTGGGCTTTCCGCCCCATTCTATAGACATTCTATACGTCTTGTGGTAGGAGCGCTTACAGGGTGGGGCATACGGTGGCTCAATTAAATGCCCCGTCCCGGGGTAGCACCGGACTGTGCATTTAGATTCCCTTCCATATTTCCTCAACCTGGATGTAATTTTCTCGACCATTTTCGTAGTCATCATGCTTTCATCGTCATCCCCACATATTAATAATATATCCCCCTGGATATTTTCAACTTTGATAGCTGCTGTACGACCCGGGGCGTCCGTCGAGTCCGGTGGATACGTTTCCTTGAAAATCAGTGTTCCATTTTCCGAGACCTTTACAAGATCTGGCTCAAACTTTATGAAGTCAGTTGGTTTTCCTTGGTATTTGAGCGGGATTCCTACGATGGCGTGAGAGGGAGATATTCCTACAACCGCACTGATGTCTTTCCTGTGCGCCGCGATTGTAAGAACCAGCTCAGCACCTTTGGACACACCCATCAGCCCCAGACCATGTGACATGACGTCATAGTGTGCCAGCATCCAATCACATGCCTCGAAAAAGTACTCCAGTTCAACTTCCGTTATCACCTTGGGAAGGTCATCATAAGCGAAGTATGCAAGGGCTAAAGCTGCAAAACCATGTGAGGCCAGGAGAGAAGCTTTGAACTCAATCAAACCGCCTGTTGTACCGAACAAGTCTATAATACCTAAAAATTATAGGCGATCATTAAACATCACAATTACTGTAAATGCTCGAATTAGTGCCTCTTCTTTTGACTCAGATAGTGAATATGCCCCCCTCCCCTATTTGCAACCAATCTGAAGGCTAGTTTTCACTCACGGCGATGGAGTCAGAGGCGGAATCGTAATCAGATTAGCATCGAACGTCACGATCTAGTGATGAAAACAACAATTGATTTCGATTCGCTTACGATGACAGTGAACTTGTAAAACTTAAATTTTCGGAGACGCAGGCAGAACTTGAAGAACTAAACTCGGCAATTACAAAGCTTAGGAAGGAACATCGCGATTGTTCCAGTATCCTAGCCTCCGCTTGTGCTTCCGACTCCGCCAATCTGTTTTTTAATAGATCGTAAGCGACGGAGTCATTAGAGGAGTTGGGAGAAAATGGAAACGCTCTGATAGTGCTCGATCGTGGATAGCAACAGATCTTACCGTAGTTGTTACAAACCGTGCAAAGCAAAGAACATTCTCTACCCACGCACAAATTTGGCTGTACGCTGTAAGATACGTTGCAGCTTTCGTTTTCTTTTAAATGTTGCAGTTTACGTTTATTTGAAACAAATACCGTGTTATCTTGAGGTCGAAATTGCGATGAATGAATAAGCGTGCCGTTAAAAAAAAAAAACATGAAAGCCCTCTTCTCGACTCAAAAACTAAGTAACCGCCAAGGCACTAATTCGAGGATGTACTGTACTACTAGTATAGTAATAGATAGCCTGCGTGCTGAAGTCTCCAATTGTGAGGTAAAGGCAAATAGGAAACGTTTGGGATCAGCAGAAGATTCTAGGAAACTGTTTACGTACCCCTCCCATAACCCTACGTTAACACTGACTTCTTGCATAGTTAGGGCAAAATGTTTGGTTAGTTCACCGTGAGGAGTTATGCTGTTTCCCAGAATCCTATACTAATCCAACTTATTAACGGAAGCTAAAAATACTACACAACTAATTTCTAACTGTGAAAGGTTTGAACCCAGGAGTCATTTCAAAAGTAGGTTGAGGTGAACGTAGTCCTAAATAGGACTGTTGTTGTTGACAGTCACTGTCAACAACGACAGTCCTATTCGGGACCTATTCGTTCACTCGGACCATCAAACTCAACCTACTAATTTCTAATTGTCGAGCAGTTCTCAATAGTGGTGATAGCTGGGGGATTTGAGTAGAGAAAAATTCAGTTCCCGCAGCTCCGAACCATCACAATTGCGCAGCAAATAGAGAGGATGATATCTTTTTTGTCAGAGGCATGGACATTTTTCGACTGCTTACCTGGAAAAGGTCCCTTTCCGGGAGGTATAAACAATGTTCCACGCAGCCTCCCCTCCCTGACGGGAATTCTCCGCACCCCACGCGCCATGTACCACTTCTCGAATGTCACGTGAGCCAAAGGCTTCAGTTTCACATTGCTAAAGTCTTTAACGTGGTCGTGAAATAATTGCAAGTGGATGTTATAAGGTTTTGTGGGGTCCTTCTTGCTAAGTCTTTGACCTTTTCTTTGTCCAGGTGAGAGTTGCATACTCCATAATAACCCCATGGTATCAACTCCTGTGTAGGTCCCTGCAAGACTTGTCTGTTCTTCTAGACAAACCCTTCCGGTCTCATCTGCTTTAAAATGACCATACGATTCTAATTCCTCGTTGGAGTCCCCAATTAATTTTGCTGCTATCGTTATGGACTCTCCTGAAGAAAGTCCTTTAACGGTAATGCTAATTTTTTCGTCGATTAGTGACCGTCGCGGCTCGACAGTCATTTCCCCCTGAAATAAGCGACCGCCGCGTGATGTGACCTCCAATGAAATTGATTCAGACCGTGCTGCACTTTCTGGAGACTCCATTACTCCCGATCAACCAGTGTTATGGAAAGACAAAAATTCTGAATACCACTTTTGATTGCTCGAAGTATCGAAGCTTTTGGGCTTGAAGCAACCACAAATCACATTATCTTTATTATAAATATAAACAATGCTGCAATGAGTCAGTAGTATGTGAACTTTTTGATTTGATAGCTGCACGTGACTTATTGCTGAACGACGTTTCGACAGCGATCAAGTCAAATTTATCCACTCTTCTTCTTTTAGATTTCAGCTAAAATAAACAATGCTGCAGTGAGGCGGTATGTCCGGGGGGGGGTTACTCCCTTATATGGCCTCTACAGGGATGTACCGCTGGATAGGGTATGGTTTGCGTCCTCTCTGTCCTAAACTAGGTATATGATTTCGCACGAGTCTGTCCTAAACAGGGTGTATAATTTCGTGCAAGTCTGTCCTAAACAGTTTGCGTGATTTTTTGCGAGCCTTTTCTAGTAAAAAAATTGAGAGTTGTCCTAAACAGGGTACTCAAATTGACGATGTCTTCTCAAACAGGGTCAGGGTCTCAAACCCTCAGCGGCTCACCCATACCCAAATAATGGTCGAGTAACCCCCCCCTTCAGGCAGTATGTGAACTTCTTGACGAGACAGCTGCACGTGACTAATTGATGAAAGACGTTTCGATAGCGACCAAATCAAATAGCATTTATTCATTCTTCTCCTTTTAGCTTTCAGCTCTATTCAACAACAAAAAAAAATTAACATAATACGTCACTATTTGCTATGACCATAATGAGTCAATGTAGACAAAAAAGGCAAGGTTACAGTATTCCAGCATTCTGCGTCCTTTGTTTATATTTAGAATAAAGATGATGTGATTTGTTTATTTTTGTCAATTAAAATCATAGCCTGAAATTCATCCGATTGCTTCGAGTCGTTTTCTCCTCTGGAGCAATAATGACTCGAAGTAATCGGATGAAATTCAGGCTATTAAAATTCCGGATTTAGAGTTCATTTTAAAGTGCGAGGTTTTCTATTTTTTTTTTTTTGGAAAAAATTAAAAGGAATAATTCCCAAGTATCAGGTTCGACCCGTTTCCTGGAAGAAAACTGGGAACAAAAAACACAGGGAGTAAAGGAGAGGGGACTAAGCTCTAGGTGACCAATTCAACATGGTGGATTTGGTGAACTGATTCTTTCGGACTGCAAGTTCGAACCTTTAAAGATGGTCAATATTACAAGTATAGCTTTTGCAAGAAAGCCCCGACTTATTTACGGAGTAAAACGAGGAAAGGTGCCTACAAAGCTTCGGCCTCACTTGCTCCCAAGCAGACAAGATGATGGAAGTAAGCTGAAGTTCTTATTATCCTGAAGTTCTAAGCTACTTTACCCGTACACTGCTAGTGTAGTCGGTTCAACATAAAGTAACTTTAAAATCGCGGTGCTGGGGGCAGCACTGATATAAGTATATTCATAAACGTAAGAATAACACAACATTTTGTTGGACCAGAAGCCACTTACCGGTAAAGGGTCTTATGATGTCTTATACAGGCCAGGGTACTTAAATAAACAATTTTTCTCTTATAAAGGGTCAGAATTAATTTTGAAGGCCTCGTTTGTTCAACGATACCCAAACGTCCCTTGAAGATCCCCCCGGATCGACTGTTTCGGTGACTGTGTTTGTTTAATTTGTTTGAAAAAAAGACAACACAAAACACAACTAACGGGAAAGGTTGCAAGGGATGGTTTTCATTATCATCATACATGTATTATTACACTTTATAAAATAACTGAGATAGTACGCGTGATCTGATTGGTCAAAAACCTATGGTTTATTATACCGGTAAACCCATAGAAAAGGGCATCCGGACCACGAGCCATAAACAAAACCGGCTATTGATCTGCAAACAATGATTTTAGAAAGGCTAAAAAAAAGAATAAGTTACTTACCCAGCCCTTCTTAATATCAAAACGTTGGGACATTTTATTTGACACTAGGCTAAAGTAGAAAGCTGGAAAGCAGTTTACATTTCACATTTTGAAAAGGCAAAACCAAAATAATTTCTGGTGTGAAATCTCAGGAAAACTTGACCATGTGAAACCAGCAACAAAACGGAAATTTTGCATTCTTGATTTTTTACCTGTAAAATTAAATTAATGAAAGAAATTGTTCCAAAAAGAGGTCTGATCAAGGCAAAACTCTGTAGGTTGTAAACAAGTTGGCCGATGATGGGTCAGAGTTTGGGCTGGTTTTTCCAACATTTGCACAAATTATTCGGTGATATGGATGCAGGATATCAAACCATTTGACTTTACAAATCGACATGTATTAACGACAATTTGTGGCTACGGCAAACCTTTTCCACCACTGACATATTTCCGTTACAAAAAGAGCAATCTTGTTGGCATTTCTTAATCATAATAAACCAGACAACAGATCTTAAACCATTGCGGCTTGTAATGGAATCTTATGATGTCTTATACAGGCCAGGGTACTTAAAAAACAATGTTCAATTTTTTCTACTTCAGTTAAACAGACCATGAACGTTTTTTCAAAGGGTGAATAAATTAATTTTCCTGTAAAAGGCTTTCGTTTGTTCAACTATACCCAAAAACGTGCTGCTGTTTGTTGTTTGATTGAACTGAGTTTGGAGAAAGTTCGACTGTTTCGTGACTGATTGCTTTTGACTTTTTAATTTGTTTAAAACCAAAAAAAGACAACTAACAAAACACAACTAACAGGAAAGGTTGATAAGGGATGGTTTTCATTATCATCATACATGTTCTCCCAACATACACTGTAAATCTCTCTCCAAGCGTAATAATTAGAGATGCTGTCATCATTTGGGCTGTCATGCAGTAGACTAAATGCGATACGTTTATGCACACATGTCCCGTGATCTTTTTTTTTTGTCTTTTTCTAAATTCTTCATTTTAGCTTATTACAGGGATCTTAAGCGTATTTTCAGGTCCCCTCGTTCGGTCATTGTAGGTCATTGTAGATCATTGTAGATCATTGTAGATCATTGTAGGTCAGGTCATTGTAGGTCATTCCTTGTTTTAGTAACTATGACCATTCATCACTGCAGCAAGACCATTAGGTTACTCTCCAACTTTTGTGAAACTGTAGCAGAACTTCCAACTCTCACGGTTTGGGCTGTCAACACACGGTCTCATGATTTAGCCTCTAAATCTCACGGTGAATCAGAAAATCTTGAAATTGCCGGACAATTCCGGTAGAAATCGCGTAATTTCCAAAAACCTGTCTTCATAATGGACAAATTTTATCAAATCTAATTTTGGGGGAAACCTAGGTCCAATGCTAACCCCCATTCCTGTGAAACGTATGATTAATATGATAAAGCAAGCTCAAAAGGAAACTCAAAATGGCTACTCACCGTCTTATGGACATGGATCATGAAACAGAATCTCAAACTGAAGCAGGGACTTTGGAGCCACAGGCTTCCAAAGAAACGAGAATTTACCATTCTGGTTTTTTTAAAACATATTTTGGAAATCTCCAGGTTTGAGATCCCAATTCTCCAGGTTTTTTGGGACTTATTATCAGTCACTCCAGATTTGAATGGTTTAGGGGTAGGAAGGTCTGCTGCGGTCAAAAACTTGTGATTGTTATCTAAAGTGACTACATTATAGACGAAAACACAAGACACTTACTGATTTAGCAATAATCACAGCATGCAAAGAAAGTGGTGTTCTAGTGGATTTTGCTATCAGGCTACTAAATTTTGTTCTCAACTTGACCGACAGGCAAATGAAGTTTTTTGGGGAATTCAAATTACAGGAGATTTGTAATCAATCCTTGTCAAAAAATGTTTCTGGGCTAGTTCAAATGCTCTTGGGCTAGTAGTACATGCTAGCTACAGCTTACCAGAATAGCAAGCTGTAAAACTGACTTTCGTTGCTCTCTGGAACCAGCTATTCCACTTTCAAGTTTGCTTATCATATGCTTGGCAGTATTGGTTCTTGAATATGATTGGTCATCACCAACACTCTGCAAATTAATTGGTTTAGGGATCATGTTTTTTATATCTTTGCACTTTCTGCATTGCCTGCAATATGCTGGTTAATAACCGTTATTCTGATCATTCTAAAAGACATTCTTGGTCAGCCTCCTTACATGTTTTGATGTAATAAGTTAATATTAAACTATACATTTCTTGTTTTAGGAGCCCCTTGTGTACATGAAATGTTCCAATTGTTGGGTTGTTGGAAAAGCAATGCTTATGATGATGCCTACTGCAGAGAAGAGATTCAGTCATTTATGAACTGTGTTTCACAACAGGTAACTTCTCTTTTCCACTGGCAGTAATTCATTACAAAGTGTATGATTATTAGGCCATCTACACCACCCATGTCGCCGTTTTAACGGCCATCTTTGTGTCATTAGTTGCCATTTCTGCTGTCCCATGTTGCTGTTTCAAGGCCATGTCGGTGTCGGTATTTTACGACTGTCTTTGTGGTTTTTCCTGTTGCTGTCACTGTTTTAATCCATCTTTGTGTCATTTGTCGCCATTTTTGCTCTCCTATGTTGCTGTTTCAAGGTCATGTCAATGTCGCTATTTTACTACTATCTTTGTTGTTTTTCTCTTGCTGCTGTCACTGTTTTAACCCATCTTTGTGTCATTTGTCGCCATTTTTGCTCTCCTATGTTGCTGTTTCAAGGTCATGTCAGTGTCGCTATTTTACTACTGTCTTTGTGGTTTTTTCTGTTGCTGTCGCTGTTTTAACCCATCTTTGTGTCATTTGTCGCCATTTCTGCTGTCCTATGTTGCTGTTTCAAGGTCATGTCAGTGTCAGTATTTTACTATTGTCTTTGTGCTTTTCTCTGTCACTGTCACTGTTTTAATCCATCTTTGTGTCATTTGTCGCCCTTTTTGCTCTCCTATGTTGCTGTTTTAAGGTCATGTCAGTGTCAGTATTTTACTGTTGTCTTTGTGCTTTTCTCTTTCGCTGTCACTGTTTTAACCCATCTTTGTGTCATTTGTCGCCATTTTTACTCTCCTATGTTGCTGTTTCAAGATCATGTCAATGTCGCTATTTTACTACTGTCTTTGTGGTTTTTTCTGTTGCTGTCACTGTTTTAACCCATCTTTGTGTCATTTGTCGACATTTCTGCTCTCCTATGTTGCTGTTTCAAGGTCATGTCAATGTCGCTATTTTACTACTGTCTTTGTGGTTTTTTCTGTTGCTGTCGCTGTTTTAACCCATCTTTGTGTCATTTGTCGCCATTTTTGCTCTCCTATGTTGCTGTTTCAAGGTCATGTCAATGTCGCTATTTTACTACTGTCTTTGTGCTTTTCTCTGTCGCTGTTTTAACCCATCTTTGTGTCATTTGTCGCCATTTCTGCTGTCCTATGTTGCTGTTTTAAGGTCATGTCAGTGTCGCTATTTTACTATTGTCTTTGTGCTTTTCTCTGTCGCTGTTTTAACCCATCTTTGTGTCATTTGTCGCCATTTCTGTTCTCCTATGTTGCTGTTTTAAGGTCATGTCAATGTCGCTATTTTACTATTGTCTTTGTACTTTTCCCTGTCACTGTTTTAACCCATCTTTGTGTCATTTGTCGCCATTTTTGCTCTTCTATGTTGCTGTTTCAAGGTCATGTCAATGTCGCTATTTTACTATATATTGTCTTTGTGCTTTTCTCTGTCGCTGTCACTGTTTTAACCCATCTTTGTGTCATTTGTCTCCATTTTTGCTGTCCTATGTTGTTGTTTCAAGGTCATGTCCGGGTCGCTATTTTACTGTTGTCTTTGTGCTTTTCTCTGTCACTGTCGCTGTTTTAACCCATCTTTGTGTCATTTGTCGCCATTTCTGCTGTCCTATGTTGCTGTTTTAAGGTCATGTCAGAGTCGCTATTTTACTATTGTCTTTGTGCTTTTCTCTGTCACTGTCGCTGTTTTAACCCATCTTTGTGTCATTTGTCGCCATTTCTGCTGTCCTATGTTGCTGTTTCAAGGTCAAATGTCAGTGGCAGTATTTTACTATTGTCTTTGTGCTTTTCTCTGTCACTGTCGCTGTTTTAACCCATCTTTGTGTCATTTGTCGCCATTTCTGCTGTCCTATGTTGCTGTTTCAAGGTCATGTCAGTGTTGCTATTTTACTATTGTCTTTGTGCTTTTCTCTGTCGCTGTCACTGTTTTAACCCATCTTTGTGTCATTTGTCGCCATTTCTGCTATCCTATGTTGCTGTTTCAAGGTCATGTCAGTGTCAGTATTTTACTATTGTCTTTGTGCTTTTCTCTGTCACTGTCACTGTTTTAACCCATCTTTGTGTCATTTGTCGCCATTTCTGCTGTCCTATGTTGCTGTTTCAAGGTCAAATGTCAGTGGCAGTATTTTACTATTGTCTTTGTGCTTTTCTCTGTCACTGTTTTAACCCATCTTTGTGTCATTTCTCACCATTTCTGCTGTCCTATGTTGCTGTTTCAAGGTCATGTCAGTGTCGCTATTTTACTATTGTCTTTGTGCTTTTCTCTGTCACTGTTTTAACCCATCTTTGTGTCATTTGTCGCCATTTCTGCTGTCCTATGTTGCTGTTTCAAGGTCATGTCAGTGTCAGTATTTTACTATTGTCTTTGTGCTTTTCTCTGTCACTGTCACTGTTTTAACCCATCTTTGTGTCATTTGTCGCCATTTCTGCTCTCCTATGTTGCTGTTTCAAGGTCATGTCAATGTCTCTATTTTACTATTGTCTTTGTGCTTTTCTCTGTCACTGTCACTGTTTTAACCCATCTTTGTGTCATTTGTCTCCATTTCTGCTGTCCTATGTTGCTGTTTCAAGGTCATGTCAATGTCGCTATTTTACTACTGTCTTTGTGGTTTTTTCTGTTGCTGTCGCTGTTTTAATCCATCTTTGTGTCATTTGTCTCCATTTCTGCTGTCCTATGTTGCTGTTTCAAGGTCATGTCTGTGTCAGTATTTTACTATTGTCTTTGTGCTTTTCTCTGTCACTGTCACTGTTTTAACCCATCTTTGTGTCATTTGTCTCCATTTCTGCTGTCCTATGTTGCTGTTTCAAGGTCATGTCAGTGTCAGTATTTTACTATTGTTTTTATGCTTTTCGCTGTCACTGTTTTAACCCATCTTTGTGTCATTTGTCGCCATTTCTGCTGTCCTATGTTGCTGTTTCAAGGCCATGTTGTTTGTTGGAATTTTACCCCAACATGTGCCTCATTGAAAATGAAGAAATGATCATCACAGTGCACGCAACTATGCAATTGCGGAAAAAAGCCTGAAAAAAAAAAGAGTGCATTTCACTTGCATTTTTGGCAGTCAGGGAAAGAAATTTTAACCATGGTGATGACATCTTTATTTACCCACACTTGTGTCAACCAAACAAAATTGTTTGAAACCAAACTAAAGTGAAATACTATTTACTTTTCCAGTACATATCTTATGGCAAGACTCGGCTTCATGGCCCTTCTAAAGCAGCATCCTTGAGCTAATCGTCCAGAATAAAATGAAAGATAGCAAACTTGCAACAATTTCAGCAAATAAAAGAAAGTGAATAATACCTATGAGTCTCTGAGCTGCATATAACTTTGTTTTTCATTAACAGATGGAGATAGGAAGAAGAAAGTCTAGCTCTGAGTGGACCCAAGATGAAGTTAATGCCACATTGAAACATTTTACGCCGTATTTGAAGAGAGTTCGCAGTAATTGACTAGGCAAAACACAATCTTTACTGACAGGTTACCTAGAATATTTGCATCTATCTGGACAGAAAGATGGTTTTGTTTAAAGTTCCAGGAAAAAAGAAGGTGAAATTTATTAAAATCAACTTTTTAAACAACTTTTTGTTTTTGAAAGAAAGTTCTGTTCTGGTAGGCCGCCTACTTTAATGTTCATTTTAGTGCCTATACCAAGCTGTTGCTTTCAATACTGAGTCTCCTTCTTGTAACAGAGATTTTCTTTGCTACATACAATGTGATTAGCTCTGTTTATTTTGCCATTTATTCTACATGGAAACCGGAAAATAGTCAATCTTTTTTTATTTAAAAATAAATGGGTGGATGTATGATGAAAGATTTTCTTCAGACCGTTCAAGGTGACTCAACTTTATGAAGGGAAGCTATTTCGTGATGTAGTGAAACGATGTGTAGTGAAATGGCTTTGCGGCGAAACGACCGGACATTGTACCACCTAGTAGTATTGGAAACTGACTGAGATTAATAATCAGTCATCAGAAATAATCAGATTGTGCCAACCAATCGATCATCGTTTATAATCTGAAAAATCTCCTCATAGGAGTTTGATTATTTTTTCTCCTGATTGCATAAGTACAAGTAATTTAAATCCAGAGTTTTTTCACTGTGGTGTACTTTTAATGACAATAGTTTTTTGAACAAAACAAAACCGTTACCAACTAATAGAGACAACTAAGCACGGCTGGGGTGCTGTGTTTTTATCATCTTCGGAGAGGGGCAGATAGTGGGGCGAGGGAAAGTCAGAAAAGGGTCATCAATGTATTTGGTGTGAAGACAACAGAAAATTTTTAGAAGTTATGAATATTTGAAAATCATATCTGTTGAATTGGTTCGTTATAAACCCGTGAAGTTTATGAATATATGAAAAGATTTAGGTAAGCCAAATTTTCAACGCTGACATTTTGCGCCATCGTTGCACGACTACGACGTGAAAGTGCCTAATTTCACGTTTTCTCGATGACATGGACGCAAGACAATGATGTTCTAATCAAAATACAGTCCAAAAGAATTCCCCTAAAATTTGGCAAGTTGAACGACATGGAATGATAGCGATGAATTCTGAAACAGCGTGAATTCACTCAAACGTTGAATTTCAACTGTGCCGAATTAATGCTGTTGAGGAAAATTTATTGTCCTTGTTCATTTGCATTAGATTTGGCACATCTGAAATGCGACGTTCGAACCGGGCCTAAAGGTGGATTTCCACTGTCGCATAATTTTTCCGTGCGAACGCACGTAAATTTTACGCGCGTAAATGAAATTGAGACAATGTAGGGAAGGTCACGCGTAAACGTAAAAGTTGAACCTCGCTCAACTTTCACGTTTACGCGTGACCTTTCGTACGTTGCCTCTATTGTATTTACGCGCGTTCGCACGGAAAAATTACGCAACAGTGGAAATCCACCTTAAGTCTATGCTCATACTATGCCGGATAGCTTTTTGTACCTATCAGATATGTGACTCTCCACTTCGGAGATCTATGTGACGCAGCTCTGCTCCGTCACAGAAATCGTGCTGAAATCACTGTTTTTATGCGTAAACAGAAGCTCCATCCGGTACGATTTTATGGTGTGAACATTCGCGCGTAAATAGCATAAAGGCGATGTATGAAAGGCCGCGCGCAAACGTAAAAGTTGAGCGAGATTCAACTTTAACGTTTACGCGTGACTTTCCATTTTATTTACGTGCGTACGAACGTGAAAATTACGCGACAGTGGAAATCCACCCAAGAAATGTTTTCTTCGATGTCTAGTGCACGTCTACGACCAGTAAAACTTCCACGACACCCTTTTTTGGAGAATGTGAATTTTCTTTTTTCGGCGTTGTACTTGAGTACAGGTCTTTAAGAATTCACCTGCAGGAAAAATTCGCCTGTATCTGACAAATATTAGAACCAACAATAAAGTTTCCTCGACACTAAGAGAAACTGATACCCCCTCTCTTACAAAATAAATTGAACAAAATCTGAATAAAATTAAATGCACAGAATAGACGTGATATTTTTATAATGGAACCGTGACAACTGAACTAATACGAAAGAATTAAAAATGAATACAAATTATAATTATTACGAAGATTTCCTTTTTTTCAGATTAACCGAAGTTACAAGATGCAGACTGAGAAGATATTTCGTTATCGAGATATATACAGTATATCTAATTGAAGATAACGCTGTTGAAAAAAATGAGAAATTTTACAGATTAAATATATAACATTAAAAAAATTAGTAACTGGTGGGGTGACAAACCTTGACAACAGAATCAGCCGGGCAAGAATGATTTATTTTATCCTAGCTTTAAAGGTCCGTTCTCAAAACACCTAGAAAAGAATAAATCGTGCCCATGGATAGGAAAAGTTTCCGAAACGCCGCGAACCTCCAGGAATTAGGCCAAAAAAAGAAAACCTCTGCTGCTTAGGGTAGATTTATTCTAGATGATATGGAGTAAAAATGTTGACGCGCTTCACAACTGACTCTTGGCTTAGAAACGGTATCCATGGGTGTTTTATGTTGAACCAACGGATAAAAAATCAAGCTCCCATTTTTTGGTAACCAAACCCGTAATGGCAGTGAGAAGATCTCTAAGACCCTCGAGGCTTTTGAGAATACTATGTTTATTGTTGTCACTATCAGTGGGCATTTATTTTCTTGGATCGTCAACTCCATCATACAATAACAGATGGACAGAAGACACAAAACATCTGATAGGAAAAAACGATATTGACGAAGTGGCGTTTCTCACCTCTCAGCGAACAGGAGCTCGAGGTAAAGGCCAACTAGCACAACATTCAGAAAGGAAGAGAAGGAATCTTATCATTGTGTCTCATGGCCGGTCCGGTTCTTCGCTAATGGGAGATATTTTCAACCACCACCCCTCCGTATTTTATATGTACGAGCCCTTACAAACGGCTGAACGGATTCAATGGAAGTCAAATCAAGGAAGAAATTACGCCAGCACTGTTGAACTTTTTTTGACAAGCCTCTTTCGCTGCGCATTTGACCATCCAGAGATTCTTGCCGACATCGAGAGATACTACCGTAAACCAGATCACCCTCGCATAAGCCAAGCCATTGCATCGCCGCCTTTATGCCCCTACAAACTAACAGACTCAAGATGGGATCCAAAGCTATGTTATCCTATGACAAGCGAGTCTTTGAGAAGCGCCTGTACTATCAACTACAATTTAACTGTAATTAAAGTACTCTTATCTCGTATTCCCGAGAATAACATAAAACACATTCTGAATCCCTGCAACTCTATTGATGTTGACTGTAAAATTGTCTTTCTTGTAAGAGATCCTCGAGCTGTAATCCCTTCGTCGCGTAGCATAGGCTTCTTTAAGGAGAAAGCAGACAACAAAGCGCTCCTGAGCACACGATTCTATAGCTATAAACAGTGCAAACAGACTGAGGATAACTTGGAATTCATCCGAAAACTTCCGGATTCCCTTCGTAGTAAAATCAAACTTCAACGTTACGAAGATTTGGCGATAAACCCATTGAAGGAGCTTTCAGCCCTGTACGAGTTCGCTGGGTTGCCGGTTCTCCAAAAAGTGCGCACATGGTTGAACGAGACTACACAGCAGAGTAGGGCAGCGTGTAGACGCGAGGATGGAGCCGCGGTCACTTGCACTAAAGATGACGCATGGGCAGCGACAAATCGCTGGCGATGGAAGGTGCATCCGCATGAGATTGACGTTATAGAGCGCTACTGTCAACGGGTTTTACTACTTATGGGATATAGGCCTGTAGATGGATCACATGATCTGTTAGCGGATAAAGAGATTCCACTCTTCAGCAGTGACTACGAAGCAAAACACTGGTTTTTTAATTAAAATAATTCTTTTGAAAATCCGAGGACCCTCAAGTCCCAAGAACCGGACTGAATATCAATTTTCCCCAGAAACATCAATGCATTATCATGCGAGAAAGTTACGAGAATGACTACCAAGAGAAAATGCTTCATCTTTTATTGATTTCTCTCAACTAAGTTTCTTTTTATGTATCAGGGGCACCAAACGAGAATGTAGTTCAAAACCACTTAAACTAGCACCGTTGAACGTATTTTAGTATTTAAACGGTAGATATAGGCATATTTTTATCCCCTAAAAATTTTTCATCTGTTCGGATTTCCTAGCGGAAAGTCTAGTAATCCGAAAATTATAGGGATCAAAACTTACCTTTTCGAAAATTTCAGCCAGAAAAAAGGCTCCCGAAAATTCTAGGTGACCTTTTTAGGGTAAAAATCCGCTAAAAATGGGCAATTATAACATTTTTGATAGGCTCGAAAATCCTAGGAGAGGCAGGCAAGCAAGAAATTTCACAACAAATGTTCCGAAAATTCTAGATCTCAAATCGTCTTTCGAACAGATATTTTCCAAAAATCGTCGTTGGGTTCCCCTGATGTATGGAGATCAGGGGCCTGTTTCTCGAAAGATCTGATAACTTTTAAGGCCCGAAGGCAAACTAGGTTTTCAAATCAAATCCTGTTGAAAAGTAGCATAGTTCCCAAGAACAAACCCGTCAATTTTGCTGCGTTAACTGATAGTCTTACTGTATCATTTTCAAAATTATTGAAACTTTGAGCATGAATGCAAAACCGGCAAACATAAAATACCTTTCCGGGCCCGAAAAGTTACCTGGACTTTCGAGAAACAGGCCATAAGATTCGATTTAAGATAGAGTACAGTGCATGTGTCTGGAAAAATTTACATTGGGATATTGCTGAGAGTACATTGTAACTGGTTGTGGATTTTATCTTTTTATCAGGCGGAATGCTACCTAATCACGCAATTATCAAGCGGTCCCGTTCTCATTGCACCACAAACTTTTCAGGAACGGCAGTCAGTCTTTGTAACACTCAAGAAAACAATATTAAATAGTGGGGCTTTCGTGTTAACCTTACACAGTAACTTCTTCTTTTCTTCTAAATATACCGCTTATGGGGTTAACACTCTCACAGAACAACGAGATTTTTCAAATCTTCTTCCGAGAAAATCTTCTTCGTGGCGCGACAAGGCGTGATAAACGACTACGCATGCCAGGTAGAGCACAGGCTGTAACCTTAGTAATAACCTAGCGCTGTGTATGACGCGAAATTGAAAGGAAACGCGCGGGCATGCCGGAAGAAAAATTGCGCAAATTGTACCCTTCAGCCGGGCAGCCCGCTTAACTGATTAAGCTTCTTTTAAGAACGAAATAATCTAGTAAATATATTGATTGCATTGATCATGGAAACTAACTTGCAATTGAGAAAGATCTGGTTCAATTTTGGTACCGAACGTGGTATATGTCTTCAGAGTAAATTATCGGGGGATGAAAATTTAAAATGGATACCCCAAATGTATGCAGTAAGTTATTAGTGAAGTGTAAAACGAAGTCATAGTTGAATCTTATCTTGATTTAATAAAGAACGTTAAGACAAGAGTGGCAGTAACCAAATGCATATTTCTTGCAACTTGCTACCTATTGAGTCTGGGCGCTACAAGAAGATACCTACAGTTGAGAGGCTTTGCCCCCTTTGAAATAGATCCGAAATTGGTGATGCCATCACACTATTTGTTGAAATGTACCCACTCATCACTTTCTCATATAAGGGGCATCTTCTTGGAGAGCCTATACTCGATACGAATATGTCTTACAAGGCACTATTTTTATATATCATGTCCATGTGCGATAAAAACATCTTAAATCTCAGTTCCTCTTATATTGAAAATATTCTAAATTGTTATGCATCCGAACTCTAATTAAAGTTTCTTACCATACTAGTAGCGTAGAAGCCGTACACAGCCAAGTAATTTTTTCTTTTACGATAATATTCAATTGTCCCTTTCTTTCTTACTTAACTTTTTTTTTACTTTTTTCATTTGTTACTGTTTTGGTACTGCAATCTTCATGTCGAAGATAAAGTCAATAAAGTTGTTGTTATTGTTATTAAAACATTTGCAAATAAATTGAGTCGCTAAAGAAATCCAGGTTTTTGCCCAGACAGGCATGTATGCGTGTCTTTCTACCGAAAGGTTATTCTGTCATCCTCAATTGATCTGGTTGAGCAGTTATCATACAGACGGTAATAAACGATAACAGTAGATTAGTCGAAGTAGGATGCTCAGGGGCACCCAACGACAATTTTCGGAAAAATATCTGTTCGGAAGACGATTTGAGATCCAGAATTTTCGGAACATTTGTTGTAAAATTTCTTGTTTGCCTGCCTCTCCTAGGATTTTCGGACATCTAAAAATTGGTTTAATTGCCTATTTTTAACGGATTTTTACCCTAAAAAGGTCACCTAGAATTTTCGGGAGTCTTTTTTCTGGCTAAAACTTTTTAAAAAGGTAAGTTTTGATCCCTATAATTTTCGGATCACTAGACTTTCAGCTAGGAAATCCGAACAGATGAAAAATTTTTTTAGGGGATAAAAATATGCCTATATCTACCGTTTAAATACTAAAAGACGTTTAACAATCTATGTTTAAATGGTTTTAAACTATATTCTCGTTGGGTGCCCCTGGATGCCGGGTTTAAGGTCTTTTGTAAGCATCAAGAACTTGAGCTTTTAACTGCTTACAAGTCAAGCTGGAAAAAACGTTTCCTTTATCATTGTTTTTATAGATCTCTCAACGTTTAGGATATGTTTTTCATATTATTTTGTTTTCTCTGCAGCTTTTTACAATTGTTGTAGTCTTACTATTTGCGCGATTTCGAAAAGGTAAGTTTTGATCCCTATAATTTTCGGATCACTAGACTTTCAGCTAGGAAATCCGAACAGATGAAAAATTTTTTAGGGGATAAAAATATGCCTATATCTACCGTTTAAATACTAAAAGACGTTTAACAAGCTATGTTTAAGTGGTTTTTTAAAAACTATATTCTCGTTGGGTGCCCCTGGATGCCGGGTTTAAAGTCTTTTGTAAGCATCAAGAACTTGAGCTTTTCAGGGGCACCCAACGGCAATTTTCGGGAAAATATCTGTTCGGAAGACGATTTGAGATCTAGAATTTTCGGAGCATTTGTTGTAAAATCTCTCGCTTGCCTGCCTCTCCTAGGATTTTCGAACAGCTACAAAATGGTATAATTACCCATTTTTAACGGATTTTGTCCCTAAAAAAGGCCACCTAGAATTTTCGGGAGCCTTTTCCTGGCTGAAATTTTCGAGAAGGTAAGTTTTTATCCCTATAATTTTCGGATGACTAGACTTTCAGCTAGGAAATCCGAACAGATGAAAAGATTTTAGGGGATAAAAATATGCCTATATCTACCGTTTGAATACTAAAATGCGTTCAACAATGCTATGTTAAGTGGTTTTGAACTATATCCTCGTTGGGTGCCCCTGGCTTTTAACTGCTTACAAGTCAAGCTGGAAAAAACGTTTCCTTTATCATTGTTTTTAATAGATCTCTCAACGTTTAGGATATGTTTTTCATATTATTTTGTTTTCTCTGCAGCTTTTTACAATTGTTGTAGTCTTACTATTTGCGCGATTTCTTTCTCAATCACGAAAATTCGACTCGCAAGATTTGATACGATAGAAAAGAAAAATAATATATATTCTCGGACAATTTCCTTTTCGTGAAACGAAACCATTAGGTGTCTTATAGGTAAGGGCTGGGAAAGTTTGATTTACGGCAAAACCGATATAATAATAATAATTCCAGAAGGCCACCGGTGAACTACATACATCCACAACTTAATTAAAAGTCCGTTCCTCGATCTTTCTTCGCTCCGAAACCAAACGGAAACGCTTGCTACGCAGGGTCCGCAGGGTACTGCCCCGACAGATCATGACAGTTACAAATTACGCTGAGTACCAGAGGTTTTTTCGCGTGTGCAGCTGAGTGCGGTGGAGGAAGAACCTTAATTTTCGCACGGAAAGACGTGACCGAAACCGGAAAGCGCTCATGAGAAGTCTCTGGCACCCACGGTAACTAAACACATGCACAATTTATGTTTGCATGCATAAATATTAAAATGGCCTATTGTGAGAGTTGAAGTAGTCGTCAAGGAGACGTCATAACGGTGCTCCTGGATTAAAACCATTTAAATGAAGTTCGCATAATTAAGCCTAAATTATCTTCTCTACTGATAAACGTTAAATTTTTCTACGCTTTTCTAGTTGTCTTGCGCTCAAGAATATGACGTTAAGACGTATACTTAGACGGCATCTGAGATTAACCCCGCTACGAATTTGTTTGATTGGATCTTCATTCATGTGCTTTTTTTTTCTTGGCATTTTTACTCTACCAAACAAACAACAAATTCGCAGGGCAAATATAGAAGATATCACCGACACCTACAAAGAGATGCTCCTTACGGCTGCAACACGACGAAAACTCGCACAACATTCAAGAACTGCCAGGAAAAATCTTATAATTGTGTCGCATGGTCGTTCTGGTTCTTCGCTCATGGGAGATATTTTCAACCACAATCCCAGCGTGTTTTATATGTACGAGCCGCTACAGAGTGCCAAACGAATAACAAAGGACAAGTCAAATACCAATGAAAGCTATAGCAACATAGTTGACAAGTTTCTAACAGGTGTATTTCGCTGCAAATTCGACCAGCCAGAGATCTTAGCTGATATTGAAAAGTACTACCGTAAACCCGACCACCCCCGCATAAGCCAAGCCATTGCATCACCGCCTTTATGTCCGTACAAACTAACAGACTCGAGATGGGATCCAAAGCTATGCTATCCTATGACAAGCGCGTCTTTGGAAAGTGCTTGTAAAGACAACTACAATTTAACCGTAATTAAAGTTCTTATGGATCGTATTCCTGAGAGCAATATCAAAACTGTTTTGACTTCATGCAACTCTTTTGATGTTGACTGCAAAATTCTTTTTCTTGTTAGAGATCCTCGAGCCGTTATCCCTTCTTCTCGCAGTTTTGGTTTTTTTAACGAGAAAGGAAACAAGGATGCTTTACAGAACACAAGACTCTTTAGCTACAAACTATGTAAAGAAACAGAAGAGAATTTAGTTTTTATTCGAAAACTTCCAGATTTTCTACGCAAAAGAATCAAACTTCAACGCTACGAAGACGTGGCAATGGACCCACTGAAAGAACTTTCAGGCCTCTACGATTTTGTTGGGTTGCCTGTGCTTGAAAGCGTGCGCAAATGGTTAAATGAAACTACACAGCTGAGTAGGTCAGATTGTAATGAGAAAGACGGAGCACAAGCCACTTGCACTAAGGACAATGCTCGTGTGGCTGCAAATCGCTGGAGATGGAAGGTACATCCACACGATATTAGCGTTATTGAGTATTACTGTGCCAGCGTCATGCGATTGGTCGGATATAGGACTGTGGACCGATCCTACGAACTTTTAGCCAATGTAACTATTCCACTTTCTACCCATGATTACGAGGCAAAAAACTGGGGCTTGCACTAAAAGTTCAAAAGAGACTGAAACATCACATCGGGAAAAGCTCTAATGCCATTATTCAAACAAAGTTTTTTGGGGGGCAACACACCGTTAGAATGTCACTCTGGATGGATAACAGGTCGACGACCGAAGTCAATAGCGGCATAGCAGCGAGAATTGACCGGAACTGGGTATTGGAATATTGGAACTGCCTATTATATTACTACCTTAAACACTGCATGTTTTGCCCGGGGGGAGGGAGGGGTGGGTATTCAACAAATGTTTATACGGGAAGGCTCCGCCCCGAGGTCCAACCCCTTACCCAAAGAGAGTTGCCGTTCATTAGCCTAGCAAAACACCATCTACCAGTTTTATATACCATTGCATCCCTTTTAACTGTGGTAAATGCACTGTCTTTTACATAGGAATCAAAAATAGAATGTTTTCTCTAAGCCGTAAAATTCATTTGTTAGCCCTCTTTGGCCCTTTCAAACACCCAGACAGATTTCCCTATCCTTTTATATACTTCAACTAGTGAAATCCCTATCCTTTCATATACCTTAAGCCTGAAAAGATACCCCTTTCGGGCGCAGCCTCCCCGTATAGGCCATCATAGGGAGTACTTCCTCCCGGATGTTTTGCAACCTCGCTCCCAGGGTTGCAGATTTCGTAGTTAAATGCTCTCATCAGTTGCCAGACCACGTTTCCTCGCTGAGATATAAATGCTGATTTGTTTTCCTTTTTTTTGGTTATAAAAATACAAGACGTTTTTTATCCTCTTTTGTTTTAGTCTTGGACACTCGTCATCATCGTCTCAAGTTTTTAATCAGGTTATATACAGCAGGCTGCTAATATATGGTTTGTTTTCGTACACTTGAATTGAAATAAATATATTGTTTGACTCACTTGAAAGCAACACTCTTTCAGCTGCACAAATGCACAAACCTCCACACAATAGTCTATTTGTGGTAGTACTCCCTTCCCCGGAACAGTGCCTAAGAGGGATCAAGAGGGCCTTTCTCTCCTCACCGAACATGAGAGATAGTGGTGAAAGTGAAAAGTCGTTCAAAAATAAGAACACGCACAGGGGCCGCCCGCCGCCACTGCCCCCTTTGCCAAGTTGCACGCTTCTTATTTTCGCTTTGCTCGTTTAATACGTTCCCACTATACTATCTGAGAGCCTGGCACAGGCTCCCAACATGGATACACTTGATCCTAGTGAGGAAATCACCGCAGACGTTCGGACGACTATACTTAACCAAGACTGTAGTTGGAAAGTCTGCTTCAATCAGTAGATATTGGTTCTGCGTCCCTGACTAAATTAATAATTTCGGTTGTGTGACAAAGAGTGGCTGCAGTACTTTGGAAGAGATGCTACTTTTAGGTGTAGATAAGAAGACAAGTAATAACGCTTTCAACATGGCCGTAGACAGAATCTTTTAATTTTTCCGGTCGTCGTAAATTTGTCCCATGCAACATAGCCAACCAGAGGGCCGGAAAGCCGTTGCATATTGGTCAGAATACCGGTGGATTCATAGAATTGCAATTTTCCGGGGTCTTATTTGAATTCCAATGAGATGTTTAAATTGAGGTCAAAGTAAGTTACCTTTCCTCAACATATTTTAGTGACCTTCTTAAAGGGGTTAGGAAGAACTAGTAAAAAGGTGTTACCAGGCACAGATGATATAACATGTAAACAAAGGTACAAAAGACAAAAGAAACAAACAAACAAGCAAACAGAAAAAAAAATTAGATTTTCAAAATCCAACGACCCTAAACGTGCTATTTAGATTTACGTCACCTGTTTGTGTAAAAGAACGGCAAATGTCCATTAAGCTTGAGGCGTCATGATAAGTGAGACCTTAAAAGATTTGCGTTTTGCATACTTTATAAGTTTGGTAAGGATACGCCAGAAATGAGAGAAAAGTAAGGACATAGCCAAACAGTTTCAAATCATACGCTATCAATTATCGTAACTGCATTAGCGAGCTGGTAGCCTGAGAAATGACGTCGGAGTGCTCGTCGGAGTAACGAACGCAGAAATTCCATACTGATGACGTTCTGATTGGTCGTGCTGCGAGGGAAATATGCTTCAACCAATCAGAAACACTACCCAGATCTGGGTAGTGCTACGTCATCAGTATGGAATTTTTGCGCTCTTTATGCGGGAAACCGTGCAGTGGTGGTGTCGTGAAATGTGGGCTGTTTTCTCGTGCTAGAGAGCTGGTGCTTTTAGATGATACAGCTCTGAATTTTAACATGGTCATCACTTTTCACGTAGCCCTACATATGGAAGAAAAAATAGACACTTTGATAAGATTGAGTTTTTAATTAAAATACGGATTTTTTTAAAAAAAGCTTTGCTTTATAATTAATCGGCAATATACCTTACCACGCAATATCCTCGCACACTGTAATAGTCTTTGTATGACCTCAGCAGGGTTGGGATGAAATGTTACAATTCCTGTTCTTTAACATGACGAAAAAGGAGGGTTTTAATGAAAGAAGGTCAATTGTACATAACTGTAAAATGTGCTCTGGACATTAAAATATTTTAAATTTTATAGCAATCTCGCATTCTAAAATATATAAAGGCAAACCTATTTTAAGTTTAAGTTTAAATTTCCGGATAAAGAGTCTTAATGGCAATTTGCGTTATTATACACAATTTTTTGAAGATACTATAGATTTTAAAACACCACTGTCTTATCTCTAAATCACATTTTTAAGACTAACTGAGTCTTCAATTACCCTGACACACCTATTTTAACAAAAAAATAAAAATGAAAATAGCGCATGGATGTACGGATAATCAAACCAGTACGCGAAAATGGCAATAAGATATCATCATAAGATATCATTTTACGTTCTTGGCCATTAATAAAATTAGTTTTACCCTTTCATAATTGCATGTGAATAAAATAAATAATAACACTTCAAGGGTTACTCAGATAAAGTCTGATGAGCCACAATTTGGCTCTTGTCCTTCACCTCCACAGAGCTTAGTAAAAGAGTCCTTAAGGTACACCATTTCCCATAGAATATTACCCATAGTCATATCTAAAGATTGGCGTAGATGGCCTCTTGTCTCAAATTAAATGCTAGGGTCCTGGGTCGAGCGTCATGCTAACAGTGCATTTGGGACAGGGAAATTACCGTCTCCCTTCATATGATTTTACTGCAAACACGTCCTCCTACTAATTCCCATTGGCAGAAACTGTAGATGCCCTGGACCTTTAGCTTAAATTGTAAGGGCTTCTTCAGCGGAAATTATATAATATACTATAATCAAATGGCTTACTTGCCACAGGAAGCTTTGCATCACATCACAATTAAGTCGGTCTGTGGATCTGTGGCAGGGTACCCAAGTTAGTCTTAAAGGAGCTGTGTCATGGAATTCATCAAAATTCAGACAGTGGAATTACCGCAACCACACTGAGTGAAACATAAAAATAACCACTCAAAACGTTAAAAGAAAGAATAAATAACCGAGCAAATACAAAAGGAGGCCTGGATGGACGAACTTGAAGTAGATTGAAATGGATGTAGTTTTTGAAAACTTGTTAGTCGAACAGGTTTCCACACAACATAAACTAGCCAGCCATGACACAGGCCCTTTAACATAATTATTTAATTACTGGTAAAAAAGATATAATATAAATAATGGAATGTTCTATTTCCCATGCTGCTTTTCTAGCAATGCTCAACTTCACTCAGAGCTTTGTCCAATACAGACAACAACAAGTCTCCATCTTCCTTTGTGAAGCACATTGGTGGTTTAACCTTCAATACATTGCTGTCTGGTCCATCAGCAGAGATAATCACAAAATTCTCCTTTGCTCTTGAAAAATCAAGAAAGCAAAATGTTAGGTTACAGTGCGACAACTGTACTTGGGGCCACTTAGACTAACTTTACTGATATTGGATTACAGTGAATGATGATTCCAAATAAACATTCCAAGAAAGTTGCAGCATGAAGTGGATATATATATTCTTGTGAAATTTAAACCAGCAGCTCTGGCTGTTGGTTCTAGAGAATACAATAGTGTTTATGTTTAACTCACTTGTAGACAACTCTCTTTGCTTCTTCTGTAGCAGGCTCCTTAGTCATCAAGTCCTTGACCAGTTCCACTCCAATGAAAAGACCCATGCCCCTATCAATCAATAATCAATCAATCAATCAATCAATCAATCAATCCATTTAATTTAATAGTGTCTGCACTATTACAAATGCTACAAGATTATTACTCATAAAAGGCATTAATTGATCACTATAAACATTTCTTCTAAAAATTCAAGAAAGATTTTATAACAAAATAGAATGTGAAAAAAAAATGAGACATCTGTCCAATTTGTCCAAGTGACTGCACTACAAACACACTGTGTCATTAACTAGGTGAAGCACTGTGGTGTCAAGATTCAAATCCTTGTATAACATACCTAACATCTCCTATAAGTCGGTGCTTCGCCTGCAGTTCTCTAAGCTTTTGCATGAGATAGTTGCCTAGTTCAAGAGCATGTTGCTGTAGATCTTCATTTTCAATAACATCAAGCACTGCATTCCCCACAGCACAAGACACTGGATTGCCTCCATACTAAAACATTAAAAATGAAACACAGTTTAACATCCATGATAATACCTTTTTAAAGTAAATTTGTATTGACATCATAACTATTTCATAATCTTTATCTGGTCATTCATAGTTTAATACTAAATGTCTGACCTGCACTCAAGACTTTTATACATTGGTAGCTTTTTTGGATAAGGCTCAGTTTATATCCTTTCTTAGTATTATTTTCTTTATTAGACAGTTCAGTCAAACCACCCGTAAGGAACAACCCAAAATGTGAAAAGTTAGTGGTCACTTGCGGGAAGACGTTGCTTACTGTAGTTGAACTGCAGGAGATCTTTTAAGAGGAGAAGTCTGGACACATCTACGTTTTGTAACAATATATATAAATCCACCTTGCTTCTAACTTCTTCTCAGACTCTGAGTAGTGTAAGGAATACATACCCGGGGGGATACCTGGGAAGGGGGGCGGGGATGCTCGTCATCTCGCTTAGGGGTGTAAATTTCAGATTTTGGTCTCACTTAGGGTGTTCTGGCAAAACACTCATTATATTTAGCTGGAAAGGTCTTTTTTAGTGTTGCACTCAAAGAAATATTAAAAAATTATATATTTTCACTTTGTATTGTTTACTCTATTCATGTAATCAAAGTTTAAAATGATCGCTTTTAGTTGTTAAAAAAGGTTGGGCCACGCCCAGATCGGTCTCCCACGGGGGTTTAATTCAAAATTTCCGATGAGCATCCCCGTCTGGTCATGAGGGACTTCTTTTTTGTTAAGACCCTGTTAAGGGATGTTTATCATGTGACAAAAATTAATTGTGTCCAATAGATTGGGGTTAGTGGATTTTGCCATTGGTCCAGTGAACTTTTTTGGGGAATTAAATAATTACAGATTTAAGAGCTGTAATCATACAATACTGTGCACGAGAAATTTTGTTTTAGGGCTAATTAAAATGAGCTCCTAGGGTAGTGTATGCCAGCTTCAGTTTGCCCTTTAGGCAAACTGTAAAACTGACTTTCTTTGTACCCTGTTATCAACTGACAGTAAACCTACTGTATTGAAATATGACATGCCAGTGGAAGCAAAAGATTCTGCCAGTTCGGAGGTTGTAATCACAGCAGCTAAGGGGTGGCCATTCCCTATAGGCTTGCCAAAAGTAACAATGTCCGGAACAACATCTAAGGAGAAGCACAGTTATGATCTGCAGGCCACTGTACATGTACTGTACACTCCACAACTACTCACACTCTGGACAATTGGTCTACATCCTAACATTGACCAGTTATAATCATGCAAAACCACCAGAAGCTGCATTGAAGCAATTACTGCTTGTTTTAAAACTACAGTTACTCAAAAGTCACTGGTCTGCAGGAATTTTGTTGGTAAGTATTTCTATTATAAGTAATTTAGTAAAAGTGACAGAGGATTATGTGATGTCTTCAATGAAAACAAAAACATCTCCTGAATGGAGATAAAGTAATGTAAACTGCATGCATTATTAAAAATTTTTAAATCAGAGGTGAAGGTTATTGATTCAGTTTGATATCAATCAGGGAAAATCAAATCTTTACTACAATTATTTTTGGCTATGTGTGTGCAACCTAAAAATTTATTTTAATACTTCCAACAAATTTCACATTACCTGTTACACTTCAAGTAAAACATGTTGTCCTAGAATGTTTTGGTTTGAAATTCAAACTTACCTTGAGACTCAAATGCCCAAAAGTGCTTTCCAGCTCGTCCAAATCCAACCTGTACTTCATCAGCAATGCATACTCCACCAGCCTCTCGCACATACCTATAAAACAACACAGCAGTACTGTTAAGTTAATTAACTATGGTCTTATGTGATTTCCAAACCATGTAAGATTGGTCACACAGATCAGAACTTTACAATTTCCAAGTACATGTACGACTTTTTATAGAATACTTTTCGTTTAGTACCCATGAATATTGTTGGGTGAGAATGTGGTGCTGGGACTTTTGGCCTTTATCAAAGCACAATCAGTTGAAATAAGTAACCCTCTCCTACACAACTAGGCACTAATTGAAAAGATTCTTTAACCATAAAAACTCACATACACTCTTCCAAAATCCCATGCTTATCTCTGACTACAGGACACCATATGACCCCTAAAAAGGAAAAGCCGTTTCCCTGACCTGGTGTGGTCTAGCTACCTCTAAGTTTGTAATCACATCACTCATTGCATCTCATACATGTGTACAGTAAGCTCACAAGAGGATGGATAGTGGCAATCATTGCATGCTGATGTATGAGCTTACTGTTCATGTATAATGCACCTCTCATCAGCGACATAACCTATTCCATGATAAGAAAAAATGTAAAGTAATCCTCGTGGTTATTTACAGTGCTTACTTGTAGACTTCTTTCAAGTAGTTTGGAGGATAAACAATCTGACCACCACAGCCTTGCATTGATTCACTGATAAAACCAGCGATCTGAGGTTGAAAGATATAGAATTATGCAATTATACAATAGCATAAAAATTGCACAGAGTTGCAAGTCCTCTTTAGCTCCATTTGTTCCTAAAGGTTTCTGAACACAGTTCGCGGGAACAAAAACAATTCAATTGAACCCTGTGTCCTTGAATATTTAATCCATAATTCTTTAGATTCAATTTTATCAACACCTCCAGTAAAATTTCTCACATACATGAATCTTTTAATCAATAGATTTACTTACCTTCCTTCCATCTTTCTGTGCCTGATCAATAAGTTTTTTAACCTCTAAGGCATATTTCTCTCCCATTTCAGGGGTAGCTTCACCCTGAAATATTCCTCTAAAAGGATCAGGGGTGGGGGCTACATGTATGTGATCCTTCTTCCCTTTTGGACCCAGTTTTGTGTACTTGTATGGACTGATATCAATTAATGCTGCAGTGTGGCCGTGATATGCTCTGTTGACAACACAACAATAAGCATTAGGGTCAACAAACTGAGAAATGAGGAGACGGCAATGATAAGAAGATTTAAGTGCAGTTCAAAATACTAGGTCATAATTTTTTATCATATTACAAAAATCTAAGTTCGAGTTCTTGGGTAAGGACAACCAAGACTCCCAACTCTGAGTGGGCTTATAGAAACTTTACCAGACACTGAGATCAGACGTAGTGGAAATGAAGAGTTCCCAGTGGTGCTGCTGATGTGGAGAACTGGTGAATGAGAACCTTGGGAGGTGCATGCATGTTGGAAATATATCACATGCAGGGATACAGCACTGTGATCCATTTTGGATTAATGCAGCAAATAACACACATTGTAAATAGCACATACTGTACAGTGTAGGTACTCATTAACTGATCACTGACACTAGGATGGACAAAGCAGGATTCTAATATTGGGTCTAAAGGCAAAGGGAGACAAGATACACAACCACCACACACCTTGCTTATCAAAGGACATACATGTAATTAATTTGGCTTGGGAAGTACTAGCAATTAGTACTAACTAGTAAACTGGACGTCTGCCCTTGCTGAATGCAACCCCCTAAATCTGTGATTACTTTAGCAGTGATAGGAACAGAAATACCTCATATTCAAAAGAAAAATGCCACTCCACCAAATGAACTAGCTGGTCCTATTATTAGACCACACAACATGGAACCTAAAGAAATATTATGATCTGACATCCATAAACGTTTTAGGCCTACCTGTCCACTATAATCATATCTTCTGCATCTGTATGCTGTCTTGCTATTCTTAAAGCAAGATCATTTGCTTCTGACCTGAAAATGCATGATAATAATATTCTTAAACAATAATTTAAGATAAATAATATTATTATCTATCACTCATTCAGGTGAATTAGAGTAGGAAACAATTTTACTTCTTTTATAAGATTGACTACGAGTGAAAATTTTGTTTCACTTTCTTTATGACCCACCTGGACTAGCTTGATTTCTAACTGCAGGTTGTCACAGTGCTGTAATATATTTTTTTCAAAAACAGAATAAAGTGCTGTCGTTGTTATTATTGTGCTCTGCCCACAGGCTTTTACACATACAATGTTATTTTTTCTGCCTTTGCCCTTTCAATCTTAAGAGCTGCTATTTTCATAAATAATATTGATCATGTGAGAAATGATTAAGCTCAGGCTAATGAGGCAATAACAAATTATTGTTGTAATGATTCTCCTACACCAAAGCAGTGGGCCTGGTTAGCAGTACATTAGTGCTCTTCCTGTGACAGTGAATTACAGCTAACAAGCAAAACCACCACTCCCACTACTTTGGTCCAAAGCAGGAATCAAACAGCTGTAGAGTCAACTTACCCAGTGCAGACAAAGTAGCAATGGCTCAGCTGAGGAGGAAAGGTTGCTGCCAATCTTTGTGCATACTGAACAATAATGTCATACAAGAAGCGGCTGTTGGTATTTAATGTTGCCATTTGCTCGTGACATGCCTTGACGACATGAGGGTGGCAGTGACCCACTAAAATTAAAAATGCAAACACTTTTTAGGCAAACATACAAGTTAGGTGGACTAAGACCGAGTTTTCTTCTGTTTACAGATACGGTGAACAAAAATCCATGTTACTCCAATATGATTTGTAAGAGGAAGCTCTGCCCCAAGGTCCAAACCCTAACAGAAATGGTAAACCTTCTGTATACCTTCTGTATACCTTCTACTGACAAAAAGTACCCCCTTCATATGCTACTTCAAGGACGGCTTATCCGTCTGAAATATCAGGAAACCTCAAGTTGTTTTTTCTTTGCTGTTTTGTTTTCAGTATTTATATTTTCAGCCCTTTTAACTGCTGTAAATGTACCCTCTTTTTAATATTGACAAATCACTATACCAAGGAGCTTTCTTGTCTCTTTCACGTTCATAAAATACATCTGCTAGCTCTTTTTGGTCCTTTAACATATCCCTAACCTTTTATATATGGAGGATATTACATGGCCACGCGGAGATACAAATTTTCTCTTCAAGTGTTGAATTGTTGTATTCCTGACTGGCCTACATGTAAGATGAGTGCTTGATTTTGTGCAAAAGTTAAGCTAATGAAAGGAACTTCTCACCAAGAGGACAAACAGACATGAGAAAACTGCAGCTGAGTTGCCAGAAAACAAGGAAAATGTTTCATGCTGGAAGGTCCTGGATCTGAAGGGCTCAATTAAACTTACGAACAATCTTGAGAGATCATTATTTCAAACAATAAATGGAGGTTCTCCGCATGATCACTGAGAGAAACCATGAGTCTGACCAGAAATTAACCCTCTAAGTCGCAATAGTGGCCAACAGTAATTTTCTCTTAACAATATCCATACATTGTCAAGAGATTAGATTATTCATGAGAATTAATAAAATGATCACCTAAGAGAAAACGCTTTGATCTTTTATCAAATTCTCTCAACTCATTCTTTAAGAAAATATATAGAGATCAGTTTGGAGAATTTGTATGTGGATATTGGGACTTAAAGGGTTAATGGAAAGAGTGGTTGGTTAGAGATTGTAACAAAAATGCAAAGCTTGGAATATGGTAATACCCAAGGCCTCCATGGAATAAGAAATTTGCCTATTAGTACATTGTATTAGAACTTTTCTAAGTACATTAGTGGTGGCATGCACATACCATGGGTGACATTATTGACACAATCCAGATATCTATTATCTTTCTCATCATACATGTACTGTCCTCTGGCATATGCAATCTTGATCGGCTCTTCCTTAAAATGCAATTCACAGGCTTTCCTGCAAAGAATGTTTTGGTTAAAATTGCTGCCTTCCTCAGATCAAAATCATTGTGAATAATTAACATGCAAATCTCACTGACTTTAACCAAAACTAATGAGTTTATACTTTCAAGATCCATAGTTACAACATGTGTAAAAGATTTTTCAATCCAAACCTTACTTTTCTTAAGACTGGGACTCGATAACCGCTTTCAGCAAGTATAATCAATAACTATGGAGCTACCAGGATAAAAATCTTTTATCTTTGTAGGATCTAAAATTTGGGTTACAAAATATCTTTCGACAAAATTAAGCAATAAAATGGAGCTGCCTGTTTATCTTTTGTTGGATGTAAAAGCGAATTAAAAACAGGCAAAACTAGTTCAACCTTTTCAATAGCTAATAAGTAATTCGATTTCTTTGCCCACACTATTAAAAATCATTTCCATTGTTTTTTAAAAATCGTAATTAGTACGACTTTTTGTTTTCATTTTCCTATTCCCCATAGTGCATTACTTGAAGTTTATTTTAAATGTCTATGCCTGTTAATTGCACATGGCAGCAAACAACTTGAAAGCCTTCAGCTCCTTTGGTCACTGCACATATTTCACCTTTTATGATTTATACATGTTATTTGAAGTTCTTGTTTTGTTTCCTCCTCTTGTAATTTATTGTAATCTATGAACTAACCCCTTGTAATAAAGCAAAAAATAAAAAATAAAAATAAAAAATCTGAAAATCTGGTCATATTTATACAGTAGCACACTGTGATCTTGCTGGCATTTCATTGAGTTAGATTTCTGCTTTTCTAGTTAGAAAGACCCTGTTCCATATAATTTGGAGGCTATGTACTTTTACAATCTGCTCAGTGCCTTGTGTGCATCATGAAATGTTTAGAGTCTTGCTGACTCAGAATTTCACTCTCACTTTTCATTAGTGTCCACATATCAGATCAAACACTGGGTGTGAAAATGTCACTTTTAAAATATCATGCCACTTCATTCCGACCCACCCCCTTGTCAAGGCCACATCACGTAAAACATCGAATGGCCCATCAATGGCCAATCAGGAGCGAAACGCATGATGCAACAATAGGAAATTAGCATGGACTTTGACCAATATGACCAATAAAAGCTAGAGCACCACTCATTACCATTTACTTTTGGGCAGACATCGGACCGGCACTGCGTTCCTAACTTCAACGTTATGTTCCCGACCACGCTCGTCAAACTGTTGAACTTCTTCTACGCTGATTGAATGGCAACTGTGTTTGAACTCGAATTCTAAATCAATGTTCGCTTTTCTTTCAAAGGTTACGTTTATCCTACATTTTTTTTACAGTCACGTACGGTTTCCAACTTACCGCTGAACTAACTTTATAGCCGATAAGCAAACTCTAGGACTTTTACCACAATGTAAGGCTTGAAATACGAGCACGACGCATCTTTGGCCATTAGAGTTCTCTAAGCTAAGACGGCGGTATGTTACATAATGATAACAATGACCGACTGTTCGTCTCTTCGACAAAATAATTAACGTTTACAAGCTGCAATATTCGAAGGGAATTACCTTACCCTATGTGCTTGTTTCGAAGTCTTATGATTTCTTGTTTAGAAAGGCCATTGTTGGTGTCGCGGTCGTTTGCCTCAACCTCGTTTCGGCAAGAGTAGCCATTCTCGTGCACTCCATTTAACTGTATCTCGCTGGTGGTTGCTTCAAGCCTCTTTCTCTTCGCAGAACTCATTGTATGGGATTTCCTGAAGTTTTGCCAAGACCGCTGCAGCAATTTTCCTTTTTCTCTTTCACCTATACCTAGCGCGCTAAGCCGGAACCGGTTTGCATGTGCAACTTTTTGGCTGGAACGTCACGAGACTTGAAAATCAAGTTTGTTACGTCATCTGTTTTTTTTCCGCTTTGCGCACAGGTTACCCAGACTTGAAAAATATTTTTTCGTCCTAGCTGTCGGGCTACTCCGTTAAAAGCAAAAAAGATTCTCTTTCTATTTTACCGTACTTAGAAATTTTGGCGTTAGGACAGTCTATATGTTTTAGTTATCAATTTAATACTCTCAGATGGCCCAACTTTGGTTAATTGTTCGGTCTTTGACAGGTCCTAGTATCGATATCAATGCAGTTTTACACATTGTGAGGAATTGCTCTGAGGTGTGAAAATTTCACATTTTTTTTACCATGCTACTTTAACAGAAAGAACGCAAAAAAACCTAGAACATCCAGGGGAGGCTCGAAGGGAACAGAGCATCTCTTAGTTCACACGGGCCCGGACAAAGTTTTGAACGGACAAGTTTTTTTACCTGTGCAACCCGTTTACAAGGAACCGTGCAAATTCTGTTAAGCAGATTACAGTCCTGATCGCCGTTCAAAAACGTACACGGTTCTGCAGGTCCCGTGTAAACGAAAGGCGGATCTGTGCAAGTTTTTGTCAGCTCAAAAATTGACCAGGAACAGTGTAGACCCTTTAAGGTGGGGTAGTGGAAAGGTGGAGAGCGTTAAGTATGTATCGCGACGAATACGGTTTAAAAAAAACGGCTTCGAATGGTTTTTAAAAACTGAATCGGACCTGGGGAGTAAATTGCAAAGATAGCACTACAGGTTGAATAAGAAAGAGATTAGTGACAAAAAAAAATGTGCTGCCTACTGCCAAGAAGTGTCCTCTCTACTATAACAACGGGCGAGTGTGTTGCCGTTTTAAGGTTTTCCTCATGCATAAGGTATCCGAATAATTACTCTGTATCTTGTAGTACGTGCGAGTTTCTTATTAAAATAAACAGATCATAGTCCAAGGTATATTTCCTGACGGTTCCTGAGTGTTTGGTGAGCAGTATCGTCTTTTAGAAGGATTTGTTAAGGCATAGCATTTTCCTGCCTGATTATAGCTGAATTCGAGTTTTACCTACACGTTCTTGTTTGACCCTGTTTGTATGCTTAGTCCTATCGAGCAGTTTTACCGCAAGCATTAGTTTGATTGGTTCTTTGGCCGTAATTGTCAATGACGACGAGTAGATTAAGCTTTCTTCACAAGCTCACTCACGGGATATGCTGCAATGGAAAGTTCTCAAGGTCAGCTAACCCAACAGGAAAGTCTACCAACTTGGTTAATTAATTTGCTGGTGATTGGCTGCATGGGCTCCTCAAGTATTACAGTCCATACAACCGGGCCAACATAGTGGTTAAAAATTTTCATTTATCCCCCTGAATGAACTATATATTCCACTTAGAATATGTCTCTGAAAAAATATAACTCTAGCCTTGACCATAAGTTGGAGCCGCGGCATTTGCAAGTTCTGTTTTGAGACGATTCAGCCCAGGAGGGAATTCGCTTTACGCTCTCTTTTTATTCTTCTGTTTTGCTAAAGAAAAGGAACCGTAAAACTTGTACATCGTTGAGCGGCGATCTAAAATAACAAGTTGCGCATAAGACAAGATATCAGAGGAGTTACTGTTTAGGGATCTTTATTTCCACAAAACGTTATAATTAGACAATTTTCCCGCATAGATTCGTCCACGGCCCTTGTAACTTCTTCAACCAATTATTTCGCACGTTTTGTTTTTAGTTTGAAGTGTGAAAGCGAAATGTTACCTTACCCGCAAGCCTCCAAGAGAAGCTAAGACAAAAACAGAGAACCAGGCAAAAATATATCATAAAATAATTTGTCGATAGTATGTACTATATAAATATATTTGTCGTGGATACTCTTTTCGTGACACTTCTTAAATCTCCCAGGAGTATTTCAGTCTGCGAGCAAGCTCTCCCCCAAATGGAGAGCTAGCTCGGAGGCTAAGGAGTAATAACCGCAATGTTCTATTTTTCGCTTCTAACTAAGAAGGAAATACTCAGTAGTATGAAATGTCAGCCGTCACTTCGCCCCGTCCCTCCCCTCAACGGGCGGCTGTTGGGGTGGGGGGTATAGGACAAAGGGAAGGTTAGAACAAAAGGACTCGACACAATTTCAGTGAAAATCTCTAGGGCGTGTTGTCCTTGTAGGAATCTGAATCAGGTTCGAGAATGTAACTTAACGTGGCTTCGCATTGTTCTTGTTTGTCTTCCGATTGTTCATGGTCAGTGTCACATTCATATTGATCTTGTAACTGCCGCATAAACACGTAAAGCTTGACGGTCACAGAGCTCGCCGCACGAATTTCTTTTCCGTACCGCTGAATCATATTCCAAACATCACCTGCGAAAAAAGGCCGGAAAAAAACAAGGGTTCAGTTAAATGATACAAAGAATCAACTCCCGCGTAGGCAATGCAATCTAGACTTCAATAAGACAGCAACTACAAAACAAGGAGCACACGTGTCTTGACTGCAAATCAGTAGAAATAATTCTCCGGAAGGGCCCTCATAGGTGGGCGGGGGTACGTATGTCCCTAGTCTAAATTTCAAATACGCTCGTTCCGCGTTTTTTTTCGGTATTTAAGCCAGCTTTACGTCGTTTGTCGCTGTTTCGAGGCTATGTCGCTTGTCGGAATTTTACCCAAACATGGCCTCTTTGAACGCTACTACACGGCAGATAACAAAGCAATTTATTACCTGCGGCAGCTAAGCTTTTTACCTACCCACTGTTAGCTTTCGTTCTGTTATAAACGAGTGGATATCCAGGAGATCGTCTGCCAGTCCCTAGAGAAACACCAAGTATTTGTAAAGTTCCGTAAGTAAATGAATTGAGTATTATTATTGTTATTGGTTAACTACCGTATCAAAGAATAGATTGAAAAAGAGAAGAAACGAGATGAAAAGAAAAGATATATGAAAATCGCTGAAACTTACAACGTCACCAAACGTGAAATAAACAAGGTCCCTGGAGCAGGCAGCACTAGCCATCATCTGAATCAAACCTGAAGATGACAAAAATAAAGTGACTCGTAATGTGGATCTAGGATAGGAGCAAGACGAAATGTTTTTTACGTCAAGCGTGGGGCAAGGATGAAATCAGGGTCCTGCACGAGATGTGAACTCAGAGAGTTACGGACGGACCAGCCTGGTTGTCAGGGTCTCTCGATTCCTTGGCGCAGATGCACAGATCGAGGTTGCAAAGAGACTGTTGGTGAGCCTGTGTGGCAGTCGTTTCTGTTTCCTTTCAGCCAAGCGAGGGCTTCACGCGAGGGTTCCTCGCGTGTCTCCCGCGCATCTTTTGCTTGGCTAAAGGGGAAACGGAAACGACAGCTTCCAGGCTAACTTGTGGTGAACATTTTCTATGCGCCTTTTGCACACCTTCAAGATTAGTAACTGGCATACAGATATGTCCAGATATCATCTGGTAAAACAACCGATCAGCAAATGTACAGTTAAGAAGATTAGGTGTTATAGGGAAAAACACGGCAGAGGAGAGGAGAGGATTGAACTGCTAGACATTAATTTTTTCATACCTAGTTTAAACGAAAAAAACAAACAAACAAACAAACATAACAGAGCGAGCAAACAGTGAAGTTGTGATCAAGCAAAGTGTAATCTGTTGGAACAATCACGTAAGCAAAAAGACAAGTTACTCCGTTTTCTTGTACCTTTTAGTCTCGAGTCTCCACCAAATGCGCCGCACCCCCAGTTTCCTGAATAAGTAAACCGATGTTAGTCAGGTTATGTTCTCAAAAAGCAACCAAAGAATTTTGTCTGCGTATATATGCGGTTCTCATTTATTCAGCGATTTTTGCGCACGCTTTTTCCCGCGATCAGCAAAAAAGTTCCTGCCAATAAAAACTACCACAAAATTTTCACTCGCAGAAGCGACTCAATGGTCAAAATTATTTAGGCCATGCTCACACTACACCGGATACCTTTTTGTACCTATAAGATATGTGACTCTCCACTTTAGAGATCGGCGGGGCGTAGCTTCGTTCCGTTACAGAAATCACGCCGAAATCACCGTTCTTATGTGTGAACAAAAGCTATATCCGATATGGTTTTCGTGCATATCCGGTATAGTGTAAACATAGCGTTTTTTTTTTTTTTTAAAAAAAGAAAACATCGCCATTGCTCTGAAGAGAAATGTCAATTGTTATTAGCGTGAATCTAGCCCGCGTAGCAATCGTTTCCGTGCGGTTTAGGAGCAAAGAACGAGGAACGAGAGTCAAAGACCGCGCGAAAAATTGGCGCAAGTAAAAGAGCGGGGAGGGGGTGGGCCATTGGGTTAGATCCCCTCCCCCTCCCCTCCCCCCTCTTTCATTTTTTTTGGCTCTCGTTTCATTTCTCGCGCGGCTGAAACCGAAAATCCCGTTCCTCGGTCTTTCTTTGCTCCGAAACCAGACGGAAACGCTTGCTACGCGGGCTCATAATAGCACGACAACACCGACTTTACGTACTTAAAACGACAACGGTATTTTATTTCTGGATATTCCCCGCCTGTCTTTTGACCCTAGTAAACAAAATCAATCATGAACGAGCTTCCTTAAGATCGCAAAAATTAATTCCCAGTGAGAAACCCAACTGAACCGATCGCAAAAAATAGCCCCCCTCCCCTCCCCCCGCCTCGAATATATAAAGAAAATCGCCAATCCGCAAAGGTCTCGTCTTGTCTGCGCCTATTTACTAAGTATATAATTTATATAAAAATAACCGATATAAAACTTATCTGACCTGTAGCAATGGCTGGGAGATATTTTTGGTCCGAATGAAACCCACAGAATGCCTGAAAAAAAAAAAAAAAAAAAAAAAATCGAGAGTATTTAGTGTTGCTTTTTACCTTAACTGGCGCTCTCACTATATTACGCTGCTTCTTAAGATGACAACGTGCCTCCCATTTTAACGACCCACTAAGACTGTATAACCCCGCCCGCAAGACCCCAAGATAATTGCAAATGCAGAGGAAGCGATCAGTTAAATAGTTTGCACATTACCTTGTTAAGTTCTCGCTTAAGCAGACCAGCTTCAAGTTGGTCCGTGTAACAACGGAATACATGAGCATCTATTGCCACTATCTTAGTGTTCCGCCGTCCCCACGAGTCTCTGGAAAAAAATACATTACTTATTAATAAAAAAGACTTAATATTCCGCATGTTACAAGCCAGGGACAGTAAACACACAAGAGTCCACGAAAGGATTCAAACAAATAACCTTGGAAACACAGGGCGCAAGATACTGAACGAGCTTTGTTCAGTTCACGATAGCTAAATTTTGTTGTCATTTTCTCAGAGGTTACTTCTCTCTGGCGAGATTGAAACAAATAGATAAATATAGAATAAAAATAAATAGTTCCGGCAAAAAAGCGGCAGCCGCAAAAAAGACTGCGTTCACAGCCCCCTCCCGCCTCAAAAAAAAAATTATTATCACTTTGTTAGGCATTGTGGCGCATTTTGTTGGCTAAACTAGAGAATTTGCAAGGCTAAAATGTATGTGAATTTTAAATGAAACAAAGGTTTTAAAACCCCAAGCTTCTAGAAAGCACTAAGTCGAGGAACACCGAAATAAATTAGGGCTTCCTGGGCGCTTACATAAAAGAGGAAATACGGTAATTTCTCACCGAGTTGTCTGATCAACATGGTTTCCAGCCCATTTAAACGTATGTGCATAACCAACATAGTCACTGTACCGTTCAGCACCTACACACACAAACCATCAAACAAGTATAAACACAATCCAGTAAATCCAGTTTACCAGGAATCACAGATAGTATGTCCTTTACCTCCTACACTGTATAGAGGTTAATTACATTATTTCTGCAACGACTATTATACCGGTATACGTTTTTGACCAAGCTTGTTCGGTCAAGATGGCTGGAGGGTTAAAAACGGAACGATCCCAGCAATCAGCTATCTTGACCCAACAAGCTTGGTCAATGAAGGATTTATTGTATGGCCAAAAATAGAACTTTTTTTCTAGCGGGAACAACGCGGGAAATCCCAAGCAGGGCAAGATGGGCCCCGCTCGGGTAACCAATCAGACTGCAGGATTTGCTTCATCTTACCCATTCGAGGATTCAGGAGTATAATAATAAGGGTTTACAGCTAGATATGAGGGACAAGTACTGTGAATTGCCTGTTTTGATGATAAAAGGGTAGCATTCTGCTCCACGCACTTGGAAGTCGCCATGAGCAAAGAAAAGAGCAGGGAAAGAAAGGGCGGGAACTTTCTCTCTCCCCAGTTCTTACCCGTTCATTTTTTCTATTCTTGCTTTTCTATTTGCCGTCTAACTGAAAGCTTGGAACAGGCCAAAGTAGTGGTGGATCTGTAATCTGTTTGGCTATGTAGGTGCTATGGTAGATTAAATTACCTGTTATAATAATACACTCATTTGCATCAAGTCGTTCAATAAACAACCGAGAGAGAATCAATTCAGGGCAGATAAGGAATCGGATTTCTTCTTGTACACAGCCCTGCCAAAACAACAACAACAAGCTGTTTAGAAGAGGAAAATGGTAAAAGATTTCACACATTATGCAAAGATAAAATAGCAGAGTTGCTGCTTGAAAAACAGGAAGAATGCAAAAAACAACAACAGCAACAACAAAAACACGAAGAGAGTTACCCTCTTCAATTCACCAATCAGAGTGCACATAGTAGTAATTAAGTTATTTCGTAATAAAGAAATAACCAAGTAAACATGACTGGGACAGGCACCTCTCATGCTGAAAAATATCAGTGGGACAGGCAACACACAGGGTTGTCACTAAGATTTCAAGTTCGGGTAAATACAACAATGCGGGGAATCAAAAATTTCTTTTGGTTCTATTTTTCTTCTATTTTCCAAAGCGGGGCCAAAAACAAAACAACCCTGGGCACATACATACTTCCTGCATGAGGAAAACTCCATATGCACCAAATTACGTGAACAAGGTAGAAAACTAATTTGCTTGGGCATACAGAACAACCACAGATCGCTCAGCTTGCAGAGAAAGTGTTTCTGTGTGGTTTAGGAGCAAAGAAAGACTAAGGAATGACGAGGAATGGGATTTTCGGTTTTGGCTGCCTGACAAATGGGACGAAAGCCCCGTTTTGGCTTGGTCTTTGACTCTCATTCCTCATTCTTTGATACAAAACTGCACAGAAGCACCTGTGACAGATTGCTAGCTCTGAAAGCAGTCTTTTTTGTTACCTCCTTTAAACTGCGCTTAAATGCATTAAACATACTGGAGTCACTCCAGATAGCCTCACCTCGCCTATAACTCCACCTCCTATGTACTTGTTGGCAAAATCAACCTGAAATTTGAATGTTTTGTAGCTATTACTTGAACCTACATCAACTTTTAAATTAAACTGACTGATTTTAAGGGCCTCTAATTACAAACAAGGGCTTAAGCATACATTGTAACCCAAAATACAAATACAAGACTGATTTCCATACAATTCCTCGAATTGAAAATAATTTATAGTTTATCAATAATTAGTTGAGAGAATTTGATAAAGATCAAAGCATTTATCCTTTAGTGATCCTTTTAACAATTCTCATAACCTTTTCTATTGATGATATATAAATATTTTAGGATAAAATCGAGGTTGGTCACTCAGCATGTTGTTGCTAAGGTGTGAAAGACGAGAATTGGTTCTATCATCTAAATTAATGAGGCTGACACTAAGAGATTCTAAACACTAGTGATTTTAAATGTTAGACCTTTTTCAGGGAGAGTAGAGTTTTCATAGTCTTTTCAGCCTGTTAGAGGAACTCACCTGAAGGAATCCTGCTCCATTGTCTTCTATAGTTCCTCTTGAAGACACATGAAGTTTACCAAAGGTGGCAGAACAACTGAAAACATAAAGATGAATGGTTTTTGTTTCTTTTTGGTCAACTGCTTTTCCCTAGTTTGTTTTTTGTTTTTAAATCATGCAACAAATTACTAAGTGTATACAGCAATTTACTAAGGCAGTAGAGCTGTGTGACATATTGTAGTGGTGGGGTCTGTCACGAAATGGCCTCTTTAACATTTACCTTTCCCAAACAGGAAAGCCTGTAGACTTGACAGCCTGCCGTTGAAATGTCAGTGTCCCTGTCGGCACTGTGATGAAAGAGATTATAGAAGGGTTGAGTGATCATTGAATCCGAAATGGTTCCTTTACTTAACATACAAGAGAAAATTATAGTTATTGCATTGTAAACATTTTTATCCCCTAAAACAGATTAATAAACACGAATAAGTAACAGCTTTTATCTGATGGAACCTGAACAGGTGAGTCCTGCAAAATTATGCACACAAAGATATTCATTTCATGCCCTCTATCCATATCCCAGAGGCAATAAATATTTATCCTTCTGCATTAGTGCAAGGAGTCAAAAGGCCTTCTAGTTTAACTGTTTGTCCGAGAAATTACATGTATGGTATGGCACAAAGAACCAAGTCAAGTCAACAACATGAAGTCTGTCTCCATTAGAAGGATAAAATAACCAGTCATCAAAATAATGGTCTTGACATTTGTTGTAGCCTGCGTAGCTGGCAGTATTGTGTAGTAGTCGAGTGAGATTTGGCAGTGGAGTCGTTGAAATATAGTCGAGTAAGATTTGACGGCGGAGCCATCATGAGCGGTGAAGCCGCGAGAGATTTCAAGCGCCTCGTCCCTACTCCCTTTTTTTGGAACACAGCTCCGCCGCCAAAACTTTAATCTCGCAGCCACACAATACCACCAGCTACGCAGGCTACATTTGTTGAGTCTTGTTGTGGGAAGGTTGAGACTGGGCTGCAAGGAAAATGGAGAGGTAGTATAAAGAGCTTGAACTCTTTCCAACATACCATAAAATTCCGAAAATAAGCCTCTCCATGTATAAGCCCTCCAAATATAAGCCCCCCAAACCAGTAACACAAAAAAACCCTCTGTTAAATCGCCCCTCCAAATATAAGCCCTCTGGGGGCTTGTACTTGGAAAATTGCCCTCAAATTACAAAGTAAAACAAAGCAAAAATGGTAAATTTACTTCCAACTATAAGGCTAGCCCAATCGATTTCAAAACGCAAATTTCCCTCCGTATATAAGCCCCTCGAAAAGGGCTTTTGAAAAAAATAAGCCCCCAAGGGCTTATTTTTGGAATTTTACGGTATGCAGTGAATGTAATGAAAATCAAAGAGGATGTCAAATGGCCATGGTCTCTATAGTAAATGTATTAACTCTTGATAACAGACCACTGTACAGTGTTTGTTAGGTTATACTTGATTTCTGCTTCCCTTTCTTGAATCCAGTCTTTCGGAGAAGCAGTGTGGGCTCCATTTCCGAAAAGCAGCCGGTCATCAAGCTTAGTATTAATATTTTAATAAAGCAACAAAAAAGAGTTTGTCTCTCTCTCAACAGAACAGTTATATATAGCTGGGATGTCACAAGGTTCACATTTGTAAACATAACTGGTGACCAAACCTGTTTTGGAATAATCAACAGCAATTACCAAGTCACTTACTTTCCCTTGTTATCCTCCTAAAGTAATGTAAAAGAGCTCGCAGTTTTTCCGTTTTGACTGAATTTGTTCCTCCTTTCCCACCTTGGAACAACCTTAAAATATCCAACACATGAAGCAGATTGCATAGGTTAATAATTTGTCCACTTCAATTTTTTGATGTTCTTTTTTTTCTGACACTCATTTCTTTCATGCCTGGGAACATATGAACCCACAATTGACCTGCTCCCAACGTCAGTGGCTTCATAGCTCAGTTCGTAGAGCATTGCACCGGTAATTGTGAGGTCACAGGTTCATTGCATAAATTGCATTCACTGCGACGATCATTTCTTCATTTTCAGTTTTTAGTCTAAAAGAAAGAAGCTAAAAAAATTTAAAAAAGAAAGGTAATTGGCTTTACCTATTAAAATTGATGTCTGGAAATAATGAATATTCTGAATGCTTGTGTGAGTTTCTTCTTGGGAAGGTACAGAAAAAGGCATTGGCCAACAAACAAGCAGCCTGCAATAAAAGTTCAAACAGTCAGGATGAATTGATCTTACAACCTGTTCAGTGTAAATTCCGTGAAAGATTTCCGAATGCCAAGACTAATGAATGGCAAACTGCTTTGTACATACGTGTTGTCAGACATCATGCCAACACTGTCTCTGGCTTTAGATGCCCAAATTTATAGAGCTTGTGACATCTCAATTTTCAGCAACAGTTTGTTATTATTAATGTATGGTACCTTCATGTACATCAACATCTCCATGGCTTTTCAAGGCTCGGTGTTCTCAACAGGATTTTGCCTTGGGGAGTAACAGGGTCCCTCTATTGAGAAATAGGGGCCCTGTAAGAAAATTAGGGGGACAAAGTGAGCCCGCACTCCAAATGATCTGTCCTCTACGTGAAGTACCTACCTGATCCAATATGGCAACAGGGTGCACCAATCTTTGCATTGTATGTGGAACCAACGAAAGTCAACGAAATAAAACTAAAGACTTTGAATCTTTTGATATAACGATTTTGTCTTGCGGGAATCCCGCAAGGCCGCAGCCTGGTGAGAACACTGAAGGCTTAACATTTGGCATTCCCTAAAACCCTAAAACACAGAGCACCTGGAACATCTGGAACACCTTGGATATTAGTAGGACTAACAACACAAAATTTGGAAAACCTAGTCCTAGTTTGGGTTTTATAAGCATGTGATTCACTTTTAGGTCTCCTAGGGTGTCCCAGTGTTTTAAGTGTTATTACATTAACAATAACAATAATAGGATTATTGAATCAAGGAAAAACCAACCTGTTCCTGGCTTATTGTTAAACTGTGGTTCTGCTGCTGTTTTAGAAGAGGAATTGCCTGGAAAGGAAACAAAATGTGGCACTTAGTTAAAGTGGGCACTTCCAACAATTTTGTTAGACAACTAATATGAAATATGACAATTCTTTTACTGGATCGGACAAGTCTTCAGAAATCTGAGATAAATTGAAGAAGAGTAGAAATCAGATATTCTATAGAAAGTTAACATTATTTCAGTTGCATTTAATACTAAATATCATCAATGTCAAACGAATGCACAGAAATAAGCCAGTACATACAGGCAGCTGCCACCGCTTCCTGCTGCTTCAGGTAAATATCGGGTAAAGAAATGGTAAGATGAAGTAGAACAGTTATCAAATCTGATACCTGAGTACACAAAATGGGAAGACGAAGTGCCAAGGTTACTATTGCTGGTAATGTCTGCTCAAAGAATTCTTCTCTTGCACTAGTGTCCAACATCTGTACGTAAACAAGAAAGACACAGTCATGTATGGAATTCACATCGCTTAGCTTATCATTTGGGAGAAAATACTTGATGTGTAGGAGAACTTAATAATACAATGATTAAGGAAGACGACATTTTGAAAATGTTAATACAATAAATATCATGCAATCTATTACCTCATTAAAATAGCTGTGTAGGGCTTCAAAGTTCCACCTTTTTGAATAACGAGCATTGTACTTTAAGATGGCATCCTACAAGAAAGTCTATGATTAGTATTACAGAATAGTATCGAGTATCGAGCACATGAAAGCCGGTACTTTAGTAGTTTGGTGGATTTACATGTCAACTCCATGTTAAAACAGATATGCAAATGCAAGCCAAAGTGAGGGTCGTTTTAGCTTTTTGGAAACATTCTGTCTGTAATCACCACTGTATTACCTGGTAATCTTTTGAATAGCACCCTGATTAGAGGAAAAAAGCTATCTTTCCTTCAAGCAACACATAACTGATTGGCCATTTTTATGCTCAAGAGATGATTAAGAGGTCTAGACATATTTAACATCTGAGATGTTAGAGTCAACTGGTGTAAAAATCCCAAGCTGACTTTGCTTTACTCACCTGCAACTCCACTGAGCTTCTTATAGGACCCAGTAACGTTGCCTCTATTAGCTCCCATCTGTTCTGAACTTTCTTCTCTGAGTTCTGAAAAGACACAATAATGATAAAAGCCTGTCATTTCCAACACTATCGCATTAATACACAATAACTCACAGGCAACAAGACGCATAGCATATGGGACTAAAACAACACGTTATTATTATTATTATTATTATTATTATTATTATTATTATTATTATTATTATTATTATCATTAACTGTTATTACAGTCAAGCCAGGTCAAGTGTACCCCCCAAAATTCCATTAATAAATTTTTTTATTCGAAAGTTGAGTCTGTTGGCAGTTGTAGATTTCAGATTCATCTCTACATTCTTGCATGCGTAATGAGCCGTGAATTCACACCTGATTCAGTTACGAAATTTCTACCAGCTTAGTTTCCCTGAATTTGATGTAAATGTCTCCTAAAAATTTTAATTCATTCAAAGATTTTCAATCTGATCAAATACAGACAAGTTTTCGTAAATTATTCACTGCTCATTTTGCATGCAGTAATCCCGATTTGAATTTGACATTAGTTACGGGAACGACTAACAGATTCATTTTTCAAATAATCAATTCATTAATAGAATCTTGGTGGGTGCACTTGACCTGTTTTGACTGTAATATTTTAGAGCCCATTGAAAAATACCAAACAAGTTTTCTTTCATCCTCTTTCTCATGTACAGTACTTCCTTAGTCAAACACAGAATATTTTGTTCGTGGTTTCAGACCATACATTTAAAAAAAATTATCACCTCTCCTGGGTAGAGATTTTCCGTGGAGCAAGGCATTCGTACGTGATTTCTATCCCATTTGTCCCTGAAAACAAACACAACCAGAAACATATATGTGGTTCAGTGCTATGAAAACCTCCTAGCAAAGTAAAGTAAACCTCATAGGTGACAAGTCACTTTTTTCAGTTCAGGTCTCAGTTGTTCAAAAGGTGGATAATGCTATCCACTGGACTGTGCATTATTTGTCTCCCTTATATATATCCAATGGATAGTGATTTATCTGGTGGATAGCACTACCCACCTTTAGAACAACTGATGCTTAGTGGACTGTGGCATACCCTCAATGAAAACATGACTTAAGATTGGAAAAAGATTTTATCAAAATTTAAGAACAAGATTTGGTTATTGTCCAAAATATCCTTGGGAATGCATGAAAACGAGAAATCCAAGTTCCTGCCATGATCCACAAGCCATAGATGGCAAATGACACAGGGGTTTAAAAACTGCCCATTTGCAAAGTTTACCTAAAGGCACTTTGCAAAAATTATAAATATTATCAATATTATCAACTGTCAATAAAAGGAAATGAGCATACAAACTTGAACACATGACATACTTGCCAATGAGACTGTATGTTACCTGTAGTTCTTGTAAGATGGTTTTGGAGGTTCTGCAAAATTACAGTTCAAAGATGCCTGAAACACACACACAAAAATAAGTGAGCAAAATCAGATACTTTATGTAGTATAACATTACTTCTGTAACAATGATAAGAAGAACATATAACCCTAACCTTTCATGTCAGTGTTTTTGTGGGAAAGAAAGAAGGCACAGGGAATTTACATTTTTGACATCACTGATTACACACTGTAACATCCATGATCCAGAATGTAACATCCATGACAGTTTTTTTGTCATCAAGCAAATTAAAGAAGGCACACATCACAAAAGAAATGTTTATCACTTTGTAATAAGACAATTGCACGATGACGACATTTGACTACAACTACCAGAATTCATTTCGGTTTTGCTTTGTTATTTAAATTTGTCAATCCCGCTGAGGATTAAAGAACAATAGCCTTAATTTGCATAAGAAAACAACAAACTCAAGGATTCTGGTAGTTGTAGTAACATGACGTCATCGTGCAATTGTACTATTGTAGTATCACTATTTACCTAAAAAACAATATCATGTGTTTTTAGCTATGCTTGCAGAACTCACAGGAATTCAGTGTTTAACATTTGCAGTTAAGAATGTGGTTTCTTTGGCTGTAACATCCATGACAGCTCTATTTATTTAAATACACATTTTTGCATAATAGTAAATTTGATGAGTTTTTCACTCAACATGCAACTAGCACCTATCTGTCATAAACAAAGGAAAAGGGAATGGTTGTTTGTTATTTTTGCATCTGTTCTAATGATTTTTCTCTAACTGCACTCATGCAAATGTAACGTCCATGATCGTGGAATGACCACAGTATTTTTTGCAATTCTACTAACATTGTATAAGAGAATTGTCATTGCAGTGGAGATACAAATTTCTCTTATTTTCAACTCTTAATATCTATCTTTGCCACAGTGAGTAATTGGCCAGAGCAAAACATTTTTACTGGGAAAGCATTTGATTATAATAAGCTGCATTATTTAAGAGGTTGTAACTTTTGTGTTAACTGTAAATTACAAACAGAAGTTTAATGTTGAAGAACTCACTCTCACTAAAACAGTGTGGTCAGGTTGGGGAACTAGAGGAGGAAGTTGTAGAGAACACACAGGAACTATGTTAAGGCTTGAAAGGGGCGCTCCCTGAGGACAGGAAAAAAAAGAGAGAATGATTATGACTCTAACTGTTTCCTGTTTTGTGGTGATGAATACATACCAGTACAGATTACATGTATGTGTAGTAAGGCAATCATTATAGAAGGCACATGCACTTGGATTAAATTATTATTAACAAATGTGCTTGGTTGTTTTGTAAAGGTTTTTTAGAGTGCTTGTTAGGGACGACAACTATGACGACAACAACAACGTCAAAAAACAACAATTTATTGGTTTTGTGAGCAAAACAACTGCTCTGCATGTGCATCACACTTGTTAGTACATTTCTTTGACGTCCACAGCACGACTACGACGTAAAACCTCCCAATGCAACGTTTTATGGAGGATGTGGACTACAACGAATTTTCCCTTCTCTATTTGAACATGGATAAAGCACTTAAGAATTCAACTCCAAGAAAAGTTGCCTACATTTGACAAATTGAGCGGTTCTAAATAGACGTGATAAAGTTTGAAAGGATGCAAATTCCTTTATCTTTTTTAGCGATGTTTTCACTGCCATCATCATCAAGATGGAGGAGAGGGGGATTACTAATTTAATGTTTAGAAATGCCATGATTTGGAAAAGGAGAAACTCTTGTCAGTCAATTAATAGTTCTTAAAAATGACACAAACGGGCCATTAACACAATGTTATTCTGAGTATACAATGTAATTTGATGTACTTGCTCTTCAATTTGCTCTCACCCCTGTCACAAAATGTTGCAGAATTTCTTCTGATGGAGGAGCTTGTGGTGGTGTACTAAATAAAAATGAAACAAATAAACACAAGTTATTTCAACGAATCACTAAAATAATTCTAAACAATATAATATTAACAAACACCAAAAGTTCTATCAAGAGCCTTAACTTTACAGAGTATGAACATACAGTTGTCTAACTGTAAATTACTTTGAAGAAAAGTTATGTGTTTCTGGCATACAATAAAGATGAATGAGCCTGTTGTTGGGTTTTGGGGAGGGGGTGGGAAGGGGTTGGTTTGAACAGGTTTGATAAGCACTTCAGTTTTATTTGGATAGATTGTTTAATTAAAAATAACACTGGGACCCACAATGTTTCGAATGAAGATGGTTTATTTGCCTCAAGTCTCAAATGATTCAATAAAGAACAGATAAAGCAAAAAAACCATTTTAAGTTTGCTTGATTGCTACTACACTGTCAGAAATTACTGTAGACCAAATTGTAAGTGGAGCAAATGCTTACTCAGGAAAAAGAAGGGGAGAATCATCAAATTCATCAGGAAGGGTGTTATCATTGTCACTTAGTCCATCCTTGCTGCCACCTTCCAGAACCATATCTGAACTAGCAGTGGATGTTGCTGATGTTACAGCAGTATTTGAGGTACTCTCACTGTCAAAAAAAAGGGTTTTATCAACTGATATATCAAGAAATAACAAAATTAACACTTGCCTGATAAATTCAAAGATCTCAACACAAGACTTCATAACTATAATAATTCTTTTGCAACAAATTAAATGATCAGATCAGATGCATTATGTAGGTTTAAAATTACGTCATTAATGTGCAAGCTTTCATCTTACATATTTGTGTACAGCCCCATAAAATTGATTCTTACAGCCCATTAAAGGTATTATACCACTACATCAAAAATTACTGCAATTTGATTGGCTTAGAGCAGTGGTATTTCAGCTTAATTTGAAATACCTACATGTGAAAATTACAAGCCTTTTGTGGGTAGTAGCATAAACAAATAATAGCATGATTTGTATGTGATATTTGGCGTAAATACCACTCGTGATATTTCAAAATTGTCTCAAATTTCACTCGGCTAACAGCTCGTGAAATTTCGTATAACAATTTGGAAATATCACTCGTGGTATTTATGCCAAATATCACTACAAATCATGCTATTACCTATACTAATTAATCACTGAATTTATTCAGTTCTCTTGTGGCGATTTATTTTCTTCTGTCTAGAGGCAAGAAATTAAACAATGAGCTTGCCATACTCTGGGCAATTTGTTGCAGTGACAAGTTACAAGGAAAAACCCATGGAGCACACTAATATTAAGCCTGAAGCTGCACACAACAGATGGGATGCTGTAGAACTGACATCTTTGATAGTGTTTCTATTCTACTGAGAAAGCAGCTCAGCTAATACTGAAGAGACGTGATGATGTCAAAAAAACTAAATTCATGAAATTATGGGATTTGTTGGCACATCTAGAAGGACCAAGACAAAAAATGTTCACTTGCTAAAAATCAGCCTGTTTGTGCAAATTGGTGGAGATTAATCTTATGCTCCACACAAATCCCTCTAGTCTGACATAGTGTAGGCCTGAATCATTAATGCTAAGATCCAAGGCAATTTCAAATGGACCGTATGGAGCCATCACAGCAACCAGAGCTCATAGCTCCTCCTCACCAATTTGCACTAGCAGGCTGATTTTTGGCAAAGGGGGCTTTTTTCATCTTGTTCTCTCTGAATACGCCAACCAATCCCATAATTTCAAAAATGTGAATTTTTCATCTCTCTATGGCAAACAAGATGTTAACACCAAAATATGGGGCTAGTTGAGAGCTTTGGGATGTACTATAAAAGAGGCAACATACTACCACTGAAATCAATCTATGCAGACTGGCACAATCTGTTGCAAACTTTGGTGTGAAACAGAACTTTTAAAATCAAAGTTACATTATGCTGAAAGTTACCGTCTTTTTTCAGCGGCATCTGCCAGAAGAGCTCTTTTCTTCCTTAATTCATCTTCACTTGGTGACGATACACTTTGATGCATAATTTGTGACAGTAACCTTTGATTCTTATCTAACAATACAAAAACAGGACAAAGCAACTCCTTCAGAAAAAAACATTAACTCCATTGTCTTATGTTCTAAAATCTACATAGGATCTCAATAAAAATGCTGATATTTGTGTTATATCAACCTGAAACCTTTTTCAATATTTAACAAACTGCAGCTCGTGACTCTTTTCTTTTTGGATCTTAGTTCTTTGAAATGATATTTCATAAATCATAAAGTTGTTAAATCTAGTGGCCCATTCATAGTAATCCCACATCAGTTCTTACTTTCTTTTCTCAAAAATCCCAAATCCTGACCCAGATCCTGAAAAACCACTGGGAACCCTTTATGAATACTCAATCAGTTAAAATTTCCAGGAAAAAGGCAACCAAATTTTTTATGTTAGAGATCAAATTTGATTTCAGGTTAATTTTGATTAACCTAGGCTGATTCCCAATTTGCAATGTCTCTTGGCCCATTCACGTGAACTCTCCTGGATACGACACCAATCCCCCCGTCTCCCGTATAGGCCGTCACATCTTCAGCATAAAATTGACTTATTTTCTCCCAAAATTTGAACTTTCTTTGATTCATAGTTTGGTTTCCGGGGCATTTTTGCGTGAAATTTCATCACTAACAAAGATTACTTTGCCATTACAATCATAAAAGCGAATTGTGATAGCCTGTACTTCATGTAAGACTTCATTTTATGATGTCCTAAGCCTTTTCCATGTGATAAATTAGGGACTGGATCGAATTGTAGTTATCGGGGGGTAGGGGCGGAGGTGGGGGTCAGGGGGAGGGGTTGGTCGTTGATAAATCAGGGGGTAATGCAAAAGAGGGAGTTTCCAGAATGTTGATTTCCAGAGGTTGGCATAAGTAAGTAAGTAAGTAAGTAAGTAGTTTATTTACACACGTAAACACCTAAGAGTTAACAAAAACTTGTTTGAACGTGCATGTGGTATCTCTTCTAGCCCTTGAGGACAAAGGAAATTGAGAATCAACCTATAGGTTAAAAATTTTTAACCTGGAATCAAATTTGACCTGTACCATAAAAATAAATGTGAATTTCTGGATCATGAATCCTTTTTTTTGGGGGGGGGGGGGGGGTTTTTAGCCTGATGACTGAAATCTGGTGGATTAACCGAAACTGTTGTTAAGAGGTTGGCATCTTCCACTCAAACAAACACATTTTTGGATTTTCAAATACAATATCACCAAATAACTAACTAAATCAAACCCTAAATTACTAAATCAATTAAGTAGTAAAATACATCAAGTAGCTAACTCTAATTGACCAGACCAAGTGGTCCACTCCACCTTGGTTTTATTTTTGACCGAATGTTCACATAATTATATAATCAAGCTTAATTAGTAACCTGGAAGATTTTATCTGTACACAGCTGTTGTCATATTAATAAAGATCCGTAAACTCCACGAGCAATCGGAAACATAAGCAAACCATTTGAAACCCTGAAACCAATAAATCTGTGGGATACGAAACCGTGCTTACATCCCATTCACCAACAATTAACTTTTTAAATAATTTATACCTGCCAGATGAAGCGATGTCTTCGATTTGAAACTTGAGCGGTGACGTTTGAAGCTCTCCTCAATACTGCTTTGTTTTAGTCTTTTTCGCTTAGGCTCCTCGTCACACCTTCTATTCATTATTTTTATTTATGCTCGTATACATAGAGAGTAAATTTTCTCACACCTGATCGCTGTCAGAGGGAATTATCAACCAACTTCTTACACAGCTTATACCTCCAGTTCGAAAAGTTCAAGAACGAACAAGTTGGCCTGGATGCCAAGTTCCCGCCAGTAAAGGCTTGGTTACAAAACGATTGGTTACAAAGTTCAACATGGCGAATTTCTGAGAGGAAGGAGAAAGACAGGGAGAAAGATATGGGAGATAGGCTGAAGCAAATACGAGAAAAGTCCAAACTTCGTCGACAGATTCTTGCACAGCAGGTTGGTATTACATATTTCGCATTGTTTCTAGTCGGCATGGATAGGGGAAAACTTGCCATTCGTAGTTGTTTTATTCTTATCACGTTCTCTCCGCAGACAGAGACACTCTCTCTCGCAGTCGTTACATTATATAGGGGACCATTACTCGCCCAGTAAGGGAGAAAAAAACATAACTGCACGCGAAAAATGACGAGTTTAATGCTGGACAACGTGGCGAATTCATACTGACGCAATATGCAGGGTGCAGAATGAGAAAGAACGTCACTGATCATTACTTTGTTTTTCAGCACACATTGTAATTTTCAGGGTTCGCACGCACCTTGAAAGTCCTTGAATTTTAAATTAAATGTTCAAGGCCCTAAAATTCCTTGAAAATTGCAGCTAGAGCTGGAAAGTCCTTGAATTTCAATGCTAACTTTATAGTGAACTCCAAAGAGAAAGGAGCAAACACAGAAAAACATTAGGGATAAAATTACTCATAAAACTGTGAAAGGTTTGAACCCAGGAGTCATTTCAATAGGTTGAGTTTGATCGTCCGGCTGAATGTAGTCCTGAATAGGACTGTTGTTGTTGACAGTGACTGACGCTTCGACAACCTGTGCGGTAGTCATCTTCAGAGTCAAAGTGAGTTGTGTCACGTCAGTTGATGGTATTATACTCTGGTTATTGATCTGATTGGTCAATTATGTCGCGATATTATTGGTCGTCTGTCAGCGCGTGATGTTATTGGCTATGAAGACTCGTAATCAGTAATTGGTGCGTTTCAATCCGTCTATTGTCACAGTTAAACAGTCGTCTATGGTTAGTCAAATTGTCAGTTCTCCAGTTGTTCTCTCGTAGTTAGTTTTCTTTGATCTCGTCAATAAGTCGTTTGTAAGGCGCTGGTAACTGTTGGCTACGATTCAGTGGCGTTTGTTCTAAGTTAGTAAACCAGCTTTCTAAAGTAAGATGTTGATAGTAGTCTGTAGAATACGTTATACATGTCGCAGAGTCCCAGTCAATTTGATGTTTCGTCTTTAAATGGCGCTCAGCAATGTGATTGTTGACGTCACCATTCCTCGTCGTGCGTTTGTGTTTGGTCAGTCACGTGCTTAGGTTTCTGCCGGTTTCACCAATGTAAGAAGCCTGGCAGTCGCAGCATTTGATCTTGTATACTGCTCCCTGTCTGTCCTCCGGTTTGTCTTTGTCCTTGACATTAGTAAGCAGTCGCCGTAAAGTGGTTATCGGTTTGTGCGCAACACGTATATTGTAAGGTTGTAATATACGTGCAATAGTTTCAGAGGTGCCTCTGATGTACGGTATAGTCGCTGTCGTAACAGGGCCAGAGTTGGTCTGAGAGTTGGAATCAGTGTTACTGTGAGTGTTCCGTCTAACAAAGTCCGTGTTGTAATTGTTCTTACTAAAAACGTTAAGATAATCAGTCTCGTCTTGTAGGCTGTCAGGTGAGTCGCAAACTAGTTGCGCTCTTCTCGTCAGAGTCCGGATATTAGTAGCCTTGTGAGAGGTCGGGTTGTACGAAGACTGGTCTAGTAATTGGTCGGTATGTGTCGGTTTTCTGTAAATAGTCGTTTTTAGTTTGTTGTTGTCGCGAGTGACCAAGCAGTCTAGAAAAGGTATCTTACCATTTTCTTCGATCTCCTTGATGAACTGTATGTCCGCGTTCTGTCTGTTAAGGTGTTCGCGAAAATCGTCAATTCCGTCTTTGTGTACGGTGGTGAATGTGTCGTCAACGTAATGTAAGTGATTACTGATTACGTAGCCTGCATAGCAGGCGCTTGGAAGTAGCGGGCGAAAGAGAGAACGGGCGCGCGTGAGGGAGACACACAAGGGGTGAGGGTGCGCCTGCACGGAAGGCCCCCGAAAATTGTTTCAACTCGCACTCTGTGAGTGCGGATATTTCCAATTGGTCGAGAGGCTCCGGAGGGAAAAATTAACCGCGCGGGGCGAGAAAACTGTCAATCAATAGTACATGGACAACGTAGTGAAGATCTTGCATTACACCACTGGGTCCTGAAACCACTAAATTGTATACAATCGAAGTTCAGGTCTCGGAGGTCACTTCAATCTGGTTTAATGGGACTATGTGGCTGTAATGTCAAAGAAAAGTTGGAGTGTTCAAACGGTATTCACGATGGAAAGAATTGACATCGGATACGCATCAACAGATGTGGCGAGAGACAAAAGATTTGTCGAATCGTTGCAATGAAGGTCAGAGGAAATATTCTTTGCTCAGGAGAACTTGGCGGCTTGTGCTGTCGATGGAATGTATACCATCAAAACTTGGACACGATTGATGAAATGAAACACTTACCAGGGGCATGAACTTGAAAAAAACATTTCACTATAGTATTATTCGCCGTTCGAAGGCGACCTGAGGTCTGTTGTTTATGTCTCATTACTGCAGTAAAAAACATGTCGGTACAGTTTGTGTTCTGAGGTTTAGGTCCACTTAGTAAGACATGTCTGCTCCAAAAACGGCTGCCAGTTAGCGCAGTAAAAGCAATATGGTCATTTTCCACGTACGCCGTGATCGTTGGTGTCTGACCAGAACAATATTTTTAGTTTTTATAATACACAGCATGTATTCTTTAAAAGATACCCAGTTTTTACCTTGTTGTTTCCTATTTATTGTGCCAATGTTAAAAAACGATTTAAAGCTGTGTGTTAACCATCAGTTTATTGCTCCATCGCTCTATAATCAGATAACCCAGCTGATCTTTATAACAGATATATTTAGACCGAAGATAAAATGTACAACGCTTTTTGGTGGCTTGCTTTGTTTGTGCGAGGTCAGTCGTTTTCTGTCAAAACTTTTGACAGATCATGCAACGGCTGCCAAGTAATTAGAGAGGGGGTGGGAAACGATTTTCGGGGGCCTTCCGTGCAGGCGCTTCCTCTCCCCTCGCGTGTCTCCTTCTCGCCCGCCCGTTTTTTCTTGTGCCCACTACTTCCAAGCACCTGCTACGCAGGCTACTGATTACGAGTCTTCATAGCCAATAACATCACGGCTTAACTGACAGACAACCAATAACATTGCGACATAATTCACCAATCAGATCAATAACCAGAGTATAATACCATCAACTGACGTGACACAACTCACTTTGACTCTGAAGATGACTACCGCACAGGTTGTCGAAACGTCAGTCACTGTCAACAACAACAGTCCTATTCAGGACTACGTTCACGCGGACGATCAAACTCAACCTAAAATTACTCATGTTGTGGAAGAAGTAGAAAAGACATACATTTGTAGACTCAGGGCCTCTTCACATAAGCCTGGTTGACCAGGCTAGCCTGGTTTCCAAGATTTCACCTTACCCTTTAAATACTTTGTAAATTTGCAATGTGTTCATATGAGAGGGCGGGCCAGCTCGGTTCCCGAGATCTCGCATGGAAATGGTGAATGGGCTGGAAATTTTACCATATGAACACTTCAGCCCAGTGACCGGGATGAATGCAGAATGAATTCCGGCAGTCTGGATTGCATCGTCTTGCATTGCATGCTGTATTTTCCATGTCATAAGCATCCCATAACAATTTGTAACTGCAGTGATACAGCTTTAAGAGTTGCCGAAGCTATTATAGGGGCGAAAGTTAAATTTTTGTGTTTTTCCTTGTTTGCTTTGTTTTTTGAATTTAGCGCCAGAACTCGTCCCCAGCATCTTTGGCCTTTTCTCATCTCAGAAACTGGGCTGAAATTTCCCATATGAACCCAAGGCGGAGTTCGTCCCAGTAACCGGGCCAGCCCAGTCAACTGGGTCCTTGTAAAGAGGCCCTCAAGAAGAGAAGGGAAATTTTGTATCTCCAAGTGGCCATGTAATGGTCCAGTGTTCCATTTTTTTATATGAAATATGAAACCATTTCACTTTCATAGTTTTTTGCTGTGAAAGGTGTAAATTACTATGTAACAGCCATAGCAACGGTGATATTTTATGTGTTAAGATAACATGTTACTGTATTTATTCGATTAAACACCCCTGCATTTATTAAATTTTCAGCGTTTTGGATGTCAGTGGCGTTCACTCAAGGCCGACATTTGTTTCAAAATCACTTTTGTTAAGTGATGTTTTCATACGAAAGCTCACCTGGTATTTCATTGGACTTTGTTTGGTCAAGTCGCCTGAGAGTCATCACACCCAAGGTTGTGTTGCCCGAAACCAGAGTCATGTTGCCCAAATTTATAGTCATGTCGCCTGAAGAAATTTTATTGAGTGTATAAAAAAAGGAGGCTCTGTCCACAGGGTGGAAAAAAGTGTGTTATTTTTCGCAAGGAGAGAAGCAACGACCAGAAATACGTCTGCTGTTCGCAGGCCACTAATCCCAGTGACAATAATTTTTTTTCTTTAAGCTGGGCGCTTCAGGAGGTGAGTCTATTGGTGACTTGCTGACGAGTAAAGATGAACAAGAAGTCAAAAAGCTGAAACTGAGTAAAGAGAAAAACACAATTTCTGATGATCAAGTCCAGGGAAGTAAAGAAGCAAACCTACCAGGAATTCCTGCAGGACCAACTAAGGTTTGTTAAAAAGTAAAAAAAAAAGAGGTTGATGTGTCCTGAGGGTAGTTTTGGGCCAATTTTTTGCAGCTGAATTTTTGTTCGTGATTAGGGCTAGGAAACAAAGCAGATTGAAAGTCAACCTAATAAGGTAAAACCATATTAACCTGACCTACAACATACAGATTTCTCAAGTGCTAAATGTTTAACAAATAGATTCCATGTTGCCGTGCGTCTGTTCAGTAATAGATCGCAGATGACGTCAAAATCTCGTAAAAACAAAGAAGTGGCACACGAGCCGCAGGCGAGGGTGTCACTGTTGTTTTTACCACATTTTGACGTCCTCTGTGTTCTATTACTGAACAGACCCACGGCAACATGGAATCTATTTGTTTTATACAATGATCAGAAAAGAAAAAGACCGATACACATACCTGCCTTGAACCGCTTGACCTTTTGAGGATTTGTGCTAGTTTAGGCATTTTTTAAGTCCCAAACCCAACTTTTCATCTTAGCTTCTTCTTTATCTTACTTGTGTACAGTTTCTTCGAAAAGTTTTTCACAGTCTTTTCTTGCTCAAAGAAGAATAATAGCGAAAACATTTTGCAAAACAGCGAGTCTCTCATAGTGAAGACACACGATGGCAACTGTTGTGAAGATTTCTTGTAGTTTAGGCATTGTCAAGTAGTCAATAGCTTTTTTGGTCTCCGTTTCTCCATTTTTCTTCTTTGTAAATAGCTCCTGCTAAACTTTTTCCGAAGCTTTCACTTGTCTCAATCCGAAATAATCTCACAAACGTTTTCAAAACTGCGTGCCACGTTGAACAAAACAAAGAAAACAAGTTTCCCATGACGTCATCCATGTATCTGTACTCTAATAGATCATGGGCAACGACCAATCACAGCGCGCGTAGCATTCACATCATTGTATAAATGCAAATACATGTACAACACCACCAACAACAACAACGACAACAATAATCTTTATTTTCCTTTTTGTAAGTTCAAATCTTCAAGTTAAAAAATGATAGTCTTTGGTATTGGCCTGTCAGTTTATATCGAACCCCAGGTGGATTTCACTGGAGATAGGTGGAACATTTTCAGTCACACATTGTCAAATGGCTGACTATTATATGCAGCTTTCTTTTTTAAACTGCCCAGGTGTCAAAAGGTTGGATCTGGGATTTTGTTCTGAACTTTAAAAGAGGGAACTTTAAATGGTCTTTGAAATGTCTTCCACAATATAGCCCATGAAATAATTATCACTCTGTCTTCAGGTCCTAATATCAGAAGAGAAGAAGGAGAGAAAACATAACATCCAGCCTGGTGATCAAGATCCAGAAAAAGTAATTTATTAACTTGTTGGTTCTGGTTGTGTAGCAAATATATATATTGGATGTACCTCCTTAATGTATAATAGAGATAAAGAGACTCCTATAATTTTTACTTATTTTACATTATTTTTCAAAAGACAAATTATTATTAATGAGTTTAAAATGATTTATGTTCAAAAGGTAGAATTATAATACACTGCTGTATCAGCATTTTACATTCTTGAGCTGAATATGTGAGATTGTAGACCTCTCTGATACAACATGCTGCAAATAAAGTCCCGTCCCTTACTGGCAGCCCTGCGATCCATTAAGGATTTACAAACTAAATACAGTTGATCCTCCATTAACTTAAGCAGCCACCCGTGAGGTACTGGCAAGTGGTTGGCTGCTCAATGGAGGCTCGTCATTCTTTTGAGAGAACTCTCGTTGAGACGGCCAAAAGGTGGCTGCAGCCACTTGATAGAGATGGCTGCTTAATAAAGGATTCATTTCCTTTCTTTTCTACAATTTTTTATTATTTCGGGACTTAGGTTTATACTAGCTGCTTAATAGAGGGTGGCTGCCTAATAACTGTAGGTGGCACTTAATGTAATAGAGATTTTGATGACTGTATAAAGGTTTTCTGGTTGCTGAAAGTCTTGTTGTCTTCAAGACAGGAGCTATTTCATGTTGCTTTTTTAAATTCCTTGTATAAAACATTCTCTTAGTCTGTACTGGTAAGTTTATTACATCTTATTACACTGTGGTTTAGTTGTTCTAGCTGTTTGAGTTTATTACACATTTGTTCAGCAGAGAGAGATCGCTTTTAGTGGTGGAGATTGAAGTGGGTGAAGTTTGTTTCCAATCATTCTTTGTCTGTGATTTTTTTTCACTATTTTGCCAGACTAAAGAGGATTCTGAGGAGGAAGAAGTAGAGGAAGTGGTCTACAAAGATTCAAGCCATTTCTTGAAGGTATTCATTTTCTACATGTATGTGTTACCCATATATAAAATGTATAATTTTTAATTCAATAACTTCCATCACCTGAGAAAGAAAGGGGTCAAAAGTCAAGTTATTGCGATAATCTTCAAGCCTTATTATCATTACACAAACACATAAGACAAAAGTTATCATTTCAAAGCAAAAGCAACATCATCTTTCAGAACACTATTTATTTATTACATTTATTTTGTGTTTCCACAGGGAACCCAAAGTGCCAACCCACATAATGACTACTGCCAGCATTTTGTTGATACTGGACAAAGGCCTCATAATTTCATCAGAGATGTTGGTTAGTAATTGAAAAATACATGTATGGTGTAAAATTCTGGTCATTTCAAGTGCAGTAGTTTGGCTGTATTGAAACAGAGCAAAAGTGTCCTACTCTGAGATTATTTTTGGGAATTAATTAGCACAGTAATGATGACTGCTGATATTTATTTTGTGGCTCATCTTTTTGACAGGTCTTGCTGATAGATTTGAGGAATATCCCAAGCTGAGGGAACTAATCAGACTCAAGGTAAGACTGTTCACTTAAACAGTGTTGTGAGTTACCTCCCTCTTATTCCCAAGACTAATCAATTACGCAACATCACTTAATTTCTTAACAAAATCCACTAATGATCAAAAAAGGTTATGAGAATTAATGAAATCAACACTAAAGAAATGCTTTGATCTTTTATCAAATTCTATCAGCTAATTCTTTATGGAAATGTTCATGTATAAAGATCAGTCTGGAGATTTTGTTTGTTGATATTGGGGCTTCAAGGGTTATTGCGGGCATAAACATCTTTATTTGTTACAGGGTCAGCAGCGAGCACAGATTTAAGTTGGACCCTACGGCTGTAGTTGCACATACAGGGTTGTCATTAAGAGCCGGGGGCCGGGGATTTTCCCCGGCTACTAAGAGAGTGGCCCCCGGCTACTTTTATTGGAAAATAGAAGAAAAATAGAACCAAAAGAAACCCCTAGCTGTTTGATTTCCCCGCCTACTTGTTGTGTTTACCCGGCAACTTGAAATCTTAGTGACAACCCTGACATACATGAGAACCCATACGAACTAATAGGCTGGGATGATGCAAACAGCTATAATTAAGTTTATGTCATACCAATTTGAGTGAAAGAAGCCTCAAGTGCAAGACAGATCCATTGCCATATTTATTTTCGCTTTTGTTCACACCATCATGTTCAAATATTAGGGACCGCCTTGGCTTGTGTATTGAATTCTCTTAACTTTTTAAACATGCTGCAGTTTTCTGATAACTCTTGTTGCTTCCATTACAACTTACATACTATTATTACCATTTTTCTTCACATTAGTTGCTCTGTACCCTATCAATTCAATGTATTTAGCTCCACCTTACCATGTCCGATCATAATATTATATGAAATTCTTTGAAGACAAAGCCCACTGAAATTAATGTTGTTGCACTTTATGTCATTGTTTAAGCCCATTCGCTCCTGAACTACCAAGTCTCTTTTACTGCTTGTGACATCATCAGTTTTAACGGTCAAGGACATCTTTGTCAGCTACATGTAACTTGTGCAGGGTGAAGAGATCTTTCAACCCATACCGGAAAGAGCACAATTCAAGCAAGTTGGGGGGAGGGGGGGAGGAGAAAAAGGCAAAAAACCGTTTAACATTGACCTGAAAATTCCCATAAAAATTCCACGACTCACCCACCTTTTCCTTCATCTAATTCTAAGATCTTAAAAGCTTTCACAAAAATTAATACTTTTCCCACCAAAAAGAAGACTGTCAAATGCACAGCAGAAGATGAAAAATTTTGCAAGAAAAATGGAAGATGATGGGAGGAGAGAACGCGAAAAGAAAGATCCAAGACTGATGTCCGTGTCTCTTTTAAAGCCAAAAACTATTTTGAAATTTTGCTTTCTGCACATGCCTGAACTTTGGAGGCTAAAACAATGTATTTTGCATCTGAATCAGAAGGCCAGGAAGTGTACGACCTGTAAATGGCTTTGTGTTAAGTTTTAACTCTTTAATGCCAGAGAGTGGCCAGAAAATGTCTCGACTAGCTTCAAAACACGTTTTTCAGCAAAATAACCACGGGAGCAAATGGGTTTATCTTCTTCTAACCATTCAAAAAACGTGTCTAATGAAGATTTTATTTTAGGATGAAATCATTGCTGAACGTGCTACTCCTCCTATGTAAGTAACCCTCAAACAAATTCAGCCATAACCTTCAAGCATGCCACTGTTACTTGGCAATAATTTATATTTATAGTTTCATGTAAATCTTAATTTTAATATAGGATGCTGGAAGAGTGTCGTCATAACCATGAGTTAGGGTGTTGAGATTCTTTAGTGTACCAAGCTTGGTTTAACAGTCTTTGGGAAAAAATGAGGAAGAATGTATTTTTTTTAGAAAATGATTTTAAAAAGGCAAATTAATTTTGTTGTATTATCTAATAGGCACAGGCCTACCTAGTGTGGGTGGGCATGAACATAACTTACAGGTCTTCACTTCTTCCCCTTTAATATTGATTTTACAGACATTTATGGGAGTTTATGACCAAGCAAACCTGTAAAACCAACTTTGGGGGGAGAAGGGGGAAGCGATCAAGTTTTTGTGAACCTCTTAGATTATCTTGCTTTTTCCGGAAGTGTTTCAACAAAATAGTTATTATCGGTGATTGTAGTACAAAAAACAATGCCAACTTTCAATTGTGAACTGGGCTCCATATTTGTATTCAGGTACCTTGATTGTGATCTTCATTTGTTTGATCTTGATGAGCTTGAATGTAAGTTTGATGTGGTGTATATTGACCCTCCCCTGGAGGAGTATCAGCGCCGTGCATCTGGTACCACCTTTAACTGGAAACCTTGGACTTGGGATGAGGTTTGTCGATTGTTGTTTTTTTGCCACTCCAGTGTTTTTAGCCCAGAGGAAAAAAAACCCAGGAGGCACATTAATATTTCACGCTTTTATATGTTACAGGCCAAAATTAAAATCAGGTTAAATTTTTTAACCTAGATTGATTTTCTGTTTCCTTTGTCTCAGCTCTAATTATTTATGAATTAGAGCTACGAGACAAAGGAAATAGAAAATCAACCTAGGTTAATATATTTTAACCTGTAACATATACTTTTTTACTTATGGAATTAAAGAAAACATAGGGGAAAACTATATTGGCCAGGGTTCGTACAGAGTCTTGAATTCTTGAAAAAGTCTTGACATTTCCAAAGCAATTTTCCAGAACTCGAAAAAGGCTGGGAAATAAAGATTAAGTCTGGAACAGTGGTAGAAAGTCTGGAGTTTTTTTTAAGGTACATGTACAACAAGTGCTAGTCTGCTACACAGCTGTTTTTAGTGTCGTCACGCAACGCTCCTCCCCACTAAAAACGGCTGTGTAGCAGACTAAACAAGTGCTTAATAAGAGAATTTTTCCCCGTGGTCAAATTCTACCCCTGTGGCCAAGACATTTAATCACAGAATGAGAAGTTTCATAACTCTCTTACGTCCGCATTGCTAAGTTTAGGAAGGAAACCGCGACTACCAGGACAATAGGCATGTCTGTTGTTAAGAGTATGGGACGTCAACCGCCGCCTGGGGAGGTGAGAAGGGTGAAACTTCGAAGTCATTTCCACTAAAGTTCTCCGTTGAACTGGCGAAGCCGCCGGCGGGAAAAAACCATGCAATTCTAAGCGAGAGCCACGATGCCATGTCACTAGCGCACAGGCTCAACTGGAGGGAATTTAAACGAGTTTCTTATTTCCCACGTCACGGGTTATTTGTGTATGCAGTGAGAATAGTGACAGCGTGGTCTCTAATATTGCAGCTTTCTATTAATCCATTAATAATCTCATGACCTTTTTTCAACTTATTATTTTCACTAAAAAGATAGCCAAACACACTTGGCCTTTTTGTTTGAAATTGATGGTTTGTGTATTTTGTAGATAATGAAACTTGAAGTAGAAAAGGTTGCAGCACAACGCTCATTCCTCTTTCTTTGGTGTGGCTCCCACGAAGGACTGAATGAAGGCAGAAAGGTAAAACGACTGAACTTTTGCTTGAAACATCAACTTTTCCTTCCCCCGATCAACTTTATCAAGTCAGTTTATAATATATAGATTTTTCCACTTCCAAGGGCGAAGCTCCCGTTAACGAATTTTTATAATTTCCTTCAAACAATAAACTTGTAACCATTACAGAGAAACCCTCTTAGAGGTCAACCTGCGATTAGTTGAAAACAAGTTACTTGTCAGGGGATAACTTTTAAAAAAACGTAACCGCGATGGGTCAACACCTGAGCCAGCGAGACTGTCATGTGATACTGGTCAGTGAATACCCTGTTTTGACAGCTGTCAGCTGATCACAACATGGATGTGCAATATCACGTTGCAAGCTCCCACACTAGCTAGAAAATCTGACATCATATCACCTTGGTGACCCTGTGGTGCGGGCGGAAGGGCTTATAGGTCAGGTGATTACCAAAGTTTCTTGGATGGATAGATAACCACTCCTGCTCTAACATGGTGTCCATGAAATATTAATGGGCTTTTACTTAAAAAGCAGTTCTGTCACAAACGTGGATTCAATTTTACTCCCTGCCCTGGGTTAATGTTAACAGGCTTTCGAAAAACGGGGGCCCCCGCCATACCAAAGAATTTTCAGTACAGTTTTTTGTCAGGCTTTGTTATCTTATTGTTTTTAGCAGTAAACGCCCTCTCACTCTGCTTGAAACCCTCCAAGAGTAAGAAAGCTTCCTTTATACCTCTACGCTAAAGCAAAGGAAGTGCTCCCCACAATTTATTTTTCTTCTTTTCAACTAGTGCCTAAGAAAGTGGGGATTCCGTCGTTGCGAGGACATTTGCTGGATCAAAACAAACAAAACCAATCCTGGAAACACCAAATACCTTGAACCTGATGCTATATTTCAACACACTAAGGAGCACTGTTTGATGGGAATCAAAGGAACCGTTAGGAGAAGCACTGACGGAGACTTCATCCACGCCAACGTTGATATTGACCTTGTTATTACGGAAGAGGTACATTGCACAGTTCACGAGTGAATAGTTCTTATGGCCCGGCCACTAATTACTAGAGATAATTGTAGAGTTCCTTAGAGGGCCTATGTCACGCTATACCCTGTCTTTAAAGAGCTAAAATGCGTCTTCACATCAATTGAATTCCAAAAATACTTGTCCAATTTTGTTATTTAGACTATATTTAGGTATTCAAACTGTTTCCTGTCGTCTGTTGCAACAAATGGCAAGGATGGACATGGATTGAAACTTGCTAAAGTTGGGCTAACTTTTTCAAGCTTTAATGCTATGCCTGCAAAATAATTATTATGGTCAGTGTTCCCTGATAAAATTTGTTTGATATCTTTTGTATAATTCTACAGGAGCATTTTGGGTTTGTGGGTAAGTTATTCGAATGCGCGTTGCAACGTGGCAGTGAAATATTCACTAGTCAAGTGTAGATCCGCCCTCTTTTCGTTCACGCTTCATCGCGATTATCTAATCATCTGGGTCGTCTCGAGCGCTTCGATTGAGAGCATCCGGACGATTATTGAGGAACCGGGCCGTATAAAGACTTATCGTCAATCTAGGGGATTGTCATGATACCACAATACCCTTCCTACCCAGGCGCTTCCGGGGATTTTCGGAAACGTAGAGGCGCAAGTGGTTATGGGAATTTTTTGGTGTAAAGCGAGAAGGATCATGGATAAGCTTCAAAAGCGCAAAGGCACATGAGAAGGCTCAACGTAAAAGGCGAAATAGCGCCTCCCATTTTCACCCTTCGCCTAACCATGTGTACCGCGACTACTGCCGAAAATTCCAGCATCGCATGTAGGGTGTTTCAAGACACAACTCGACTGATGAGGCTATCCAGACGATTATGCGGATTATACTTCCACAGGAGAAATTTCTGCAATTTGATTGGCTTAGAGCAGTGGTATGTCAGCCTAATTTGAAATACCTACATGTGAAAATGACAAACCTTTTGCGGGTAGTAGTATAAACAAATAATAGCATGATTTGTACGTGATATTTGGCATAAATACCACTCATGATATTTCAAAATTGTCTCAATTTACGCATAACAAGTTTGAAACATCACTCGTGGTATTTATGCCAAATTTCACTACAAATCATGCTATTACCTATACTAACAGGCTTTTTGGGGCCGCACCCCAAACAAACCAGTTTGTTTCCATTCTCCACACAACGAAATAAGAGAGAATGTCACCTAGTAGTTGTGCGAAGGAGGGCACAGTGTTGGTGCACGTGCAGAGTTGTTGCTCACTAGACCTCCTTTTTTAACTACTTTCTTGTTGCCGTCGCCGTCGCCGTCGCCGTCGTCATTGCTCAACCTCCCTTTAAGACTGGTCTCGATATGATCACTACGATCTTAGGCCAACGTTCTTAAAGATAGAAGCGATCATATAAAAGCTAGCCTTTTGGGACCTTTATGTTAGTCGTCCTGACCGTGAAAAGGATCGCGCCAAGTAGAATCATGTTTGGTATGGTAAAAGCAAATTTCAGCTACCAGGCTGATTTAGCAACAGGACGGGAACGTCAGTTGACGACGGGAAAGCGCGCAGAAAGGACTAAACACGACTTCCGGTTTTCAAGTTACCGCTCTGCCATTGGTCAAGCCAGTTGTTTGATTTGCGCGCGCCGTCGTCAACTGACGTTCCCGTTCTCTTGGTAAATCAGCCTACTATGAGTCGACCAATTGAACTGTTGAGTACGCGAGGAACTTGAAAAGAGCTGTTATCGAGGGTATGAATCTTACCGTAACTTTTATGGTACTGGAGACTGTTATTAGAACAGCAAGGCTTTGTGAACTGTGCTACTTGATTTCGTAAACAAAATAATTCTGGAGAAAATCAATGAGGAATAATACATTAAATACTTATAACAATTACGTTGCTCTTTTTGCCGATTTTTAGCCACCTCTTGGGAGTACAGAAAAACCGACTGAAATATTCCATATAATGGAACACTTCTGTCTTGGGCGGCGCCGGCTTCATTTGTTTGGTAGCGATGACACTTTAAGACCAGGTAACATTTATCAGGTGTTCTGGTAATTTTTTCTTTTAATTTATAGAAAATGGTAGGACTATGTACAAGCAAAATGTACAAGTATTTTGATACTGGAATATAATCTATGAGCCAGAGAGGAGGACAAAGGTTCATATCTGCGTAACTAGGCATTCGATAATCAAAGAAAGGGTACTTTGACCTACTACTAACTTATAATTCAAATTAAAGTGAAAGTAAAATAGGGAAAAAAAAACATGCAATTTTCAAAGAGAACTAAGGACTAAACATAAGAGCAATAACCACAGATAAAACATGACGAAATTGTACGTTTTTTTAAGAATTAGTTCCGGAGGGAACACTTAGGAAACCGAAGACTGACAAACGTTTTGTTTCCAGCCTCTCGGAAAGAATTTCCGGTTCATTGAAAATCATTTCTCACCTTTAAATTATATTTTTTTGTCTTTTTAAAGGCTGGCTGTCAGTTGGACCAAGTCTAACAAGTTCAAACTTTTCCGCTGATTTGTACAACTCCTACTTTTCCAGCGGGCCTGAAGACCTTCTTGTCGGCTGCACACAAGAAATTGAGACTCTGCGGCCTAAATCCCCCACGGGAAAACATAAAGGAGACGGAGGGGGACGCGGAGGTGGAAATGCCCCAAACCGGGGGGGACCTGGTCCCAGGGCTCGGGGAGGGGTCCGTGGGGGAATGATGCGAGGCGTAGGTTTTCAAGGGAGTGGGGGAAGAGGTTTTGTAAGCTTTTCCGTTAGGTAGTCAGCAATATTGTTGTAAATGCGCGAATTAATTTAGCAACACTGTTGTTCTATAAATGTGCCGTCACTTTCATCACCGCCTTTAATCACTAAGATTTTATCCTTTATAGAACGAGCTAGCAAAGGAAAGTTTTCTAGTGTCCAAAGGGAAGCTATAAACACGAACCGCCAATGCCCTTTTCGCTAGTCAAAGCAACGTGAAACAATTTCTTTTATTTGTGTTGCCTGAAGCCCTTTTTCTTGTTTACTTTCTGTGCTAGATTAGACTCCGTTTGATCTTCAATAAGATAAATATGAAAAGTGAGTTTTTGCGGTTAAAGCAAAGTTGGCTCAGGGTCCATTATAGCAATCTCGAGACGATCTCGACTCATACCATACCGAACCATAGCTTACATTATGCCTTTTTGGCAGCAGTTTTATAATTTATTTCATTCATTTTACATAATCGAATGTTCCTTTTTCGGGATCAAAGGCCTCTGGGAAGGTACCATGAGGCGCTGTTTTTATCATACAGCCATCATTGAATTTGATGCGGCTCAGAAAGTAGGTGTCCGAACAGGACCTTTGGACGCGCAACACCTAAAGCTTTAATAAAAATTCTTTTCAACGTGCATGAGATAAACAGGTGAAGGGGACAGGGGGTGGGAACCCGGGAGAATAGAGGGCGCGTGGGAGACGGGAGTCGGGAGAGGATGGAGCGGGAGGTGGGAGTTACTGTAAAGAGGAGAGTGGGAAGCGCGAGAGAAATGCAAAATCAGTAAAATGCTCCCTTCATTCATTAATGCGTTAGAATATTATCAAAAATCGTCCTCCGACAATATCGACAATTTTTTTTTATACTACGTGTTTGGGCTAAACTAGTAAAATTGTACACCTTTTATCAGTGGTCGTCTTATATGTCGCGCACGAAGAGTTTATCGGTGTTACGTTCAATACGTGTGACATATGTAAGTGTTTTGTGAGTTGTCATAAGTCTCAAAAGACCAGTGAACAAGGGAAGGAAGCACACTGCTTTGAATTTTAGTACAATGGATTTCAACTAAGTCTGTCACCAAATATAATTTTAGAAGGTCTTAGTATTTTCGATGCGGAGGGGAAAATCAGTGCATAGACTGCATTGAGTGCGGCCTCCTCGGCACATGGGAGTCTTTTAGGAACTTCAAATCCTACCGATTTAGGTAAACCAGGCATGCTAAAAAGTAGACTCATGGAAGGAATAATGGACCATAAAAGAGATGTATCCACAATTAGGCGCCAGGAATTGGACAGGGCATAGTAAACTAATACATTTTAACTGCAACTTGGGCATGTTCTACTAATCCTCACGAGCCTATGTACCCGACGTGGTCAATCCGGTGAACGAAACCGAACCAAAAATCAATCGAACCTAATCGGTCGGATTGTTGTACGATTGGTTCGGTAATCGAAAATATCGATCTGGAACTTTTCGGTGAGTTCGATTGCCGAACTCAATCGACGCGATTACTTCGATTTTGTTCGGCAGAAAGACAAAACGCATCCAGAATCGGAAATATCTCCCTCTACTGTGTATGTAAAGCAGTTTGAAATAAACAAATATTTAAATTAACCCGGAATTAACTAAAATCGTTGTTGTTAAAGTGTTTCAAAATAGATAAATTCACAATTAATACTGGGAAACATGAACGGCACAGTAAAACAATGTAAAATTTCTTTCCCATAGCAATACCGACCAGGGATATTCTTAGGTTACAAGAAGAGTCAAACCTTTCTTGATAAAGTTTCGATTAAAAAAGGGCACCGTTACTGCTTGGATCTGAACGCACGCAACGGTGTAAAGCATATACAAAATACTCATTACTAGCGCTACCAGGTCATTACCTCAAAGTAAATATCTATTTTAAAAAACCTCCAAGCGGCGTTTGTAAAAGCTGTTGCGCAACAGAAGCAACAAAAACCACAGGCCACCCAAGCTCACTACAGGAACGCGGACGTGACTCTTGCTAGCCTGCAGTGCAGGCGTATTTTGGGTGGGCGAAACCTTGTTCGTGTTCGTAATGTTGTTGTAGCCGCCATCTTTGATTTTATGACAGTGGAAGGTTGGGGAGAGTAGAAATAGTAACCCTCAACCCTTATTAACCCTTACGGTAGGCTGACTCGCCCCATTTCCTCCTCTCTTCGGGAAGTTTCAACATGGCGCTTTCGCGAGCAAATTGTGCGCTCAAAGAAAACGCCTGCACTTCAGGCTAGACTCTTGCTGGCGAGCGGTGTTGTGTTACAAACGGTTATTGACAAAGGCTTGTATGGGATGTAAACGGTTTTTCTTAAAAGAGAGAAAAATGTTATGTTTTTAAATAAAATCGACTTACCTTAGTGCCTTGTTGTATTCTTTGTTGTTTGCCCGCGTCTCAGACCGTTTTGAAGCGTTTTCGGCGAGTTAGCGCTAGTTTGGTGTTTAACTGCTAAGAGAAAGACAAGGCCGAACAGTGATTTCCGGAGTGTCCGTCGCTCGAGGCGAATAATTGTGCTGGAAAATTACGCCCGGCCTCAATTCCTCCAGAAATCAAAGCAGTGATGTTGCAGTTCCATGTCCATTCACTCGATTCGCAATTTCTCCCACAGATCGTTTACTAACGATGCTTTTATCTCTTGCTCGATCGGCTTCCGAATTTCGAACTACTGTAGGCTCTTCCAAACTGCCGTGGTACCCGTTCACCGATCGCATACTATGTCGGGTAACTAAAATAAGCCCGCCGAGGGTAGCCAGCGCCCTGCAGTCGACAAACAAATCCGTTACCTCCCCGGGTCCCCTCGAGAGGTTTTGTCAAGACCACCTTGTTTATATGTCGCTGGCTACCCTCGCCGGGCTTATTTTAGTTACCCGACATACTATACATTTCTATTGTTTTCCCTCCACCACCACAACCACCACCACCACATTTCTATTGTTTCCCTCCACCACCACCACATTTGTATTGTTTTTCCTCCTCCACCACCACCACATTTCAATTGTTTTCACTCCTCCTATTGTTTTCCTACCAGACAGGCCAAAAAGGCCAAACTCATGCCAAAATCAGGTGGTGGAAAAACAATAGCAATGTGATGAAGGTGGTCAGAGGGAAGCAACAGTGCTAGGTAGGTAGTGGTGGTGGAGGAAAACAATAGAAATGTGTTGGCGGTGGTGGAGGAGGGAAACAATAGAAATGTGGTGGTATATAGTTTCACTATTTTAATACGAAGGGTAGGGTCGATGTGGGGTCGATGTTGGGTAGATGTGGGGTCGATGTGGTCGTGGATAGAAAATATATATAATAAAATGAGGAGCAGGAGGGAGAATAATATAATTGAGGGAAAATATTAGAATTGTGAAGGAGGGAATAAAAAATTGAGGGAAAATAATAAAATTGTGGAGGAGGGAATAAAAAATTGAGGAGGGAAACGTAGTAAAGAAAGATAGCTTGCTTTCTTTGACTATTTTAATAGATTCCTTTCAAATCGCTGAGTATTTGACTCTTTTTGTCATTGGTTTTTAATAAAGTTTTTTAAAACGGTATCTCGTGTCTGATCTTATTGCTAGCAATTATTAGTCACGTGTTTAATCAATTGAGCATGAATGCAGTAATACGTCAAGATGCTCCCTTGGGATTTTTCCTGTAGAGCTAATTTGTATTGAACTTTGGGCTTAAGAACTCGCATGATTAACTGACAAACGGTGCGTGAAATTACAAGACTTAAATAGTTTCTCATTTCCTCCAGATAGAACGGAGAAAACGGTTTTGTAATAGTCAGACAAAACTGAAATAGAGAGTTTTCAGCTCCACTTTGTGTATATGTGAGTGTGTCTTGTTTATATATAACCGATATGTATAGATAGTTTTCACGTTACGTCATCGCCGCCATGCTGGTGGACGGTAAACAAAAGATCGTTCATTAGCTCGCTTTGTTTGTCCACCAGCATTTGTTCATTTCACCATTGTTATTTGTCTCCCGAGATTGCATGAGAACCACCTTTAAGAAGACATAAGCTCAATTGAAAAAAAGACTTTTCAGATCCACTTTGTGTATGTGTTTTGTTTATATATCCGATTTTGAGCGCTCAATAAGATATAGTAAGCCGTTTCTCGCGTTGCTAGGTGATCGCTTCTTTTATTCCTACTTATCTTTCCGACATAGACGGTCCGACAAACCGAGCTCGGAAGTTACAAGCCTGTTTTGTGGGGCAACTCATCAGGGATTTTAATGAGCACCAGCCTTATATACTAGACCATAATTTATTGACTATTGTTTAGGGCTTTGTTTCTGTGGCGGCAGGAAGACGAGTTCTCATTGTTAAAGAGTTTCCGGCAGATGATAAGGAATTTTTTTTTTAAGGAGTTTTTAATTATATGTATTTGTACATGATGGGGAAGGACTTTTTCTCTAGGTTATAACAGTAGGTGACGTGAGAGACTCTTTTCCCGCTAAGGTTTATGCAAATCAATTTTGTCTAAATTTATTTTTCCTGAATCCAGGTCAGAAACGTCCCAGTGTTTAAAATAACGAGGCGGTTAATTTTGAATTTGAAAGTACAATGACTACTAACAACCTAGGCGTTTTGGGGAGGGAGAACCTAAGAACATTTAGCCTAAACGTGTGCTAACTACCATTAATATAAGAACCTGTTTAGGCTAACGTGGGAAAATCCAGGTCCTTAGTCGCGGGGTTTACTGTATTTGTTTACAACACGTCAATCATTCCCATACCCAAACACTTGAGTGATTGAGCCCACGGGGTTTTTCCCAGGGACTTCACCTAGTGGAACTTTAAATATTCAGTGAATTTTACCGTCTGCAGAACTTAACAGTTTATTCGACGTCAAGGTATAGATGCCGCAGATGACAGTGATCGGTTACTAATAGTGAGGACGTAAGTTGAAATTTCGTTGATTTTTTAGTTTAGAGACAGACGGCGCATCCATTCGAGATCTCTTATCTGTAAATGTATGACAATGTCTCTAACGGACACCTTCTTGGCCCCTGCATTTCTCAGTACAGTCATTATCTTTGAGTCCCTAAAGAAGAAGGTCATCTCCCTCTAAGACGTGGTAAGCCCATCGCAAAGCGCTATCCCCAACGGTGTTCGTCAGAGACAGAGAGAAAGTCGATAGATGAATTTTCAGAAAATGACTGCTCGAAATAATTTCTCTAAACTTCATGGCACACTAAATCCAGTCCTTTCAGTAAAATGTTCTGTCATTTCTGAAACCTACTTGTGGGTCCTTGAAAGCGAGAAAATAACATCATCAGGCTTCTTACTTCTTACGGAAAACATAAGAACATAAAGGCTTCTTGTTCTCTTACGGAAATCTAATAGCATTTATTTCAATACGATTAAAAATTCAACAAAGCTGATGTCGTCGTATGCACAATAAGACTAATATAAGAATTCTAGGTAATACTATTTACAACAATAAAACAATTCTACACAGTACATCATTATAATATATGTGGCTTAAAAACACACTTGAATGACTTTTTAACAGCGTCAATGTCATGAATTGATCTCATTTGGCGGTTTTCTGGGGCATTGCACAGAATAGTTGACTTGTATGAGCATGATTTCTTAATAATAATGGTGGATCCCGGAAGTGCGAGCAGTGCATAAACTCTAATACATCGTATCCATGGAGACCTTTCAGCTACGGCTAGGAAGGTCTAGGAAGAAAATACGCTCGTATGCCTTAGATTTTAATCGTGTCCTTTTCGCCTAGCCCCGTGAATTAATTACTATAAATTTCAACTAAATAAGACAACGAATTTAATCGTACGTTAGGGTGAACCATTCTGATTAGTGCAAGTGTTATGCAATCGGCGAGTTGCTATAATATGGACCGAAGTTTCGGGAAAATAATCTCCTTCATCTACCCTTATACATAGTATAGTACTATGTAGGAAAGATGAACGAAGGAGACTTCGCAACTACGCGTTTGTGGCAAACCTTTCGGTACAGGCGGAAGATGAGAAGTGTAGTTTATTCAGTGCCTTGCAATCAGTTCGGGCCACAACCAGAAATGGATATATGATTTCCTGTCATTTGATTGGCTTACGCAAAACCAAAACATTGCTTAAACCACAAAAGCGTTTACAAAGGACAAACTAAGGCCGAGAGAAATGGCGGAGATGTCGCGTCGAAAGCCGCTCTCCAAAGATACTCATGATACGATGGAATCCTTCCGAACTATCGGAAGATTCCATCGAAAAGTCGTTTTCTTTTCTTTTCTTTACTGGAATTACGTGACACACAGAAACTCGCGAACTATGAGCTTTAATTAGCAAATTTGTTTCCGACTTCTTCGCACGATGTAGGCCGCCTGATCTTCTCATAATCAATTCGTGGATAGCCGTAAACAAAAATTTTGGCCTTGCTTTGCCTGAACAAGGGCTGTTGCGGAAATAAGCTTTGCATATTATATTTAAACAAAGCGTAATTTTGATATTTTGTATTTTGCAAAAAATTTTGGAAAGGGCTGTCCCAACCGGAAATGGTTGGGAAAGTCTTTTTCCGACAATCTTATTTCTAAAATATCAAAAAATTGTGCACTGGGATAGTGAATATTATATCGTCAAACATCGTTTTAAGAAGGGCAGTTTATTTCTTTTTGTGTGAAGTGCTTCAGTTATTATCAGAAGATGATGTTTCAGGTACCTTAAGCAAGTTCTTATAACGTATTCAGGGTGACCCAGATTGTATGAATTTCTTGCTTATAATAAGAAAGTAGGAATTAAACATGTCAATGTTTATAAAATTGTTCACTTTTAAAAATTGTATGTTTAATACTACAAAAACATATAACATTTTAACATCCCCATCTGAGCTGGTATCGTTCTCAGATACTTCTGCTCTTCTGTTAATAATACAATTGTTGCAAGATTTGTATTTTGCAGACAAGCATAGGTTACAATCATTCCACTAAAGGTACCTAAAGGTTAAGCAAATAACAGCACTAAGTATAAAAAAGTCACTTTATTATGGTTCCCTCATCATATCACAACTGCATTTTTCTTTTTCAAAGCTTTCTTGTCATAAGCTGCAACAAAAAATAATTATGAAGTTAGTGATTACAGTGTCACTCAACACAAACCATCAGTCAGGATGGACACTTATATTGATTTTAATGATAGCAATACATTTCTTGACAGCTGCAAATAGTTTTTTCATATCACAGGGAAGATATTACTACCTTGTGAAAGCCTCCCATGCCAAATTCTCCCCATTTCCTCCTGCTATTTTCCGTCTCAACAACTTATGCAAAATAATAACTGACTAGAAAAAATCATTTAAAAAAGTAAAACAATCAGAATCTAAGAAAGTGGAAATGATCCTCACAGTTAAATACTAGGGTTTTATTCTTACATGTATGTGCGCCACTCAAACCTCCAAACTTAATATTATTACTGGAGTGCGGCATTGTTAGAGTTAAGTGTCTTGTCCAAGAACACAGCATGGTAAACTCAGCCATCGCAGGGCTAGCTCACACCTGGAATGCTCGAAGTGGATTGAAGCCCACTGACCAACTAACCAAAAGGCTATTGCTTTTCCAGCATATAGTTGCAGTAGAGTGAATATAAATTACATTTTTTATTATTAACAATTTTAGTAAGGGTCTACTGCAACTGTACCATTTTTTAAAATTTAAGTACTATTGCAGGCAACAACACTTTACTAAACTACACATGAGAACACATCACTTCTCACATGTGGTGAGGTTGTAAGTTTGACTTCTAGCAGCAATGTCGGCCATATTTCCCGAAATTTACCGTTTTGTTATCTATTAGATAAAATTTCAGATTATTTAGACTAAATAATCTGAAATTATCATATAATCTGTCACGCTATACTGGCAACGTACACTTACTTAGTTGTTCCATTGCTGGAGCAATACTTCAGGAGCGGGGTGAATAGGGGTATGCAAATCCGCCGATCCGTGGTATTTTTAGGCCCGATCCGTCGATCCGACTTAATTTTTGTCCAAATCCGAATCCGTGTTACTTTAAAAATTTTTCGTGGTATATAAAAAGTAGCGTTGTAGCATGAAAAAATTAATTATTTAATATAGTTGTTCTGTAATCGCAACAGATGCGGGACTTCATGTTTAAGAAGTTTTCGTTACAGCTTCAAAACATTAAGCATTAGGGACAGAGCTTATAATGTTTCTTCCAATAATACAGATTTGACTAATCAAATAGTCTGCAAGCTTGCAAAATGAAAGTATCTGGTATTGCATCAAAAAAGTTTTCAATAAATTTACTTATTACTGACATCACTTTGGACATGCTTCTAGTCGAGCCACAAAATTCGGAAGAGGCAGAACTCAACTTCATGGTAATTTGCTTAATACCAGTAAGTATTTAAAAGTAAAAACTTGCAAGAGGTGACAGGCCGCACATCTTCACCGGCGTGGATCCTTTGAAAACCATTTTCATATTGCTCCATTGAGGAGAACTCTTTCAGGGATCTTACAGTTTAAAATTTGAACCATGATATAGCTTCTATATAGCGGACCAAGATACGGCTCGGTGCAGTTTATGTTCAGCAAGGGAAAATTGTGTAAGTTGAGCAGAACCTTTAAAAAGTACGACAGACAATTTATCCAGTTCGCGCGTATTCCTGTTGAATTTGTAGCCCCTGTTCCAGGCGTTCAGACAGTGGGGAGCGGTGCGAAGTAAAAAGGGGTGCGAAAAAATAAAAGCGAGGGAGGGGGAGAGGTGAGAGAGGGAACGCCTGTTAGATTTGTTTTAAATAGACTCATCCGCCCACTCAGACCGCATCCGCTGTAGGTGTTCTTCACTTGTCAATTAAGACTGCTGTTACAGCCCCATACATTTATTATTTTTCTTACGAATAAATCAAAATTTCTCAGATCAAAAATTAATATTATGTATACATAATCTTACTAAAAACCTAATGTAAGACTTTCAGACAATAGAGAGCGGGAGAAGTAATTTATTTACGGCTTTAAAACATGATTTCAGCGTGTACGTGACAAAAAAATTATGAATCAGGTGACAAACAAATATCGCTCATTTCGATAGAAAGCCGTTTCAATACAGATCGTTAACTCGAGCAATGAAAATGCCCAACAAACGAAGGGAAAATTTACTATTCGGTGATTGAGTGGACCTCGTCAATAGCGATAGCTGCAACTTGCTTTCCAAGCCTTTCCTTTTGAAGTCCTTTTGTCCATTCCTTAGACAACCACGATTTGTGACTGCAGTACGCCTTTGCGTGAATTTTTAAGGATCATACAATTTCACAGCTTCCACTTTTAACGGCTTCATCCACATCTCCCATCATTGCCGCCGCTACTCCGATTTTGTGCAAATGTTCCACTTGGTCTCTCATGATGGCAATCAACGGAGTTACTACAACAATCGTAAATGACATTCTATCCTGCCTTCATTTCAACGCACGCTTTTTTCGAGGAAAAAGCTGGAAAATAAGTCTTTTTCCAAAGCCAGTCGGTGAAATTGCGAAGACATCTGTCCTGCCGACTACGTGTTTTAAACAGTTCCTTTGCTCTTCGCGTTTAGCCTCCACGTTTGGAAAGTCACTCAGCTCTGTGTTTGTTGCGAGTTCGAATTCTGGACGGGACGTAGAGTCTGTCATCACCGCCATATTGCATTTCTCGCTGTGATCGAAGACGCTCCACTGTTGACAAAAACTGTCAAAATCAACCAATCAGAGGGTATACCAGGATCTGGTATACCGGAACGCACTTTTGTTAAAAATTCTTACAAGCGTTCCCGCACCTCTCTCCCCAGTCCCCCTCTACTTTTCATCGGTTTCTTTACTTCGCACCACTCTCCACTATCTGAACGCTTGGAACAGGCTATGACCGGTCTGGCCATTTCGGTCGGTCGGACCGAAATGTGCCTTTCCATTTGCCAAAATTGTTGTCCCCAGTACCGCTCTTTTGTATCCTGCTTACAAGAACAAGTAGTTTCCATTGGAAAGTCAACTACTGTGAGTAAAGCCATGACATCTCAAATAGTTTGAATCAGTTGCAATTTTTTCTCCCAAAAAATTTTTTCGGCCCTTCAGGCCTCAGTTTGCTCTAAAATAAAGCGGGTGGGGGGGCCTCCAGGGCCCTTCTTCTGGATCTGCCACTGCTTCGGGTATTTACGTGACTTTTTACTTTTCATTTTCAGTACACTTCGGTGAGCCATGCGCATGCTCCGAGGTAGTTCAGACGTCAAGGAACTGGTGAAGACGGCTCATGCCTTTTGGAATTTCGGCAAAGAAATTTTGGGCACAAATATTCTGGGCAAAGATCCTCCATCATTGATTCCACCATGTGCTGGACATTTTTCACGAGAGGAAGATGCAGAAATGAGAGAGAAGCTCAAAACTCTTTGCCAAGGAGGAAAGAGCTCCAGTGTTGTGAAGACTCTCTTATTACAAGGACCATCCGGACATGGAAAAAATCATTCAGCTGCAAATCTGATGACCACAATTTACACAACGCGAATAACAAATTCTTTCCGATCACGAGCTGATCAGGGTAAACCAAAATTGTTCCTAAAAAACCCCACGATAAGATGGACTCTAAATGCGACCAATAAACAGACGTTGTTTGATAGTTACAAAAGTCTTGCTGAAGCAGTTGGGTTGATCGAGGAAGCCACTGATGCTTATATGGAACTCCCACTTCACAACAGGACATCGGAGGGGAGGCTATATCAAATGCACCTCCGCAATCTTTGTGAGAAAAACGCCTATGATGAAGCTCTTGAACAGATATACGCAAAAGTTATGAAGGAGCTCCGACAGAAAGACTCATGGGTCCTTTACATCCAAGGATCCAAAGCGGAAAAGGTGGCTTCTCTTAGAAGATTTTGGCCTCAACCGGGTGATAACAGGTTTGGAAATGGTCTTGTCATAATGACTACTGGTGAATGCAACACCAAACTTCTGTTTGGAGAGGAGGATGACTCTGTACTGCAGAAAGTGTACATTGGAAAAATGACAGGCCAAGATTCAGTTGAATTTCTTGAAACAAAAACGGGCATAACAGCAACTGGTGACACAAAGAATGCTAAAGACATAGCCGTTGAAATGCTTAAGCGCAGTCCCCAAGATATAGCAAAGTAAGTAATAGAATGATCAAACAGATCAAAGACTTCGAACGTTTTACTGTAGCGCCAGGACTGGGAGTAAAGCGAGCCTTTTACATCATCTGCGTTTCTATCTGCCACGTAATGACTACACTAAAAGAATATACGATTGGCAAAATTACACGAGTTTTCTTCTCCCAGCCAGTGTTAGGCGACCATAAAAAGAGATTCTAAATTATGGAAAAATGATTTATGGATGATGAAACAAAGTTTTCAATGGCGTTAGAACTTCCAACAAAGCACTTTCTTTACCTACATTTTTGTCCGCCAAGCATGCCTACAAAAATAATTGGTGAAGTTACAAAGGAGTGTCTTTCGTCAGCCCAGTTGTAGGGGCTAAAATAATATATGAGTTAAAGGACCGAGTTTACCCATTTTATCTCACTGAGCCCCTTGTATTGCTTGTTCAAAAATGACAGAATATTACAACTTTAATTGTAGTGCACATTATTTTTTTTTGCCTCGTTTACAAACAGCCATCTCATTTTAGAAAGTCTCTTTTCCATTGCTGTCTGAGGTTGCAAAGACTGGGCAAAGGGTGAGTTAAGTCGTTTTACTGTTTGCTATTCTTGACTTAAGGTTTGGAGCATTTGTGAAAAACTACAGCGAAGAAACCAATAAGAAGGTAACATACAAGGATTTAGTCGAGACGAAAACAGAATCGCCTTATGAGTGCATGCTGCTTCTGGAAATGACACGCAAAAATCAAGAAAAGGTACCTGGTGACAATAGAACTAGATGATAATGATGCACGAGTTTTGTGGTGTTGTGTTTTAAGTGTATGATAGATTTGTTTATCATGATTAAATACTATAGGCGGAAATGCTAGCCAAGCCCAACAGTTTACAAGGGAGCGCAAGTATCTGGCATATTGCGATAGCTTTTGAGCGAGCAACAACGGCAAGAGTGTAGTTTGCAACTAATTTTTTGACTTCAAAAGCTGGTGCGAAACTAATGGATTGAAGAAGGAGACTACAAACAACTTCACCAACTTCAACGGCACCACTCTTGTAAACTAACAATGTCCAAGAGAAATATGTTTTAAACTGTGTTTTAAGAATGCAGCTATTGCATGTGGCGGCTATTTAGAAAACAAGTTGAATTCAGTATCACAGTAAAGGTTAATCGTAGAGAATTCTCATACCCAGACTAGAGTCGAGTTTATTTTTCCCCATGGTTCTTTTTTAACAATCCGAGAAGTCCCTCACAATACTGGGGGATCCATTTTTGTGATTACTGTGCATGCGCCAGTAATCACCATTGGCATCGAGTTAGTTTTCCGAAAGTAAGTAACAATAGAATAATTATACTTCGGAGCCAATCAGCATACAAAGAAAACCAATTTTCAGAATCTTTCGTCGCGACGATGCTTTGTCGATGATAAACGAAACATTCGGCTGCCTCGTGGTTTTGAGCATCGTTGTTAAATTTGGTAGTAGCCATGCATTCACGTTACCCAACAGGAAAAAATCGAAATTTGTTAAGTCGAGTTTCCCGATGAGTTTCTCAAGGTGTGAATACAATCTAACAGGGGAATTGGGTTGGCCGATACCAACTGACAACAATAAGGGGCTTGGAGTGGGAGTTTCGAACTTCGATATATAAATTTTCGAGATCGGCTGTGTCTAAATCGTTACAAACAGAAAAATTAATACCAGATTTAACACAGAAACAAACACTACCACCGCCATCGCTGATTCTGACCAGGAATGTAAAATTCGAAATCTCTATTAGAATTATTTAGTTTTGTTTCTTGAACAGCTAACACATCTAAAAAATTTGTCATCAAGCAAAATTCTGTCTTCATCTATGTGGGTAGATAAACTGTTAACGTTCAAAGAAGCTATTTTGATGCGACGCGTCGATGGGAGACGAAAATTTGATATGATGTTGATTCGTACTTAGATGAAACAGATTGAAAGAAATTCGATTGCTCATATTATTAGACTCAGAGTCAAAACAATCGGCCTTCTAGGAGGCAGGCTAATAATTATTTACATTTAAAGACAAAGATTTAACAAAATTCTGTAGAAGTAGGTCATTACCTTGTCTAGTGAGATGATGTCCGCCCTCTAATTAATTAAATCTTTGTTGGAGATATCAGTATGACAAATGAACTTCCACTACTCACAGTATCTTTATTAAATCTCCACCATGTGGCTCTACCGATTTAATCTACAAATTTGGAAAAGGAAAGGAAAAAAGACTAATTTACAAATCTAATTATTAATAATAAATGGAAAAAATACATATTATATACATATACTTATTATTGACTTAAAAATACTCTAATGACATACAAAAAACTGTGGTATTCGTGCAGTCAGTCACCTACAATCCTGGTCAAAACCTTTGGGACACTTCGTGTTTTAGGTGAGGAAAATGTAATTCAAGTTGACTCCCTCCCCCCTGAACAGTGTTGGGTGTTACAAGTCAAACACCTTTTACATATCTTGTACACTTTACAGACTTTAAGGACCTCAACTTTGTTTAGTGGGGGAAATCTTGTTAAGGCCCTATTTAAGAGTGTGTATCGCAGGTTAGCTGCAAATTCATACAGAACCAAGTGACAAAGGGGAGGTGTCCCAAAACCTTTTGGCCAGGATTTTAGTTCTCGGTGTCCAATTTTGCACAACGCTTAAAGTTTGTGAGCGTTCTACTATTTCTTGTGCTTGCACTTAGCGAGTTCCAAGTGTTGATAGATCGATAGTGAAAGGAACATTGCGCAGTGGCTGTCCTGAACATAGGAACTTCTAGGTTTTCCCTGAATCTGGTATAATTATGACTATGGATTCCTGTTCTTTTACTGATGTAGCTATTTAGGTAGGAGGGCGCGAGTCGATTCACTATTTTGTATAACTGTGTGACATCACAGTCCCGCAGGACTGGTGAGATATGGTCGAACTTCCTAGTATTAGTTAACCAGGAGAACAGCAAAATTTCGTACAAGTAGCAATTTATAAATTTTCTACTTGAAAATGCCAGACCACACAGTAGAGCAATAAATAGAACTAACGGCTAATTTGTATCCACTCAAACGCCGGAAATTCCATTTTTACGATTTACTCTTTTTTGCCCTATTTACGGCTAAATTTTTAAATTTTTACGGCTATCGACTAAATTTTTTGCCGTTTCACGCCTATCGGTTAACCCCATTGAGACCCTCTTGCAACTTAAGAAGGAGTTTCCTATGGCATATGCTATCAAATGCCTAACTTAGATCGATCAAGACCATAGCCGTTATTTCCTTCTTGTCCATCGTTTTGAAAATGTGACCGGTAACAAGCAGACTCAGAGTTTCGGTTGAGTGATATTTGCGATTCCCGCTCTCGTGGCAGGTGAGGTTGACTTGTTGAGTCAGAAAGTCATTGAATTTATTCACACTGGTCACAGAATTTAATATTGAGAAATTTAACTAACAGTTCGGCGATACAACCGGTAGCCTGCGTAGCAGGCGTCGAAAGTGGTAGGGGATAGGGAGCCCTTGTGATCTACAGTGCAGTACAGTGCCATAATATATGTTTTTACTCGACAGCTTTTGAAATTCTTGGCTTGCTGTTCAGGGGAGGCCGATTACTTGCCTTTACAGAGTCTAGAGAGGTGTTTTGAAGACGCTAAAGAGACTATAAAGCAAAGCAAATATGTGGATGTTCCTGAAAGAGACGGAGTAAAAGTAGTGACAATACATGAGAGGGATCATAAGGCACTGAGAAGCATACTAATCGATCGAAAACCAGCGCTCAGCGGTAAGAGAGGAAAAGAGGCTAATTAATGTTGTTGAAATATATTGCATTGATTTTTTAATTACTTAAACCGAAATCTTTCCCTTTTAATATCTATGCAAAAATATATTATACGCGAGTAGCTCGTCATGTTCAGCCCACTATTAGCAGCCACTTATCAAGCTGAATTTTATTCAGTCTATTCATGTTGGGCGCACAAAGCTATTAACAGTATGTCGACCTCTCCCATTTGAGGGTGTGTGAAAGGAAATTTGTACAAGACAATTTCAATTATTTTAATAAGTAAAGACGTCAACAAAAAATCGACGTATCAATGCATAAAACATCGCCTGCTTAAGTTCTAGAACGTTCTAAAGTTCCGTTGAGCTTAGAAAACTGAATCAGTACAACTGAGTCTTGACTACTAGTCTGCTGAGTCTGATAGAGCTCTTGGTGGTGGATCAGGTCTTCCTTCGTTACTTACATAGTCCTGAATAAGGTCTAGTTGCTTTCATTCTTTCTCTTGCTTCGGTACTTCATGGCTTTCTCCAGGTGCGTGAACAACGTTTGAATTGGGCAATTTCTTCTTTTATAGCATATTTTTCGTGTTACGTGAAAGCAACTGCAATGGAAGTTGTGAAAAACTCTATGCATATCACAATGCAAGTCATATTGCTGCTTTCTTTCTCCGTTTAATCCTTCAAGGCGCCCTTCATCAGTTCTACGAGCTTAACCCCGCAAGTGATTATTTTCTTAGGTGGTAGCTGGTCATTTACAACGCACTGTTTTCCCCTAGCCTATTTGTCATGTACTATTCAAACCATTTGACCTCTATATCAATGAAACCAAGACGCTGATTTATCCTTGTTTAGCAGGATGCTGTGATTAATGGAGTCAAACGTCCGTTCAATGTCTGGTAATATGTCGACACCATTCAATCTTACATTATCCTTATTTTCTAGCCAGCATTACATATTTAAATGAGGGCCGTTACTGTCGAGTGATCCGGGCACATCATGGAGTCTTTCCTGTCAGATAGCAGGAGATAACTATAAACGGTGAAGGGAAACTTCTTTTTCAAATACTTTGCTTACTATTGGTAACACAGACATTTTAACTTATAGTTCTCACATTGCAGTGTGTCTCCAGATTTTAAAATAGGTTAATTAGACTTAAAGCCTTCATACCTTAGGGTCTTAATAATTAAGGGACCGAGATTGAAGATGAAAGTCAGCGAGAGCGCAACCTCGCCAATAGTTTAAGAATTTTGAGAGAAATTTTATCCAAACTAATTAATTGGATTAGATACTTTTAGATTTCTCAAGGTTGATATAAAAGTTATTGGCAAGTTTGAACGGCACGCGCTAGGATTCGTCAATTTCATTAGTTACTGATATATTATTACTTAAGTGCTCATCATCACGTTCTGCAGCAAGTTTTATATTAAACAGTCGTTTAAAACTTCAAATCCGACACTACATTTTCATGAAACAATAGCTTGTCCACATTCAGTTAGTTACAATTTTGCCCAATAACAAATCAATAAACATCCAAGTTGGTTCGTTGTCCCTCACGATCTAGTCCACGGAGCAGCCATTTTGTTCATTGTTTTTATTAGACCTAACCTGAGATCAGGCCCAATTTGAGCGGTTTTCATATATTCTCTCTAACGGCTACCGCTGAAATTGGGCCTGATACAAACTATTACAGGTTTGTGCTCGTTACGGCCAGATTTTGGCCGTAACGCTGATTGGCTGTTAGAACAATAACACAAGATCTGATTGGCTGTCGGAAACGCCGGAAGTTGAAAGCGCTTATTCCTCGCGTGGTTGTTTTCGTGAATGATCCGTCGTCGGTGGAGAAGAGGATCGTTTTTGCTGTCTTTTTTATTGCTTTATGGTGTTATGGAAGGAAAATATGCCTTAATATGTGCCATGGAAATTCAGAAAACTCATGTGGTTGTTCATATCTTCTCACGATTTGCTTTATTTACGGAAAGTGAGTGTATCGCGGAGTTGAATCCCTCTGCAAGTTGTTGACCGCTAACAAGGTGCATTTTGATTGACCAACAAAAGGGTGCAAATCAAAATACTGTCCATCTTAAAACTAGTTTCATTTGAAAGTTTAGCCGGGAATGACTTCTCTGAACGGGGTACGCAAGCGGAGACTGTGAAGTATTAGAAGAAAAATATCGCATCGCTGTTCAAGGAATTTTCGGCGTTCACAGACTGGTTGTTTGACTACGCTTTTTGTTAAAAATAAACCAAGAAAACTGGTGTCCTCGCTAGGGGTGACGAATGGTAAAATCCGAGCCTTGCCGAGACGCCGAGACCCTAGTTTAAAAATCCGAGCCCGAGCCTTGAATTTGTTTGTAAAATCCGAGCTCGAGTCTTAGCGCTAAAAAAATCCGAGCCCGAGACGCAGTGATCCAAAAATCCGAGCCCGAGATGCACTTGATCCGAAAATACGAGATACAGCGCTCTGAGCTTTTGTGGGCATCACAACAAATATTTTTCCACTCATCCCAAAACATTGGTTTTGTATTAAAACCATTAACTTATAGCTACTTATCTAGTCTACTTAGTCTACCAGTCAGAGACATAAAATTAAACGTATTATAAAGTAACGCGTTACTGCTTATAGTCTACTTATTAACCTGGTTAGTTACTTTATAAGCTAGTTAAACTAATGATTCGACATTCTGCCTGGTTTAAAATTCACACGCCTTCTGATAGCTTCTGATCTGTCGGCTTCTGGCACGCGTAAATCTGCGGACGATCGGCTTTCGACTAGCTACTACTGCAAATGGCAGAGAGTGAAGAGGAAATAGAAAGGGTTTTGAAGCAACGAAAGGAATTAAACGCAAATACGGTAAGTTATAAGATCGTCTTGCTTAGAGCTTAAAGTGCATTACTATTTGCTACTATTAGCTACTATTACCGCAATAATTTCAGTGTAGGTCTTTAAATCATTCGGGCCAAGAACAGTTCAATTCTCAAACGATTGTCGTTGGGTACCCATGTACTATCATGACATGATTTCCTCTATAAAGTAAGTGGAAATTACTGTTTCCTATATCTTACATAACAATTGTAAATGCAGATTCCGGCAGGGGTAAATTTCTTAATTTCTCGTTTCGGATAAGCTTGCGGATAAAAAATTGAACGTCCCATTGGCGAGATTTCGAGATCCAAATTTTCAAAATCCGAGACTCCGAGATCCAAATTTTCAAAATCCGAGACTCCGAGACCGTCATATTTCTGGGAAATCCGAGATTCCGAGACGCTTTTTTTAAGCGCCGAGATTACGAGACTCGGCTTAAATTTGCCGAGACTCAACATTTTTGAAAGGCCATTCGTCACCCCTCTCGCTCGTTGGATGTTTGCTTTTGTTTTTAAAGATTTATGTACTGAAAATCGGGGGAAATTGCCGAGGAAAATATCAAGACAACGGAAAAATAGAGATTTCAGTATTTTAAATTCCAGAGCGCCTAGCCAAAATAATAAAACTAGTAGAACATCGTGTCGCCATCTTTTCGAAAACTTTTTACCTTCTACGCCAACAGAAGTAACCTTCGAGATCTCCCTTAGGGTGCGTTTCTTTAAAAAAATCCAAGATTGGATTCTTAATCCGAGATCATGCGGATTTGTTATTTTTAAAGACACGAAAAATCCGAAAATGGATTTTTTTTTTCAATTAGCCGTAACGACCCCAGCATGCAGTTCGCGTGTTTTGGGGGGAGTTTTCAAAATGGCGGAAAGTTTTGGTTTGATGTTTGAACTGTTCGAAGAAGTCCTTGCCGATGACCTTGAACAACAACAGGTTCTTTTAGGAGCCGATGACGAAGCAGTTTTATTCCTTTTGGCGGCCGGACAGCTCGTCCGAAAAGAACACGCTCGCACAAAGAATTTTTACGAAATAACCGTACCTAGTTACATACCGGAGGACTTCCGAAGTCACTTCCGCATGTCACGGCATACAGTTACAGTTCTCGAACATTTGCTTTCGGTCCACGGCGACTTACCTCAATACACCGGCGATAGAGGAAGACCACCGGTCGAGTTAAGAAAGCAAATCCTTATTACGCTGTGGATTCTTGGGAATCCAGAATGTTTACGCTCTGTTGCCGATCGATTTGATGTTTGCAGGGCAACTGCGTACAGAGTCTACAGACGAGTTTGCAAAGCAATAGTGAGGAACTTAATGGATGAGTTTATCAAGTTTCCAACTGGTCTAAAAGCCCAAGCGGTGATGGAGGCCTTTGAAGAGAAAAAGGGTTTTCCGGGTGTTTTGGGGGCTATTGATGGCACCCACATACCAATCAAAGCACCACATAACAATCATGAACAATACATAAATCGCAAAGGTTTCTTTTCCGTCCAACTACAAGTCATTTGTGACCCGGATTTATTCATAACCGATGTTTTCTGTGGTTACCCTGGTTCAGTACACGATGCTCGCGTGTTTCGTAATTCTCCGATCTGCCGAGAAGTTGAAGTGAACCCAGACAATTATTTTCCTGGCAACTCCCACATTTTGGGAGACGCAGCATATCCCTTGAAGAGGTGGCTTTTGACCCCATTTCGAGACAACGGACGTTTGACTGCTCAACAAAGACGTTACAATATGCCCACAGTTCCACCAGAATGGTGGTTGAGAGGTCCATAGGGCTTTTTAAGAACAGGTTTAGGAAGCTAAAAACAATGATGGATGTTGACAAAATTGAGGACATACCGGAAATTATTGTATCCTCTTGCATCTTACACAACATTTGCATTATTGAAGATGACATCGATGATTTTTTAGATGACTCTAATGATGATGATGACAATGATGACAATGATGATGACATCTTTCCACCAGGTGTAGGAGCAGTTGATAAGAGAAACATGATAATGAGACTGATCCCATAAACCTAGCATTTATAAGTGGTTTATGTATTGATACCTTTTGTACTGTGGTGTTTTCATGAACACTTCTTTCATAGGTGGTGTATGTCATTCATAAAGTTTATACTGTATAATAGTCTTTTTGCTATAAATATCAATATTTTATTTGTTTTTAAAAGTATATAAGAAAATAGTAGAGCCATGTACATGGATCACTTTATACTACCTGAAACATTTATGGTGTTGCTTGAAATGTAAACTTTCAACACAAATGTAACAGCCTAATACTCTGACAGTCCAGGTTGCTTGTGTCACGCACAGAAAGGAGGAAGTGCGTGACACAAGTGATCTGAAGCATCTGAGAATCAGGCTAAAAAAAGTAAAGGATATAAATAATATCAAAACCAGTTTAGTTAGGCCCTCTCACCTAATGTTGCTGTTGTAGTTCCTTGTATGTATGTATGTGAAAAAAAACATACAACTTGCAATAATACTGTTAACATGTATGATATAATAAACTTTTAGATAACTCAATACTGACAACAAACTCAGGTTTACTGTATCTATGTTCATGTTTGTGGTCAAATAATCCCATGTTCTGCAACACAATAAAAATTATGGAATCAAGGTTACTCTTTGTTCAATGATTTTTCAAAAACATTCAAAAAATCGGCCCATGAGTGCCATGCGTTCATTGTGCATATTTTCAAACTTTTTAATCTTTTCCTTTTCTTCCTCTTTCCTGTCTTGTGTAAATTCCTTAAAGAGCCCAACGAGGTCTTCTCTTTTCTTCCGCTCTGGTAACTTCTTTTTCTTTGCTTTTGTAACCACAGGCTCCTCTGTGTCACTACCTGTGGAACTCAATGTGGAACTGGAATTTTTAACACTCTTGACTGCATCTTTGCTCCGTTTACCATCAATGTTGCTGCACAATGTTTTTGGAGCGATGGCATCATCTTTCGAAAATATTTCGTGAAGTTCGTCATAGAAGTTGCATTTCTTTCGGTCATTTCCGCTGACTTTGTTGTGATCAACACAAGCAACATAACTTCTCTTCAGATTTTTCAATTTCGTCTCACACGCCTTGGCATTAAAGAACACTCCGTTCTTCTTTAATTCTTCGCTGATTTCTTCCCACAGGAACTTGTTCTTTTTGTTTATATCTTTAAATCGTTCTCTGCGTTCGACATAGCAGGAAATTAACAACAGCACATCAGCTCTAGACCAGCGTACAAGAGCTCTCGATTCGCCTTCGGTGCCTTCACTCGACTGACTGAACGTGGCTGCAGCTGTTTCCAAAGAAGAAAAACTTGGACCAGGCTGAGGTGATACTGATCTGACTGTTTCATGGCTGAACTGTGATGCCTGCGGTGGTGGAAACATGAACTGAGGAAGATAAGGTTGAATGCCCGGTTGAACGTGGCTTTCGTTCCACTGATATTCTGGATATTCACCTGCAGATAAACTGTGCGTCCAATATTGTCCTGTAGATAGAAATAAAAGATGCCAAGACGCATCAAACATCCGGAAAATTTATAAAAATACGTACAGGACGGAAAATTTCGGTGAAACTACACAAAAAACTCACCTTGTTTATTCGCCATGGCCGGCAGCAGCTAATATTTACAACAAAATGGCGGGAATGTGGCGGATTTTAAGAAGACGACCGCTTGCCAAACGTACTGCTTTTTGTATCCGTGCAATAAAGAAACGCACGGATCATGAATCCTAAAAATCCGGATTTAGATTTGATCTAATGAATCCACTCGGAGTGTGGATTCTATAGATTCAATATCCATTTTCGGATTTTATTAAAGAAACGCAAAATCCGTTTTTGGATTCAAGAATCCGGATTTGGATTTTTTTAAAGAAACGCACCCTAATCTCGCAAGAAGTTAGATGTGATTGTGCTGACTGTTTTATTTTTAGCGGAAAACATTAACAGATAAAAGCTATTTTTTAAGTCAGCCAGTCTGCATTTTTCCCACGCGTGAAAAATTTGCATACTAGAAAAACAAGCAACGGAAGTAATTCTGATTGGCTGATTCGGCAAATGTCAATCAATCAAAAAAGTGGGCGGCAGACATTTCGTTAAAGGTTTGTATCAGGCTCTCTTTTCGTTTCGTCTTGCCCGCCGGAATGTAATTTTCAAAGCGAAACGAATATAGAGCCTGATCTCTGGTTATATTAGACCTTTCTTTCTTTGCTGCTTCAATTTGAAATTTCGGGGTCTCTAATGTCATGTAATCTGTTTACCCTAACTGAATCAGAGGTGAGCTCTAATCTCTCTAATCTTCCATATTGTATGCTTGCCGATTAATGCCATCTTTCAGTCCCATGTTCCAAAAGCTGCTGGACAGTGTACTGGCTTCCCTGTGTAGGCGTGGCGATTGTAAAATTTTGTTACGTTTTGCGACATCATGGTCTGCGAAGCTATACTGATTTGGCTGTATGAAGTGTTGAGCAGTACCTCTGCTGCCATTTGATACATCTTGTCAATAACAGCGGGCATTCAAATTTCTGGTCTCCAGCTTGGCGGTAGTTTGGTCGAATTCATTTTGCTGCCGGCCTGAAGTTTTGAGTGGGGCTTCGTCGAGAGATTCGATCAGTCCCTTCAATGTGAAGTGCATCGACATCGTTTGAGACCTGGAAACACCTAAAACAAGGGAGTATCTAGGGTTTCCTCTTTTTTTCATAGACGTTCGATTTCGTTGGGATCTGTGTCTGCGAATGAATGCCGGTGAGCATTCTCATGTCCTTCGATCCGTGCATCAGATTAGTGATAAGCTGCTTGTGTTTCCGAACCTGCTGAGGATTTTTTTCCTGGTCCTGTATCTTCCTTGTAGTCTTATATATATTTCCTGATCGCCAGATATGATGTATTTTTGAGGGGCTGAATGGTCAATGGTCGATCACCGAAGAACTAATTTACCTGATTGTCATGTGCCCTCTTGTCCCTAATTGAGCATAACTATATATGTTGTGATTTTATGCTGTGTTTCAAAATTTCAGAGGAAAACTGGTCTGGCTTATTTTGGCAGCTCGTGAACCAGTGGATTCCAAGTGGAGACAAGACAATCAAGATTATCCCACCGACATTGACATCAAGTGATGTCCTTCATGCAATTAAATGCCTAAGCAGCAATTTTAAAGATGCCCTGCAACAGAGCAGAGATCAGGACTTCATTATGTTACCCAAAATATTACCACATTTAAAAGAGGCAGTGGAGGTAACTAACAAACTCATCATTTACTCTTAATAAATCTTTTCAAGGCCTTCCACAGATTGCCACAATTACTTCTGAATAAATTATTGTCTTAAAACTAAGGCATGGAGGGCAGAAACGAGTAAAAACTGCCCTGGTGGCAACTTCTAACAATTCAAGAAGCGTAACCCAACGGAATGTTATTTTAATCTTGTGCAGTGGAACCCTGTTAGTACGGTCACCAGCGGGTCAAAAAAATTTGGCCGTATTAACGGGGTGGCCGTATTGCCTGGGCAGGGTCAAATTTCATGAATTAAGGGCTGTTATGACAAATACAGGTAGGACTTTTCCACGGGTGGCGTTTGACAGGTGACGAGTGGCGGGTTGCGGGTGGCGGGTTGCGGGTGGCGGGTGGCGGGTGACGGGTTACCGGAAGCGGGTGGCCGGAATATATTTGTAAAGTATTTTGAGACAAGGAATGTTTAGTCCAGGCCAGACAATTAAGATCGCATTCGCTTCTTGAAAAAAGAATTGCGTTTGTCCTTTTTTTAACTCGTGGGGACGCGCGAGCGTACCACGAGTTATTGCAGGGACAGAGATATGCAAATAAGTCACTCGCTCACTCGTAGTGGACGGACTTCGTAATTGATCGGGTCCGAACTCGAGAGTGCGAAGATCTATCGCTTCCGAAGAAGCACGCGCTCTTGAAGTTCGGTGGGATCAAATTCTTCGCTGAGAGCGTGCATCGTTCGGCGTTCGCTGCTCAGACTCAGAGTTTTCTTTATGGCAAATTTTCTACAGCACGGTTAGAGGTCTTACCAAATTTAAGACACGTAGGAGTCTTTCAAATGAGTACGATGGTTAACTTGGGGATTGGATTTCAAGAGCCTTTGACTCGTCCAGGCGTTAAACTTGACGAGAAAATGAGCAATTACTCTTCTGACTCCGAAAGATCACGGGGGATATACAAATTCCAGCTTACTGGAAAGTGATCTGAACGTAAGAAAATGTCATGCCATGCTATTCTTAAGAACCTGTATGGGCCGAAAATGGATGTGATTTTGACCATTAGCTTCAAAATAACAGCAGAAATCGAGATAAGAAAACATATGTTTTGCCTCCTACTTCGCTGACGAGGTGTATCGGCTTTGTAAAGCACATGTTATTTTGTTCATTCGTTGCCATGAAATGCGTTGACATTGTTTTTTCACTGTCAATAGCTCGGTTAATGCGGCTCGATCATACTGAACGAATTTGCTGGCGGAAGTTCCATGGATAACGCATTAAGTTAAAGAGTTTTCGCCGAAATGATGTTATCAGTCTTCGTGGTGTAGTGGTAAAGTAAAGTCGCAAACAGCCGAAGGTTCCCGAGTTCAAGTCCTGCTTTGCATCGTTCTTTTTTCATCTTCTTTCTTTCTTTTTTTCTCGTTTTTGGCTTGTTTCGTTTGCTTATTTGTTTTGTTGTTTTTCTATAAATATGTACCTAAATAACTGTCATTTAATAAAATGCAATAAACAAAAAGAAAAGTATTGTGTTTGCAGAGCAAAGATAGTATGATGCAGACAATTTATTAGAAACATGAATATTTCATTTGATAAACTGGAAATGATTCTTGCCTGTTATATTTTAGATACTCGTTTTTCAAGCAATTGAATAGAACGTTTCTTTTCTAGGGGAAAAAATGGTTCCTCGAAAAACGTGGCTATCGGAAAATTTTCTCCCATCTCGAAATCTCGGAAGCGTTATTGATGGGTCTCGAAGTCTCGTTTCCGGGTGATTTTTCCGTCTTGGAGTCTCAATTTTTTTGCCGACGTGTCTCGGAGTCTCGGATTTGTCGTTTTTTCTTTAATCCGTTTGGTCTTCACAGGAGCTCATGAAATGGAGCCTCCATCTCCCATACAAGCCCTTGGAGTCAACCCTTTCCCGAGTAGATTTATAATTAGAACGGTTCCCAGGGGAGACTTCGCACGCCGACGGTGGGAAGAGCCAATCACAACGACGAAATGACTCTGCTATTGTACTTCATCAAACAGCAGGAAATTTGGTGTTGACAGGCCAAACACAATCATAAGCTAGTGAAACGTGACTTAAGCGTTTTCATCCCTCAGAGATTTTCTTTCTTTTCTTTCTGGTGGGTAGATTATAGTGTGGAGAGTTTTACACTCTGACTATGTTAATCTTAATTTTGGTTGCTTGTCTCACAATTAGAGGCCATGAAGCTGGTCTGTTACATGCATAATGATTAACTACTACCTGCAGTCTATAGTTCTGACAGGATTAGTTTTCTTTAGCCAATTTTTTTGAGCGTTAAGGTTCTTATTTCCGCTAAATGACTCAATATTAATCAAATTTCTAGTTTTTCAAGGCATTTTTTTTCCGAAATGCGTTTATCTGAATAAATATACTTGTAGCCCTTGGGGTTGTTTTGTCCGTCAGCTAGTGTGATGATATTCCCCGCTATGTTTTGTAACGCCGGGCCTAGCTAGCCATTGTTTTCTCGTAAAAAAGTGATCCACAGATGCGAATTCGGAGGAAAGAATTTAAGCCTAAACTTCTGCATTAACTGCTGAGAATTGTCCTGTTAGTCAGTCATAATTCTTTTGCGCAGATACAATCTATTTTGTTGAGCTATTTTAAAAAAATAGCTCATATGTCAGTGGTTTGAGCGTATGTATCTTTGTGGCTTTGTATCTTTGTATGTTAAGATGTTTGTTGCAAGAGCAAATAAGGTTGAAGGTACTATGATTTTGATGCTTAGGAACCTAAGCATCTATTTAAACATGGCATTGGTAAAGGTCGAACAAGGGCACTTTGAGACCGCTATCTTGATCCTTCACAATTTTTTCGTCTTTTATTACGGGTACAAGTGTTTGGAAGCATTACATAAAATATCTTCATGATTCAAACGCTGTGAACAGTGATGCAGTTGTTTAAGGGTTCATATTTTAGTGTGGATGCTGCTTCAAGACACTTGTGACCGATTCGGCTATCGTGAACGGTACAACGCACGTATTTATGAGTTGTGTTTCACCCGCTTCAAGGTAGAGTATAAAAGATCATATATTTTCAAATCTCTTCCAGTGAAGCAATAATTGATAATTAGATATCGACTTTAATTTGAAAGTATGCGGCCTATAAAATGTGGTTTTACAGGTTTGAAAGGCAGCTCATTTTTTTTAAAGCTGTACCGAGTATTGTTAATTCTGTTAACAAGCTTTAAAAATATTATTCTCTCGCTTACAAAGTTCAACAGACCTTTTTTTTTTCGTTCCGGCAAAACAATAGCTTGCGCGCAGACGAAATTAAACTCTGGTTAACTAATCAGAGTTAAGTTATCGTCTGCATGCAGGCTAGCAAAACAAAAAAATAATAATAAGTGAACAACATGATCCTTCCTGCATACTAGGCATTATAGTTATTGAAACGTATTTTATTTAGTAAAGATGAGTAACTTAAGTAGAAACAGTAGCGTTAAGGAATACAATTGGAAGAAGCTAGTTGACACAATAATTAGATACTGTTTTATTGGATGGAGTAACATGATATGAGCAGAAATATATTTCGGCAGTTTGATAATTTTCTTGGAAGTTAATAAATGTTAGGCTATCAACCTTGACATGGCATGAAACATAATTTAATTGCAGATGTTGTAATGAAGCCGAGGTGATTTCTTAAAATCGTTGAGAAAATTTTGTAGCAAACAATTTGCGTTTTTTTACGTACGAATTGTAAAAGGGCCAAAGACCAACATTTTCACGTGCAAATTGTCTGCATGAGTTATTCTTATAATTCTGTTTACTAGATTACCGTGTGATAACTCGAATTCCCTCACGTACGAACAAAGAAAGGGGGCAAAGTCCAACACTTTCTCGTGCCAGTTGTGTGACTGTACATCTCATGCGGATTGGCTTTTCACAATAATAATAGTAACTTGAACGTATGAAGACCTGTTTCGTTTTGTGACCAATGCCTTAAAAAAGGCTCTTGTCTTTTAAGAAGCAATAGCTTTTAAAACATGAAGAAATAAGTTGTTGGAGTTAAGGACTGTTTCACTGAGTAGCATCGCACGTGAAAACCTCGTGAGTTGTGATAATGCAACCATCTACCACAATGATCCTGGTATTTCTTAACTACTCGAATTCGATGAGTCACATTTTGGCTTAAGAAACTCCGAGGAAACCTTAGAGTTTTCCTTCTCATCAACGTTTGGTGATTAGGTATTTATTTTACTTTAATAATCTGTTTAACTTGCACCAAATCTAACAGGGAAAGGCAGGGGAAAGTGAATATATAACATGAGGATCGACGCATCTGAGCGTTTCGCGTTTTCATTTATATACGGCAATACCCAATTTCGCACAAAACCCAGTCTACATGTAGGACGAAAAAGGTAGATTCATCACTCTTGGTAAGGTTACATTACACTGAAGCATTCAAAATAGCTCATGCACGTTTAACGTGCCTATGTTTTCTTGAGATAAGTGGGTCTTTGGACTGGAGCGCGATGTCACAAATTCCTCCGTTAGCAAATTATTCACGGTCGAGCAACTGTTGTCTTCTGTTCAACTTTTCAAGTGCCAGTTTCATCAGGCAACTCTCATGGTGATACAAGTCAGTTGTAAAGGAAGACTGCAATTTCTCAAATTTCGGAACTGAAGCATTCCTGGTTAGTTGCTACTTAGGTCATCGCTTTTTGCATGCGGTGCTTATAATAACTGGCAAAATCCATTCCACGGGGATGACAATCAAAGAAAGCCTATCGTCAACTCGTGGGAACATTGTTTAGAAAATGATCAAATGGTTATCAACTCTGGTTTTCCCACAGTAAATTGTAGGAAATGATAGAAATTCAGATTGTTTATCCATGTACAATATATTTAATACTATCTTTGCTCTGCAAACACAATACTTTTCTTTTTGTTTATTGCATTTTATTAAATAACGGTTATTTAGTTACATATTTAAAGAAAAACAAGAAAACAAATAAGCAAACAAAACAAACCAAAAACGGGAAAAAAAAGAAAGAAAGAAGATAAGAAAAAGAACGGTACAAAGCAGGACTTGCACCCGGGAACCTTCGGCTGTATGCGACTTTACTATACCACTACATCACGAAGACTGATTACATCAGTTTGGCGAAAACTCTTTAACTTAATGCGTTATTCATGGCACTTCCACCAGCAAATTCGTTCAGTATGATCGGGCTGCATTAACCGAGCTATTGACAGTGAAAAAACAATGTCAACGCATTTCATGGCAACGAATGAACAAAATAACATGTGCTTTACAAAGCCGATACACATCGTCAGCGAAGTAGGAGGCAAAACATATGTTTTCTTATCTCGATTTCTGCTGTTGTTTTGAAGCTAATGGTCAAAATCACATCCGTTTTCGGCCCATACAGGTTCTTAAGAATAGCATGGCATGACATTTTCTTACTTTCAGATCACTTTCCAGTAAGCTGGAATTTGTATATCCCCTGTGATCTTTCGGAGTCAGAAGAGTAATTGCTCATTTTCTCGTCAAGTTTAACGCCTGGACGAGTCAAAGGCTCTTGAAATCCAATCCCCAAGTTAACCATCGTACTCATTTGAAAGACTCCTACGTGTCTTAAATTTGGTAAAACCTCTAACCGTGCTGTAGAAAATTTGAAAATTTGAAAACTCTGAGTCTGAGCAGCGAACGCTGAACGATGCACGCTCTCAGCGAAGAATTTGATCCCACCGAACTTCAAGAGCGCGTGCTTTTTCGGAAGCGATAGATCTTCGCACTCTCGAGTTCGGACCCGATTAATTACGAAGTCCGTCTACTACGAGTGAGCGAGTGACTCATTTGCATATCTCTGTCCCTGCAATAACTCGTGGTACGCTCGCGCGTCCCCACGAGTTAAAAATCAAATGATCCTGGCACTTATTCGGCGCTGATCATCGAAAAGTTCCAAATCCTCCTCAGAACGCTTAATCATCGACTCTTTTCAAGGTCCATGCTTAAATGTGGGATGTAAAGCGGCAAAAAAACCACACACACACTCGCAAAGATAACCTGTCCGTGATCGTCAGTTCGCTGCCTTTATCCCATCGCTTCATGCTCAGTCTCAGTTGGGTAATTCATTAACTTTTATTTCATGATATCCAGGTCCCAGCGGCTGTAAAATTGTAAAAATGGACGTATAGGAAAAAAGGAAAACGGTCGAAGGACGGGCTTCTGTGTTCGACTTCATCCAACTTTCTTTTTTTTTCACGGCGACATACGAGACTCACGGAAATATGACACTTTTCGCGGGAAACAAGCCGTTCTATTTATAAATCTACTCGGGAAAGGGTTGACTCAAGAAATTAATGAAGCTGGTCTGTTACATGCATAATGATTAACCACTACCTGCAGTCTGTAGTTCTGACAGGATTCGTTTTCTTTAGCCAATTTTTTTGAGCGTTACGGTTCTTATTTCGGCTAAATGACTCAATATTAATCAAATTTCTAGTTTTTCAAGGTTTTTTTTTTCCGAAATCCGTTTATCTGAATAAATACTTGTAGTCCTTGTGGCCTGTAAGACAAGCAACGAAAATTAAGATTAACATATAGTCAGAATTTAAAACTCTCCACAGTATAATCTACCCGCTAGAAAGAAAAAAAAAAAGAAAATCTCTGAGGGATGAAAACGCTCAAGTCACGTTTCACTAGCTTATGATTGTGTTTGGCCTGTCAACAACGAATTTCCTGCTGTTTGATGAAGTACAATAGCAGTGTCATTTCGTCGTTGTGATTGGCTCTTCCCACCGTTGGCGCGCGAAGTCTCCCCTGGGAAACGTTCTAATTATAAATCTACTCGGGAAAGGGTTGACTCCAAGGGCTTGTATGGGAGACGGAGGCTCCATTTGATGGGCTCCTGTGAGGACCAAACGGATTAAAGAAAAAACGACAAATCCGAGACTCCTGAGACACGTCGGCAAAAAAATTGAGACTCCAAGACGGAAAAATCACCCGGAAACGAGACTTCGAGACCCATCAATAACGCTTCCGAGATTTCGAGATGGGAGAAAATTTTCCGATAGCCACGTTTTTCGAGGAACCATTTTTTCCCCTAGAAAAGAAACGTTCTATTCAATTGCTTGAAAAACGAGTATCTAAAATATAACAGGCAAGAATCATTTCCAGTTTATCAAATGAAATATTCATGTTTCTAATAAACTGTCTGCATCAGCTACGCATACTACGCGGACTGTTTTTCCCAAGACTTTATTTTCGCAAATATGGAAAGTATAAAACTGAGAAATCAAGCCAAACGGTGTAGCCTGCGAAAACAAGCGTCTTTCCTAGCCTGGGGATTATAGCTGTAGGGGGAGGGAGATTAGGGTTAGATGAAAGATGGCAGCCGTAACGCAAGCGCTCGATCTCGACGATCTTACGGGAAAATAGAGGACTGTGAAAAGTCTAGTCTGGTAGGGGGTGACTCGTAAAAGAAAGGGTTAAGAAGTAGGGAGTGATCATTAAAAAAGAGAAGAAACATGCTAAAATGTTCTATTCTAGTTTGACAATTGACACGGGATAATATGACTGGTATTAGATAAAGACGGCGTGTTTTTCATGTTTGAGTTATATATGGTATTTTTTCCATGGGTAAAGCAAATAACATGTTATCCCTAACTTCATTGTTTATAAAAAAAAAGGACAAACGCAATTCTTTTTTCAAGAAGCGAGTGCAATCTTAATTGTCTGGCCTGGACTAAACATTCCTTGTCTCAAAATACTTTACAAATTAGACATTCAGGTTTATTTAACAATTATTCCTCAAGCCCGAATGGGCTCTGTGTCAAATCGGCCTTATGGGCTATTGACTCAGAGGCCATGAGGAATGATTAGAGGAATAATTATTTTAGTAAAATCCAACTAGTTGGTCAAAACTATCGAGACAAAGCAACTTTAGCTGAGCAAAACACGATACAGCCGCCATTGTTTTGGTTTTCAAAGCCCGCGCTGTTCTTTACTAGTAGGCTATGAGATATAGCCTACTATAGTAGTAGCTAAACCAATCAGAACGCAGCATTGATAATAGACCACTAGTTAGATTTTACTAAATATATATTTTCAGGTCACCCGCATGAATGACCGTTTTGCCCGGCCGAAAAACCGTATTAGCCGTAAGCAAGCAAGGTGGCCGTATGGCGGGGTTCTACAGTAGCTCAAGCTGATATAAAAAGTTATGCATTTCTTTAGTTATAGTCTACGATTCTTTATTTTACAACTTAATTAAACAGCTGAGCCATAAACTGATACCAGAAAGTGAACTCGAGAAAAATCAACTGGTCTTGGCTGATGGACACGCATGCCTAGGAGAAATGTTGCTGTTTGTTGGTAAATCTGAGGAAGCGAGAAAAAATCTGGAGATTGCCTTACGTGGTTTCAAGGATTATTGCGGCCCGGAAAATGTGCTACTTGACAAAGCAAATGTGCTTCACTTTCTTGGAGAGGCATACAGAAACAGGTATAGTAGTTTGGTCAAAATACTGTGATTTTTAGTCCGCAGCCACCTTAAGGTGTTTAATAAGCTATTGTGATGTGACACTGTTCTGAAGTAGTGAATGTTTTTCCACAGATTCATGGCTTCCAAACAGTTGGGTTTTTAGGCACAGAGTTCTTGGCCTTGCCTTAATAGATTATAAAGCGTAAAAGACATTAACAAAAATAGGGTTAGAGAATTATTAAAAGCCCTAAAAAATGTGATAAGGAGCAGAACCTGTTTTTCATGAAATTAGACTTAAGTATTTGGCATAAATTCAATTTAATTCTCATGTTAGTTTGAACTTGTTCTTTAAAGCAATCTTGGGGACCCTTCAAAAGGGGAGCAGTATCTTAAAAGAGCACTGAAAGGAAAAGAACAGTATTACAAGGGAAAAGCTGACCATCAAGTCGCTTTCACCTTAAGAAGTCTTGCAAATGTCTTGAACGAAATGGGGAAGCACAACGAGGCTATGTGAGTGTCATAATTGTTTGTGTCGTATTATTCACCTATTAAGAGTTCGATATTGAGTCCATCCTCAAAATAGAAGTTGATTTTTATTGATGAACTGCAAAAAACAGGGGCACCCAACGACAATTTTCGGAAAAATATCTGTTCGGAAGACGATTTGAGATCTAGAATTTTCGGAACATTTGTTGTAAAATTTCTTGCTTGCCTGCCTCTCCTAGGATTTTCGAACATCTAAAAAATGGTATAATTGTCATGCATATTTTTAACGGATTTTTACCCTAAAAAGGTTACCTAGAATTTTCGGGAGCCTTTTTTCTGGCTGAAATTTTAGAAAAGGTAAGTTTTGATCCCTATAATTTTCGGATCACTAGACTTTCAGCTAGGAAATCCGAACAGATGAAAAATTTTTAGGGGATAAAAATGTGCCTTTATCTACCGTTTAAATACTAAAATACTTTTAAGAATGCTATGTTTAAGTGCTTTTGAACTATATTCTCGTTGGGTGCCCCTGAGAAAATTAACATTATTGCTACAAAAATGAACTTGATAAAAGCATAAAATCTCTTTTGTATAGTGACTTCGCAAAGAGAGCCGTTGATATCCATTTTCAAGGCGGCTACAAGTTCAGGCAAGAATATGGCTACAGCCTGAGTACACTGGGATCGTCGTATCGTTACCTGGGTCAGTATGTTCAGGCGGAAAGACGCCTAAAAGAAGCTCTCGAGATTTTCAGATCGGTTGATGCGCCAAGCAAGCTAAGGGTAATAGTTTTTACATTGTTTTATTCATTTCTTTAACATCCACGGACACATTCAGATCACTGACAGACCCCTAAAATGTTACTCTAGCCAGACATTGATTATCAGGAGATAGAAGAGTGAAATTATATTTCTAATCCTGATATTTTTCAACTTTTTCAAATTCCTTTTCATGTCATCCGTACTATTCGGCAAGTTATAATGAGAATTATTCATATTATTATAAACTATTATCTTTATCATCATTATTTTGTATTGTTATTATTATTATTATTATTATTATTATTATTATTATTATTATTATTATTTCAAGCCTACCAGTAAAGCTTTTAATTTTATGTTGTAGTGGCCCATAGACCTTCTACTCGGTTGGTAATTTTACTGAGGCTTTCTTTAAGATCGTACGAAATCTTGTTCGATCTCTTGATGGTGAATCAAAAAAAATTATTATTTAAGGCGACCTCAGAGATGTTTGGTTTCAGCCGTTTTTCATCCTCTTCATATTTTACTTGAAATGCTAGAATTACAATACTAGGGTAGTTGTATGCTCAGATATATTAACCCAGAGGTATTGTTTACAGATGGGTGAAACTCTTAGTCGTTTATCTTCAGTTCAAAGAAACTTGGAGAAACTTGACGAGAGTATCGAGTCGTTGATGGAAGCAAAAGAAATGTTTGGAAACAACGATATTTACAGCGCTATTATACTGTCAAAGCTGAGTGTCGTTTACCGCCATAAAGGAGATTCAAAAAACAGTTTGGAAAATGCAGAGAAGGCCGCTGAAATCACAGATAAACACCATGGCTTGAAAAGTCACCCTGGTAAGTGCTCGCCTGTTCTGATTTATACTTAACCCACCCAGCCATCTTCATAGGCGATTCGGGACTAACGAGAGAAGAGGAGAGAACAACGGTAAACAAACTTACGCTAACTTTCGTCGTCTCGACGTCCTTTGCGCATAGTAAGAAAGAGGTCTGGGTAAGAACCACATACCTGCCAGTTCTGATTGATATTTATCTTATGTCTTTGTGATGATCAGCGGATGATATTCTTGTACGCATGCGTGCATATTTGAACTAGATCCCTTGAGAATCGGTCATGCTGAAGAACCATAGAAGTTGTTTATTAAAGTTTGTTAATCTTGCTCCATTATGGTCTCTAGTGAAGGTTTTTACAGTCTTCAATGTATGGAACTTAAGACGTTTAGCGAGAATGGCTTGGAATCGAAGGCCAAGGCCGGGTAGACGATTTGTCGGCCTATTCTGGGACAGATTAGACACATCTTGAGCAGAACAAGTTGCTCGATTTTAGACCGAGATTTATCGTCTTCCTTTGGATGGAATGGATCGGCCAGATCAATCGTATTCTGAATATCGCCCTTGGCTTAATACAGGTTGGATATTGCCCAATGCATTAAGGCTTTCCATGTCTCTGAATTGTTGCTAAAATCTCGCCATTCGATAACCCCTGAAATAAGGCATTAGCTTAGGTGAACGCAAACGTTCTGTTTTCTCTGACCTTCTCCTCTTGCGGTTTCTAATTAGAGAGCTTCCTGGTAAGCTTATAAGGCGTGTAAGATGGTTCCACTGCTTTATCTCCTGTTTCTTGTGAAAAGTTATAGCCACCGCACTGTTGAACCTTGGCAACGCACAAAGCGATACGGGGAGTGTGGAGGATGCAGAAAGAAATCTAATCAGGGCACTGGAGATTTACAAAGAAATTCATGGGGAAAATCATGGAATTATTGCCGCCAACCTAAACTACCTAGGATGTGCCTATCTGCAAAAAGGGCAGGTGTGGAAAGCAAAAGAAACTCTGGAAAATGCGGTAAAAATAATGGACAACTATTCTCCTTCACATCAAGGTAATTTGCCTATGTTGAGAATAATGTATATGCGTAGTGTCATGAGCGTACATTTCTTAAGGCTACTGTTCACACTTTACCTGATAGCTTTTGCGCGGGCATGAAAGCCTTCCTGGACAGGGTTTCTGTTAACGATGATTTCCGCGCGATTTCTGTAACTGAGCGAAAACTCGCCGCGCTAATCTCTAAAGTGGAGAGTCACATATCGGGTAGGTGTTCAAAGTATACCGGATAGCAGTAAGGATACACAGTGCATAACTAATAATCTTTATAAGGAAGGAAGCTAATTCGCGCTGTTGCGCACTTCGTTGCAATTTTTCCATCTCGTTGTATTCAGCAATAAGGTTAGCCAATTTTTCTGGGGTTAAATCCTCAACAACTGTATCTATAGTAATTTCACAGAAAAAATAGTAAAATTCGTTTTCTTGTGTTAACGTCCTCCATAAAAAGTGAAATTATAGGAAGTTTCTTGTCATAGCCGTGCAGCGACATGTACAAAAAAACATCACCCACGTGCAAAGTTGTTGTTTTGCTATTGCTGTCTGGCCGTTTTCGTTACCGTTGCTGTCCTCGTTGCTTAAAGTTCCATAGTCTATGTCTTAGATAGGTGTCCCTTCAAAGAGAGTTTTCTAAAATAACAAATGAGGAACGGGTAGAGATCAATTGTATAGGTGCTAATTTTAGGGTGGCAAAGAGAGAGTTTAGAAATATTTTCTTTTTTTTTTTCGGCAGAAATGGCAAATTCACTGAAAAGGCTCAGCAAAACTTGTTTAATCCTTGGCGAAGCCGTCAACAGTGCTGATTTAGCAAACCGTGCTCTAGAGATCTATAACGAAACGTATGGAAATATGCGACACAGGGAAGTATGTGCTAACCATTTATACAATAATGTACATGTCTTCAAAAGAATTTTTTTACAATAACTGAACGACTTCTAACGCGCTGATTGGTCGAGAGCTATTTTCGACAAGAGCACAGACCATGGAGATGATTGATGGTGGCGCAGTTTGTTTTAAATTTGTCCTATAGAAAATGGACTTTAAAAATTGACGATATTATTGTAAAGAACAAATCGACAACCATTTTCCATTGTCTATACTCTTGCCGGCCATAGAAATGACGTCAGAATGTTCAAAGCTTTGTGCACCCCTCGTGGTCCCATCTTTTGAACATTTTGACGTCATTTCTATGGTCGTTAAGAGTACAAACCATAGGAAATACTTGTCGATTGGTAAAACTAAGCGGGCGTATTACTAGGGCCGGGAGGGGGTAGGGGGGTTGGAGTCAAGGTGCTCGGCACTTCAATTTACACTTCAGAGACCCAGAAAGCACACTGAGCGTTAGCCCTGGTAAAAGGGAATTAAGGAATCACGCGAGGCAAAGAAAAATGTATTTTACCTTGGTGGGAATCGAACCAACGACCCTCCGGATCTTCTGCCGGCGGAACGACTACGTCAGAGGCAGAGAGTGGAGGGTAATCAAGGTCGTGAATCTTATCCCGAAATCAGGTTGATCTAATGCAGAGGTTGTGGGTTCAATTTCCACCGAGTTTCAAAGATTTTTTCCTTTCCCTCTCGTGCTCCCTTATTCCCTCTCCTACGGTCAACGCTCAGTTAGATTTTTGGGTCATCCCTCACACTTCAATTTACACATAAGAGGCGAAGTTCGTCATTTCATCCTCATCAGGTACATTTGTTAGGTTATTTAATTAGGTATTATTCTAAAAACTCCTGCAAAGTCCACAAATTCAGGGAGCTTATTTCATATTTCGCGCCTCAGACTTGGGAGGGAAAAAGAGGGAAATACATATACGCAAGAGCCATTTGGCTCTTGATATGCGTTATTAATCATTACCAAGCGTGAGGTCAAGATGGCTGGATGTCCTCTTTTTGCGTTTTTCTTTTTTCTGACCGAGACGAGGACGAGGTCAATAAACTTACCCTTTTCTCTTACTTCGTACCACTAACGTATTTCCCAAGAACGATCCTTGACTGGAATAAACTGCCTGATTCTGTGGTATTGGCTCCAACATAGTAGCGGGTACAATTTGGTTGTAAGCCCTTAAGTATCATTTATAGGCCACGATACCATTTTGCCGAATGATAGATAACTAGTGAACCTATGTCCAGGTTTTATCTGAGGTCAAACAGTTACATCTTTAAAAACTTTATTACTCTTTAGACCTTTATTACATTGTGGGCTATTGGGCTAAAATATATCTCATCTATAACGTTTATAACATTTAGGGACACTAACATTCTCGGTCTCATCCTGGTTTTATTACCTTTGTTTGTGAGGAGCAACTATTTACTACTTTACCTTATAATTACAGGTTAGGAAATGCACGTTGAGGATTGCTTACGCATGCTCAAAGCTTGGACTTTTTAGCAAGGCTAAAGAATATATCAAAGAGGTTGAACTTGGCTTTTCTCAGAAAAATATGGCCCATCCAGAGTACGCTGTATTTCTTCGAACAAAAACTGAAATTACATTGGACAATCTTCAATTTAGCTGGCCCAAGGATGAAAAAGGCATGCGAAAAATGATGTCAGAAGCAGAAACGGATCTCAATAGAGCAGACGTAATCATTCAACAGTCTCTTGGTTGCGATCACCAACAGTATGCATTCTTGAAGGGAGAAAAAGCTCGTCTATGCATTCTGATGGGCCATTACAAAAAAGCCTATAACGAGATTCACTCTGCTCTGTCTATAATTGCTAAGAACTACCAAAAGCCAGACATAGAGGCTGGTTTTTTGCTAATTCGAGCAGATGCTGAGGGCAAGCTTCAGCTGTCTTGTGCACAAGAGGAATCCTTGGCAAGAGCAGAAAAATTGTATGAAGAAGCCTTTGACGATAGTCATCCAATGGTTGCCACCACACTACAAAAACGATGCCAGAAAAATATTGATCTAACAAATCTTTCTCGGGCGGGAGAAGACCTCGCAGCAAGCGATAAGATCTGTGAAATTCATAAAACTAGCTTACGAAGGCAACTAGACAGTAGTTGTTCTGGTTTTCTAGCAAACTACAGTTTGGATCATCACCCTGTTTTGAAGCGTCAACAGCAGCTAAATAGGAGAATAAAACGTGGTCCTGCTGGAGCATGGTTTCAATGATCAAAGACTTTTCTGTTGTTCTCATCATTGAACGTCACCGATGCGAAGACACCCACTTTCACATGACTGTCTCGTTTTTAGTCAGCGCCCGAATGACGCTCATTGCTAATTTGTTCCATTTCCTTACCTGCTCTGGCTTGACTTTAAAAACTGAGAGGCTTTTCGTTATTAGAAGACAAGACTTTTAGCATTGTTCCGTGTAAGTTTGAGTAGTCACCTTTTTGGCATCTAGTGCCGAGATATATATACTTTAAAAACTTAACTAAAGACAGCCTTCAAAGAAGTTTTCAGAAAAAGTGGTGGGGGGTGGGGAGGGGGATAAGAAGGATTACCAAGGTCAGTTTTTGCTCGAGAACTCTGACGGAACCAGGGGGGAGGGGGAAAGGTGTCTCCAAGGAAAACGGTGGTACAGTCCGCTTGCCAGTATGACGTCACGTCTCGCGTCAGTGACTTTCAAAATGGCGAGCAAAGTGTTCATCGAAGAGACGGATAAAAATTTCGATTTCATCACGGAAATACTGTTCCGATTTCTTGGATTTGGAGATTTTAAGGTTTCTATTGTCATAGAAAACTAGATTTAAGTACTTTTTTGGAATGAAATGTCCAGTGGTGTAATGAATTTTAAAGATTCCTTTCTATCGTCGAGCAAATTTTACGGGCAGTCATACCGACCGGTCACACTTTTGAGGGCCAGTGCACAGCAAGATTGAAGAGTTTAGACACAGCAATAGGAAGTTCATCAAAGGATGTATTATACTTTACATTGTGGGTATTTTCAGCTCTTCAGAGCTAATGAAACTCCGTATCATTCCTCTCAAAGTTCGCTTAGCTGTAGCGTTGAAAGAGGAAGCTAAATGACAGGTATTTGTGAGAGACTGTGAGCATTGAATCTTGTTGCTTTACCGCATTTTAGTACTGTAGAATGAGCATACACCTGTAATTCTGTAATTAAATCCCGAAAACGAATAAAAGGTTTCGTTTAATTATTTTTTGGGGGCAAACCCAGTGGAGATTTTAGGGTAGCAGTATTGATGATTAAGACGATGTACAAAAGGCAAGTTTAACTTTCGCCATTGGGTCACTGGTGGGTGTTGGGTGTAAATTAGTACAGTTTGTGGTGTACTGTGTGTGTTTGTCATGATGTCAACTAACACTGAAAAAATTCAGCTGTTTCAGAGGAGGGGCATGTCTTGACAGCTTATGGTTTTTATCTGATCGTAAGCTTGGCCAGTATGCAGATCAAGAGCTTTTGAAATCCCTTTTCCAAAATAAAACTCCTGACTTACGCTTTAAATATATACTTGATCCAAGTGCATGACCAGCAGGGTCTGCAGTAAGAATAAAGAAAAAAAGGCCAAAAGGAAAAATAGTGTAAAAAAAAAAATAGACCAAACAGGGAAAACAAACGGTACAAAGAAACAGAAAGCAGCGTCGCC